CCACATTCATGGAAGAGGGTCTGAAAGGATTTGATGCGCTCGTTAAAGATTCAAAACAAGTCGAAAATAACATCATGTGTTCTCGTGCTCACACAGTGTGAGTAGAAATCATTAGTGGCACATTAATATTAATAATCATGTGAAATTTCAGTAGCGGCGCACGTAATTCCCGCCGCTGAATAAATGTAGGGGAAACACTGAAATAGAAGAGGCACTAGAATTGATCCAAGGGGTACTCCCTCAACAGAGTCATCCACAACAGAGGATGACTTTTAAACAAAAACCATGATCTTTTCCTAAAATTAGCTTAGTGTTTTTCTGACATATTTATTTCCCCAATGCTAACCATATAGTCATTATTGTAGCACATCCAAAGTCATTTAAAAGTAAATTTTGTTTAGTACAATCTTGATTCTGATGGAATAGTCCCATATTTTATACAGGATAATGTACAAAAACAGCTTGAATGTTGACTTGAGCGAGTTTGTTTATTTCTGCTCATCAGGTTTTTTTTCTTTGTCCTCTTGGGTTAACTTGACTATGACCTTTTTTTGAACATTCGTGTGCAGCAGTTTGGCCTCACTCAAGGTGATCTTGACTCTTTTGCGCCTGAAAGTGCGTCCATCATCGAGATATTTCTTCTTTTAGAACAGGGATTTCCTGCGAGCCTAGAAATATCACAGAGTCTGAATTTATCGGATTAGCAGTTTGCACCCCTTGACTCTTGAGTCAAGCTTTTCCTCAACAAAATCTAATCTCTGACCTATGACCTGGTCACTTCCTGAGTTCAAGAGAGGGAATCCTGTGATTGAAAGAGAGCGAGATTAAAATTGAAAAGCATCAGGGAGTGAGAGAGAAAGAGAAGTACTAAAGGTGGTGATTTTAGGTGAGGAGGATTTGGCAGCCATGCAAAGCAGACTGAGTCAACACAGGGAACGGAAAATCAGTGGTTAAGTATTATCAGAGGGTGTTGGCGCATCTTTGACAAATCTATTCCTGGTAAAGAGGGTTTAATCTAGACACCCTAATTAGCATCATGGCTGGCAATGTGTATACATGTGAAAGACGCAGAGGGAGTTCAGATCAACAGTTGGTGAGAAGATTGGAGAAAATGACGAAAACAATGGAAAGTACTGTAAAACAAAAATGGTTGAAACCAATCATACATTTATCCATTCATTCATTTATCCAGTCACACTCAAAATTTGGTAGGAATACCATCCATATGTGGGCAGCGATATTGAACGCGGCCTTCCTCAGGTCCTGTCCTTGACCTTGCCTTTTTCTTTTTTAGACTGACCCACTTTTAAAATCTGGTTGCGCAGCTTGCGATATTTGTAGACAACCAACCCATTGACCACATGCAGTTTCACAGCTAGTGTCCCTTAAATAAACAAAATACTGTGGTGCTTCCTTCGGGGATCCAAGGATGGCCAACCATGACAGAAAAATAGGTCACAATGACGTAGGTTTGAAGTCACCTGGTGTGAATCACAGATTTTCACTAAATATGGTGTACGATCGAACTTTTGCACGAGTATACAAGACTGGCAATACAGTAGCCTTTATAATATTGTCAATATGGGTTTGCTTTTGACTAAAGTTAAACCAAATTTAGAGTTCGAGTTGACTGCCTAAGTTTTACTTTTGCAACCTACAAATTAGTTCTGTATCCTGCCACATGACCTGGATAATTGTACTGTTGAACACGATCAGTATGTGGCCTTATCTAGGGTAAATAAGGCCATACCAATGTGGGTTGTATTTTGTCCTGAGAATAAACTCATACGGTGTTTGGATTAAAGCTGGATTGAGCTGAAATCAGTTTGTGAATGCTAAAAAGTTTTTTGTTTGAGAACTCAGAGGTAAATCTTATTGTGCCATCAGCATAATAGTGACTTTTATCATTGTTTGGGCAATACACTGTAAAAATTAGTGGCACTAGGTTCAAACCCCGGGTTACTCCCATGCTAGAAACAATGAGAAGTGACTTGACTTGGGCTTTTACAAAAATGTACCTTGTTCTTTTGAGGTCTACACATCACCCAGTGTCAGTTTTTTTACATGTTAGATACTACTGCACACCCAGTGTCCGTGAATGTGAGATTTTTGTTAACACCTTCATTGCATCGTCAGTATAAATAAGAATTTCGTGGCCCCATAAGTGATCCCTGAGGTACTCCATTCCTTAACATTAGTAAAGCAAATTAGTTAAATGTGGGTGTTGATTATCATATAATAAAAGCTGCTCTTGTACCGATGAGTTATGCTGTTTTTGCTCTGTTGATGAGTCCCCCCAAAACTCTTGAGTTGCAGCGTCTCAGAGGCTTAACGTACGCACCAATATGGTCTTCAGCCTGTCAACAACTTTGTACCTCTGCCAACTTCTAGGGTTGGGCGATACGCCGAGCTGAACAGCCAACCTCCCCTCATAAAGCTGCAGACAAAGCCTGACTTGTGCCAACAGTTTCAGACGCACCGAAATAAAATAGCGTAACAGATGCTCACCTGCTGCCAAACACTGGACTCACTGCCAATGATCCGCCTAGCTTTATGAGGGCTCTTTAAAGAAGATGTTTCTACTTCTGGAGAGGCTGAATTTATCAGGAGGTAGCCCTTTAAATATATCTAAGACACAGTAACTGTAAATTTAGATTTTTAAAAATTAAACCAATAAATGGTGATTTTACAAAACACAAGTAACCTTTGACTGATTTCAAGACTAGCATGTCCAGTTCTCAATCAATCACTGCTCCCTCTTTGGTTACTAGAAGTCATCCATGAGATTATGTGTGTAGTACAACTCTGTGGACAGTGACCGCATGTAACCTGCTTGTATTCAAAACAAGGCTATTGAAAACATGCTGCATCCCCATAATCCCATTACAGGCTGTACAAAGACTGTCTGCAGGTGCATACCCTCCTCACGATACACCAACACGGGCAGGGGTCGTAGGGGTCGTATTAATGACACCAGAATTTTTCACCTGGGTTTTGTAAATCAAATGTGGGTCAAATAAAGTAAGAGGGCACGTAAAAGGCTGTGTTTGTTTTGGTTCAGAGTTAATCCACTTGTTGAAGCACTTGGAGGGGGGATTTAACTTGCTAGACTCGAGTCAACTCAGGTGAAATGTCAGGGCGTGGAGAGCTGGACGTAATGTATCTCAAAGAGAAGGTGACAACGCCAGATTTGAAAAAAAATTAAAGTAAACAATGAAGAAAATAAATAGAAATTAATGCAGTACTTTATGTAACCAGTTGCATTGGCTACCTGTGTCTTTTAGAGTAGATTTTACGGTTCTTTTATTAGTTTTTAAAGTTCTTAATGGTCTTGGTCCTTCTTATTTATCTAATTTGTTTTTACAGTATGAGCTTATTAGAGACCTCAGGTCTTCAGGTGGTGGTCTTTTAATTGTTCCCAAAGTAAAAACTAAAACATACGATGAATCATCGTTCAACGTTATGGTCCCCATCTGTGGAACAGCCTACCTGCAGACCTGAGAGCGACACCTTCTGTTCGTTTTTAATATCCTGCTTGAATGGACAGCACTCTATGCTACATTCTTTGTATGAGAAGTGCTTTAAAAATAAAGTTTGATTGATTGATTGATTGATTTGACTGTGAATAAGCTGCACATATTTGTAGTTATAACCTTTAGCCTTCATTCAGTCTGCATTTGTCTGCGTTGATATCAGGTAACAGACTGTGTGTAAGTTTTGCAGTAGAAAGAGAATTAAATAAACTGTTGTGTACGTACAGAGTGTGCTGGTTTCACTCATTCTGTCATGTCTGTTAACATACAAACATGTATTTTGTTCTGTATTCACCTGTCTGGAGTCTCTTTAGTAGAAACTCTGTGTCTGACATGGCACAGAAACTGCTCTGCACCATGTTTCCATGATCTCCCGCGGTGTTGCTCCGTGATCTCAGAGATGTCCGGGTTCTCAGCCTTAAGATGAGAGGTGAATCTGATTAGCCGTGATGTGCCTGTGGGAAATTTCCTTCTCGGTGGAGGGAAACCTGGCGACACGTCAGCTCCTCTTATTTAACCCTTTTCTCTTTCAGGATGCTGCTGTGATCGTGAGTTCAGGAGGAGGTCACCCATCAGTTCTGATGTTGACCTGGAATTTGAATAAGAGAGGACAGGTTCAGGTTGATCATGTCCTCCTCTCTGTCTCTTTATATCAAACCCTGAGTGTGCTACGGCCATCTAACTCTGCGGTTTACTCCGTGATCATTTGCTGTTTGTTTGTTTGAGGTTACATGCAAAAACAGAGGTAAAGTGAGGTAATAAACCTTCGTTAGTTAAGCTCTAACGATAGCCAGTGCATCAAAGTACCAAATAAGAGAAGCCAGCTCAAAAGCAAAACTTTAAAAGGTCTCAGCCTTGACTTTTCTGATACACACAGTTTCAGACCTGATGCGGCATCATCTTATTATTTCACCCCAAACTTGTTTTTATGATCACTCTGTTTATCTTCATGTGAAGCAACCGTTTGTTTTTATTTTTATTCAGCAGATTAAAACATAAAACTAACAATCTTAGTTGACCCACATGATTCTGTACTTTCTCTTCCCTCCAACAGACGTTAGATCATGTGTGGACTTCAATAAAACATCAAATTTACACTGTAAATCCAACTCTAATACATCACTTTTTTGCCTCTTTCTACAGAAACACAAACAGGAAAATTGGTTTATGTTGTAACTTTTGGTTTTGGCCACAAGAGGTCAGCAAAGATCACAAACACACCCAGTCCTCAGTGTCCAAAACTAAATATCTCCTTTTATTTTACAATTTTACTCTTGTGTTGTCATCTTTCTTGTTAGCTGTTTTTAAACAGACTGTTCACCATGCCAGAAACATATGTGTGCATGCATGCAACAATGTTTAATTTAAATGCTAAACATCAAGAAAATGCACTTAAAGTAAATGTAATGTTCATGTATTTCGCTAAAATAGTTTAGAGCGGTTTTATTTTTGTGAATTAGTCTACTGCTCTGTTACATGATTGGCATCGTTGTCTGTTATCTAATTACATGCATCTTCGTTTCTGACTGAGCAGAGGATAAATCTGCTTTTGCATAAATGATAAAACAGACTCTTTTTAATGAATTCACAAGTTTATTTGACCTTTGACATGAGATAACTCCCTGTTGGCCGGTAGTTGTTCGTAACAGACAATAAAAATACATAAAAGATTGAAAGTTCAGCTGTAATGAGAGACGGTTCACATCTATGAGTGAAATGTTTCAGACAAGCTTGTGATGCTACTGTATACTCCAGTAAGCTGCAAAAACTCCAAACTAAGGAAGTGTTTTTGACATTTTTCTGGTAAAAGTTAAAAGATGTCTGATAAGACTTAATTTTATTCTCCTGAGAAGTGCAGATTAACCTGTTTAAGGCCTCCCTTCTGAGTAGGAAGTACGAAAAACAGCAGATTTTTTACTGGTTTCAAGCACTCTAGGTCTTATTTTAGGCTTGTAGTATCTTAAAATGACACCTTGTTCTGGACTTGTCAGGTGACTGTAACTTAAATTTAAATAAAACAAAAGCACCAGATTAGTTTTGAGTCTCTGCAGAGAAATTCAGGTAACAAAGACATGTTTGAATTCAGTCTCTGTATTAATACTGACAAACAAAGACGTGGAACTGAAGCTTTTATCGTGAAATTCAGACTTCTTCCTCTCTGCGGCTCAGTGGTGGGGTCTGTATGTTCGGATCTTGCGGCTGAGGTTTCTTGCGAGCCGGTCGACGGCACTGCTGATGTGTCCGAGCTCCTTCTTGGATGTCAGACCGTCGATGTTCCCGCTGTACCAGAGCACCCATCCAGCCAGAGACATGAGCACGAACAGAGCTCCTGAGGGGAGGGGAGACACCAGTTTTCATACATTTGCATGAGTAAATACTGTCAGGATCCAGTTTTCTTAAGCTGAGACTGTTTGATGTTATGATCAACAGCTGTAACAGCAGCAGTGGAGAAGATTAAATGAGTTTTTCCCTTAATTTACCTGCATTTTTGATTCTGGTGTAAGCATTTATAACTCTTTGTGTCTATTCATACCACCAACATTGAATAAACTGTTTTCTTTCATACCAGTATACACCAGTAAGTCTCCAAAGTCCCGCCCTTTGATTTCCAAAGGGGCGAAGACTCCCACCAGCAGAGCGGCTCCTCCCAGTAAATCCATCATCACCGCAAAAGCCAGAGCCAGTTTACAGTGGGAGAGGCCGTCACACAGGCCCATGGTCAAACTGGGAGAGAGAAGCACAGACTGTGAGGAGCTCCAAGGGGTAACATAAACATAAAGAGCAGATTTATGCTTCAACAAGAGACCAGTTTAAGACAACTACAAATAAAAGTTGTCACCTCTGCAAGTGGGCACCAGAGTAAACATACTCTCAGTATTGTAGTGCCATAAAGCCAGACATATACTGTCTCTGAGCTGTAGTTCAGCTGCCTGCTAACTCATAGTGCTGTAGATCCCTTAGCCATTAAACATCTCATATGGTGACGCTGTTTGCAGTGTCTGCTGACTGAAAGTAAAATTAGAGTAGGGTAGAGTAGTAGAGTGGGGTAAGATGAGCCATTTTTCATATTTCTGCGTATATTTCAAGATGTTGTGTATCCCTGCAAACAAACAGAATGAGTGTAAACAGAACCGTCTTTTTATTATAGCATGCCAAAAAAAGTGGTCTCCTATGGTCAACTTACCCTGTGTATGGGTTTTTTTTACTGGGTTCTGCAAAGTATGGTTGACAGCTAACCGTTCAATAGATCTTGTGAGGTTATACTTCAATGGCACTTTTTTTTTAATGCATTTGTGTTATTTTATGGATTTTGTTCATTTGCCTTTTGTATGTTACTATTTATCATTTACAGTTTTATCTTCATTTTATTTTTATGCTTTCCTTTTATTAATAATAATAATAATTTTACCCTGTGTGTGTGCGTACATGGATATGCATATGGGTATAATTATGGTTGTAATTATTTAACATGCTGTTGAATGATGACTGTTGCTCTTAAAATCTAATAAAAAGTTGATCACAAAAAAGAAAAACTTACCCCGTGTATGGGGTAGGTTGACCATAGGAGCGGGGTAAGTTGAGCCGTATTCCTACTACCACCCCAGACCTCCCTCACCTTCTCTCTCCCTAATTAACAATCACTTCTTTACATTCATGTGTGTTTTTATCTATTATACACTATTCAACTTGTACAACCATTCTTTTTATTATTATTATTATTATTATTATTACATATAACTGCTAAAAAGCTGTTTGGCAAAAAGCCATTTTAACATGAGAATGCCTTGAAGTGATTTAAGAAAATGGTGGACTTTTATGTTAGATTTTTGACCTCATGTTGTAGCTCATAGATACCACAATTGATGTATAAAACAAATTTAAATGATCTTTTTTGGTCTGAACACAATTCTAATAAAACTTATGACAGACTAAATTCACTTTTAAGAGTGAAAAATGTTTTATTTTGGAAATAAATGTCTAACCCCTTCACCCATGTGCTTCTAACCATCACAGACTCCGTGAATTGACGCCCATCTCCTAAATATTTGGTCACACGATCAATTTCTTTTACCATTTCCAAGCAACACTCTCCCCCATTATTAAATGGACACTTATTTAGTCGCCCAAAATGAACAAAAACTTTATAAACGTATATAAAAGCTCATTTAAACAGGATTTATCCTGAAATAGTTTAGCCCTGATCCGGCGAACTATCCGAAAATGCACTTATATAATAGACTTCACACTTTTACACTTCAGAGGGACACGTCCTCCAATAATCTCTTACAAATGAGGCAGTTTTTCACTTAAATCCAGCAAAAAACAAGATGAAATGTTTACAGTCACTTAATCATAACTAAAATTGCACTTACGCGTCGTAATCGTTATACCAGCTGCATAAAACCCAAAATAATCGCTTTGTTTTTCGACCTCTCCCGTTCGCTTTTTCTTCACTTCCGCGTTACCTTTGTTGCCGTCGCCCCCTCCTCACACCTGCGCAGTGCACACACGCCCCGTCATGATGTATTTCCGGGTATGTTTATGGGTCCGTTAAAGTGAATCCAGATAAACTTTCTCTTACAAACAGGCTAATGTATCTTTACGTGAAGCTTTTTCCGAATTAAACCGAAATGAACCTCAATGAATTCAGAAAAAGCATACAAAGTTCCGGAAATGTCGGTTATTCATGTCTGAAGAATGTTAGCGGATTTCAAACGAACCGTTGCTTTGCGCATGCGCCTGGTGCACCTGTTGAAATCACTTATAATCAGGTAATTGCGGCTGAAAATGTGGTGTGCAGGCGAGAGAGGAGCAGGTGTGGGTCGTTTTAGGCTGTATTACAGAAGTATAACCCAACACGGATCTAAGGAAAGAGAAAAGAAATAAGAGTTTCATCCAAACAGTTGAAGTTTTAACGTGTTTTCAGTCATGAATCCTCCAACCAGCAGAGACGACACAAGCCAGCCAGGTAACAACGACTCTTACAACACTTAACAAGCATGTTACTAGTGAAAGATGATGGCGCTGTTTTGTGTCTGTGTGTTGTAGAAATTAACTTTCTATTGGTTGGGTTTCTATGACATTTAACTCAAACTAATGAAGACAAAAAGCAGGTTTAGTTGGTCAAAATGGTTAAGTTCACTTTTAACACTTTAACAATTCTTATTTGCTATATTGTGTAGTTTTGGTTGTCTTTTTTTCTCTTTTCTAACCTTTTAAAAACACAAATACAGCCTTATTACCAGCTTCTTTTATAACTAAAGAGATCAGTTTGACAAAAGATCTATTTAAATCACTTTTTGCACTGATTTAATGCTAACGTTACTATTTTATTCTTGAAACTCAAAGCTTTATTTGGTTCCAGCTACTGTAATTGGAGTAATTTGCACTTAATGTTTGTGAAAAATTAACATATTTGTGTTAAAGCATGTGATTGAGCCAAGGGGAACTGTGTCTGGTGTTTTTAGCACCAGTTTTGGACATCTAGAGTTTCTTTCAGGAAAGTTTTGGAGGCCAAAGAAATTACATTTTGTGTATGCAACAACGCTTCTATGCTCTTTCAATTGGCGGTCTTCAATATGTACTATGAAAATGCTGCATGAAATTCTGTCGAAGACTGAACGAGTAAGGTTTTTCTTGAAATTATAGGCTTTAATAGAAGTGTAACAAGCTGAATGCATTCTGTTGTCAGAGCATTATGTGCCCCAGTCTTCATCGGCATCTTCGTCAGGAGGACCAGGAGGTTTGTATCTGGATGCCTATGAGGTTTCCTTCCCTCTGGAGGAGAGTGTAGAGAGACCACCTGCGTATCATCTGAACCACAGCCCGCAGATGATGGATGGTAACACATCTACAACGCACCACAGTTGTCATCTTATTTGGATCATTTCAAAAGTGTTATTCCTCTTCCCCTTTCCTCCTCCTTCTCTCCTTGCATCCTCCTGCAGAGCAAATGGTGCAGGAGCCTCCTCACTCTCAGTACAGCCCTTTCATCCTGGTATCGAACCTGCGGGCTCACCTGTACGTCGCTCTGGAGAAGAACAGCTGGCTGCAGAAGCGAATTGAGGAGCTGGAGGAAGAGCGCAACTTCTTACGCTGTCAGCTGGATCGATTCATCGTCAGCATGAGGGGTCCAGAGGGTGTGTTCTAATAACCTCAGATAATTATGTTTTTCATGTTTCCTGGTGATGAGAAAGACTTTTTCACTTCTTTGATTTATTATGATTATACTTAGTGTCCGAGTGGTGTGGCGACGCTCAGCGAGCTGTCAAAGTTCAGCCCTCCAGCCCTCCCTGTCCTCCCTCCCCCATGACCACTAGGTCTGGGATGACCCTCAATCGTCTCCAGGTACCAGGACCCCGGACCCGCCGTGGCACCGCCATCCCTGGTGAGAACATATCTGACCTATAACATTAATAGTTGGACTTGTGTTTAACTGCATCTTAAAGTTAGTGGTGACCGTCTTGATCATTGTTTTGGTTGTTTCTTATCGGGTCGTCAGTCAAACAGGAGTTTCACCTGGAGGAGGATAAATACTACACAGAGGACGAGTACGTGGAAGAAGAGGAGGAGGAAGAAGATGTGGACTCGTCAGTGGAAAAGGGGTCAAAGAAGAAGGGTAGAGGGCGAGCTAATGGAGAGCCGAGGATGAAGATGAGGAGGATCTTCAGGATCACTCATGGGAGGGAGAGACAGAGAGGTGAGAGGTCATGTGACAGAAAACGCCTCCTTTTTAAATTCTGCGTGTTACTTAACTGTTGCTGACTACACATCTTGAGGGGTTCCACAGGGCCCCATCCTCGGCCCATTTCTGTTTTTATTTTCACACTGTAATCAGGGGCTTTTGGTTTTTATAATTCATTCTTTGGTTGCGAAAGGATGTTTTGATCTTCAACACTAAATTACTAGAAAACACCACTTAAAAGCAGCAAATTACACCTCCCTTTCTTGATTTCTATTGCATCAATTCTCTGTTTCTCTCCCTGTACCTCTAGTGAAAGACCCAGATGGAGTTTTGATTCGTTACAAGAAGATCCTATCCACCTACCAGCGGGTGAGGAGTATGTCCCGAGCCTTTCAGATCCACGGCGTTGACCGGAACACAATGGCATCCACCTCCCCCATCGCCGAGCTGCTGCTTGTGGCTTCGGAGAAGGTCTGAACTGTTTGGGTGTTTAAATGTCCTGTATCAGTTCCAGCAAACCAGCAAAATCAGTTTTTTATTCACATCCATGGATATGCACTTTTAGGTCACGTAACCACACGTTAAAAAGTAGACCAAAATCTCTCTGAAGTTTAGCTGTCTTAGTTTAAATGTCCACATCAACAGGTTGCAGAGGTCGGAGAGTTTGAGGCATCAAAAGAGAAGCTTCTGGATTACGCTCGACGATGCTACAAGACGATGGACGAGGAGACGCACGCCAAAGTGCAGAGCATGAAGAAAACTCACAAGCTGCTGCCGATCTCCTACAGGTTCAGGAACTGACCAAAAAGCTGACAGCTGGTTTCTACTCTCAGCATAAAGACGGATGCACTTTTTCAGTTTGTATTTTCACTAACTTTAAAGATTTAAGAAACTTGAAAAGAAAACTTAAGTTTAAGAAAAGTTAAATATTTCAGCTGAAATGCTTAATGCTTAATTTATTTTTACAGTTTAGATTTTTCCTTTCCTTTTTTTTTTGTAGCTGTATCGGTCAGCTGGATTTACTTTCCCAGATCTGTTCAAGATTTTGAACCAGATACTGAAGTTAAGTGTTATGAAAGAGTGAAAGATAATGTACCACAGATAATGCATCACTAATCTGTAAGTGCAGAGCAGATATAGAGCAGATGTACAGAGATAACTGATGCTCTGGTTTCAGTATTTATTTTCTATCTAAAGAAAAAAAAGATATTCTTTTATGTATTTTGGCTGAAAAAATATTATTTCTCTGTAACATCCCATACCTGAGTTTTGTAATAAAGTCAGCTTTGCAAGATTAATGTTTGTGCTGCTATTTGACTCTAAAGGTTTATAAAAAAAATGGTAAAGTCAAGAAAGTGCTTAAAATGTAACCGTATTTGGTTGTTTTTACAATAACAAGTCTTAAAACTGAATAATTAAGAGTGAAATTATCCTGGTGAAATTACTGAAATATTCTCTTTTAGGGGTTAAGGAAAGATGTAAGATTGAGAGGATATAATGTTGCTTTAGAAGGAAAAAATCTGCCCATGTTACCAATATTCAGATTATTTTATCACAGGTCTTTCCAGAGATGTAGAAACTTTGATAACTATCTAAACTGCACTTAAAACAACAGTCAAGTGTTACTAACATCTCCTCTAGGTTGTAATGCTGGTTTGTATTCTCTGGGATTAGTTTCATTAACTTCGCAGCAGTTTGCAGACTACAGCGCCCTCCGGTGGAGCAATCAAGTAATGATTAAGTTACACTGCTGTGATGAACAGAAATCAGGTCGGAGAGAATCTCTGATGAATGATCTGTTTTTGATTTAGTATCAAAATGAAGAAGTCTGTTTTTACCACTGAGTAAAAGGGTCAACGTATAAAAATCTTTACATCAGTGCAGCTTATATTTCAAGGAAAAAGCTCATTTTTTAAAAAAAAAGTTAGTTTTTTTCTTTGTGGGTACATTTTGAATAAAATTACATTGTATTTCAGGAAATTTCTATTTTTAGGCTGAAAATTGGTTCTGTTTCATAGATACTGGTTTAAAAAGCATGATCTGCTACAACTACAGAAAGCCGATTGGGTGAGGGGTCTCGGCAGATCAGCCATCAGCAGTGAAATCATTAAAGAGGGTTCAATAACAGGCTGTTTCCATCAATCATAATTACATCCCGAACGGCAGCTGGAGCACACGGGTCGACTGTGAATATGTGACTTTTATGAATCTTAATTGAAGGTCAGTGGCTCTAAGTTTGAAACCAGCACGAACAAAATTAACCTTATTATTTTAAATGACTCCATTATGTCTCATCATGGGAGTAATGACTGCAGAGGGAGAAGAGCTGAAACATCACAGTGCTGCTGCTGCTGCTGACGACTGGTTTCTACTCATGTACATCAGGTCAAGGTCAGAGATCACTGGATGCTGCATGTGCAAGGTCACATGTACACCACACATGAAAGGAATCTTTTAAAACTAGGGTTTAATTTAAATAATGATATTAAATATCTTTTTCACATTTCCTAGAAAAGATGGACAATATTTGGTGAATTGATGACTTTTGAGATTAAATCAGACAAGGCAACCATCTCTCCGCTGATCTCAGAACAGTTAGCTCAAACCATGATAAAACATAATAATATTACTATTATTATTTTGCTTAAATGTTTTTCATATAAATGTGCAGAATCAGAAATATGCCGTGAAACTTGCAATTTTTTCTCAATTGCTCAGACACATATCATGAGACCTTCATGAACAGAAAACCTGAACTTCATTCACAAAACCTCTAAATTTTTAATTTGTCATGGGTAAAGTAACTAAAGCTGTTTCTTCAGTCTTACAGCAGTACAGGCATTAGAAATGACGCCCTAATTCATCTTATTTATCATCCCTTTTAATCTTAAATAACATGGCCTACAGTCTCCGCTCCCAGGACTCTATCATGCTACCGTTCCTAAGGTACGAACAGAAATGGGAAAGAAAGCTTTAAGATTTTCTGCTCCGAGGAACATGGAAAATGTTGCAATCAGACCTAAAACTCCAACATCTGGTATTTCTGAATGCATTCAAATCCATGATAATTCCATTACATCCAGGCTTCAGGAGTGCAAATGTTTTGAGTGAAGGTGTTTGATGAATCTTGTAAATTCTTTGAACTAATTTAAAAAATTCAATTATTATTTGTATTCTTTGTATTGTATTTGATTAATGTGATAATGTATTGAAACTATATCGGTCTCTGTTGCAAAATAGATCTTAGATCTCAATGGGAAAAAAAACTGGTTAAATAAAGGTGATAAATAATGATAATAATTAAAATAATAATAATAATATCAACAATATAATAATAATATAAAACAATATAATAATAAAAATATAATAATCATAATAATAATAGTTATAATAATAATTATTATTTTAATAATAATAATAATTATTATTATTATAAAAACAAATGTTAAGAAGAATAAGAATAAGAATGATGATGATGATGTGTATATATATATATATATATATATTTTTTTTTTAAAGGCTTGCAATGGAAATCGTGATCTTGAGGGAAAACAGATGTGAACTCAATTTCCCAGAAACACTCGAGACTGGGGGGGAGAGCTGTGGGGGGGGCTCTTAAAACTCAATTTACCCTTTCACCTTTCCAAGCCTCCCAATCACAACAGCGGTTATACAGGAAGTAGTAAAACAAGCCTCCTTGGACAGACAGCAGTTACAAGCGAATGGAAGCGCGGGAGCGGCCACTGTGAACCAATCACAGATGAGGAGGGTGGGACTACTGTCCAACAGGGCATCGGAGGAGGAGGTGTTCCTGGTAGCCATCTTGGATGTGCGGAGTGATTGTTTAGCGAGAAGAATTGACATTTTTTAAAGAATAGTTGGCCTATTTAGATATTTGTAGAGGATTTACCGAAGTGGGGCGACTAAGGAAAGAAATCGGAACCCGGAAAAAGCCAGGTAAGTAAATAAGACATCCCCGAAGTGATGAATTTCGGTGTCTTCCCCCCTTTTCTCTCTGTCCCCTTTCCAAACTGTGTCTCCGCCGGTGGGAAGCTGCAGCTCTCTGCTCCGACATCAGGCAACTTCAGTCTGTGTTTGAGCTCTAAAAACGGGAAAACACAACTTCCTGTGCAGAGCTGGAGCGTGTAGCTGGAGTTGGAGTTTGTTTTGGAGTGTGTGTGTGCTCGGATGTTGGTGTGTTCAGGCGGCTGGTGGCACTTCTGATGCTCAGTTCTGTGTTTATCAACATCCCGGGAAGATCCCCTGTATCCCTCCGATGATACACAACACCAACTGCTTGTTCTGTCGAGCTGGTCAAAGTTTTGCTCTTTTACCACAAAGTCTTAAAGAAACTAATAATAAAAGTCTGTGGGGTCGATTAAAAAACTCAGATGAGATAAATCCAGATGTGACTGTTTGAAAAAGTAGTTCCTTAGTTTCTTTTTGTGCATAAGAATCAAGCAGAAAATACAGGTGAGCTCTGTGGTAGTCTCAGTTTCATATGTCAAACCCAACAGTGAAGAAATGATACCAAACTGGAGCCATGTATGGAAGCCTAAAGAGGACATGCATCTGTGACTTTAATAAGCCTTACCAAGTCCTGGTTATCACATCAATAAATATGGTATTTACATGCATGTAGGGCTGGGCGATAAAACGACAACAATTTATATAGAAAATTAATTTTCCTCAATATCAGTATATGATTTATTTTTTTTGTTTTTTAGATATTTTTTAAAGGTGACAGTTACTGACACATTTGACTGCCAAAAGTCAGCAGGGTAAGGTTTTTTAAAGCCCACTTTGTGTGCTCCAGGAGGCACCAAGTTGACACAGGAGCTTTAAATATAAATTATTTGAAAGGGAGTTAATTAAGACATTATTAAGAAATAAATATTATGAAATAGATGGTAAGAACATAAAGGTAAATGCAAGCCTCTCTTACTAATTGTTTCAGTTCTTACAATCTAGGAAACAGACAAACGAAGAAAGCACTAATGAAGCGTAAAAGAGAAAAGTGCTGCAAAAATGTGAAAATGAAGTCAGACACAGAAAAGAGCAGCAGGAAGCTAAAAAAGTGATGAACATGTCCAGACATGGTTGTTGTCATACACACCTAAAGTAGGGAGGTCCATCTCCTGACACTTTAAATGGATCAGTGCCTTCAGATTTTCACTTCATCACGACCTCGGAGTTGTGTTCGCCGTCTCTGCCCTGTTTTGGTTTCAGCGATGCGTCTGTGCCGTCACATGAGCGAAGCTGCTCCCTGATTGTGCTCAAATGTTTAGTCTACCTCTAGATTTTCGGTCTCCCGGCTCCATAACATAAGTCAAGTTCAGGCCATCCTGCAGCTCATCAAAGACTCTGAAACCATCTCATCTTCAGTCTTTATTAAAAAAAAAATCATGATCACAACGTGTCCTTGCTGAGGCTGCACGGCTAAAACACTGTGTTCTTATAGGGCATTGAATGCAACATGCTCAAACTTGTACTTATGAGTGGTTAAAAAGCATTGTTGGAAAACTGTGAAGTTGGTGCCGACACAAAGAAAGCTCTGAGCAGAAAAAGGCGTAGTAACACTCAAATTAAAATCATAGGCCTGGGCGATATCGTCCGATCTTGATTGTTATCACAATTTTTTTTAACTGCCTATTTTAAAGCATCTGTACTAAAAACTAAAGAAACTAGAGATTAGTTTAACATTTTATTAACATACAAAGTAAAAAACAAAGCAAATTGAATAAGATATACTTTAACTCAACAGAATAACAAATGTAGATAAATACTAAATAATACAGAGAATTATTATTATAATACAGAGTTTACAGTCCTGAGTGTTTTTGCAGGTATGCAAGACCCAAAATCGCCCCCTCAGAGATAATGAAGACGCCTTAAAATGTAAACATTAGATGATACGATTGATTGCTGCTTTGATCTGGTGGCTGCACCACTATTTGTGGCTAAACTGCTGATGCTACTCGTGCCGTCAGCAGTGACAGGCTGCACAGACTCCGCTCGCATTTTCACGCTTTCCGCATAATCACTCAGGATGTACTTCTTCATATGATTAAACAAACCTGTTGTGTTGCCAGTTTTTGAGAACACCTATCGCCGACACAACTTACACATCTGCTTAACTGCTCGACATCACTTTGGAGATACCCGAAACCTCCGCCGCACAACCGACGTTCTCCGAGAACTTACAGAAGTGAGCAGGAGAAGCTCGACTCTGATTGGCTGTTGTGACGCACACTTCCGCTATGTTTGATCGATTAAATATGCTCTCAGCTGATCACCGTGATCAAACTGAAATCTATCACGATCATATAATCGCCCAGTCCTAGCGGTAAATCGTCTTTCAATTCAGTCCTCCACAATCGTCAAAATACAATAAACCGGGCTGAATAATATTTTTTACTCGTGTTGTCCGGTGTGGTAAAAAAAAACGCGCTTTCCATTTATTTGTAAAAAGAAACCAGCTTTCATTTTTAGGCCGTCATTACGATCGTAGGCTGGTGCAACAAAGTAAAATAGCGGTATAAATGAGTCACAAGTGCAGCTCAGGTAAACTAATGCATGACAAGGTTGTGACAAACAACATAATAGGGAAAATATCGAAGGAAAAGAAGAAGCACTTGTAAAAAAAAGTAATTGAAATAGTCAGGCCAGTGGTCGGAAAAATGGTTTCACATCAGATTATTTCTCCGCTTATTTTCTAAATGCATCCTGTCCAGTCTGTTTTTTCTCTTCTGTGCACCCTCGTTGATATTTTTGTTTTATTTTGTGCAGAATCTGCAGGTAAAAACTCTCCTGTGTTAATAAACGCAAACATTAACATAGCCTTCTGTCTGTCTGTGTTTCCTGCAGTGAAAGAAGGCATGAAGACATCATCCTAGTCATTAGTCATGGCCGATAAAAGGAAACTTCAAGGTGAGCTCTCAGTGTTTGTGTGTCTGTATGTGTGTCAGCAAACATCCCAGTTGCTGTAAGTAAGCAGATGGATTTGTTGTGGTTTGATCCGCTGCCAAGTGGGTGAGGTTTACCACAAATGACCTAATAAAGGCACAGTCAGAATGGCAGAGGAGCTTTGAAGAGTTGTGATTGGAAAACTCCCCCCTGATGTTGTCTTTGTGCTAAACTCCGCCCACCTGTCACTCTTAAAAAAGTTCACACAAATGTGAAATGTCGATCAAAGCTGCGCTCTTTTTGGGCGTGTCATGTGTTGCATAATTAAGTAAAAATGTTCCTGCACAGCTTGTACAGAGAAGTCACACATATTTGCTTCGCTGAGTTTTATAAGCTGACGTCTCACCAGGTTGGAGTTTTTCGGCTCCAGAGGGGGTCGGGGATAAATCCTGGTTCGGTTGCTGCAGCCTCAGCTCAAACATGATGGATTAACCTGAGCTCTATCTGTCTGTGACGAGCTTTGAAGTCCTGACTGTTGAGTTTTTGGACGGTTTAGCCCACTGGATTAGATTATATTCTTCCTTGAAACAAATAACAACATTAAAGGGATATTCCGGCATAAATTAATTTAGGGTCAAACACACCGTAACACAGAGTTAGACACCCCCTTAAGAGATGAATGTTGCCGACCGTTTGCCTCTCTAGTTATTCCAACTTTAGTAACGACCACACGATAGCGATGCCTTAGCGTCTCGGTCTGATTGCATTTCCATTAAGGAATTATCATAAATGTTCTTCCTTGAGCTGCGTCACCCCACTGCAGTTTGTATGTACTGTTGATGAAGTTAGGTGCTGTTCTGAGCATTAGTTGTGGTTATAGAGTGGCGTTTTGGTTGAGGTTTGTTTATGGCTCCTCAGACTGCTGTGTATTGATATCCTGCGGTCGTTACTAAAGTTGGTATCACGAGAGAAGCAAATAGTCGGCAACATTCATTCCTCGACGGGGTGTCTAACTCTGTGTTACGCTGTGTTTGACCCTAAATTAATTTTACACCGGAATATCCCTTTAAAAGCAAACAGGATTAGCATTTCAATGAGCCACAAGTGGCTACTCATGTTTTCTCAGATACTGAATTTGTTTCTGTTTTGATTTCTTGAAATTCGTCTTAAAAAGTGGAATTTTTCGATTGAACACAGAGACCTTTGAGCGTCAGTATTCGCTCACGACCACAGCAGTAGAAGAATGAAAGATGGAGAGACACAGTGACGATTGAAAGATTCGACTGCTTCAGTTTTTGTCTCTTTGTGCACACAGCTGACACACTTCTCTCAAACAGCGGAGAGTTTCAGACTCCGACTCCTCACCGCTCGCCTCCTCTCTGAGCTTTACGTTAAAAATTAAAACAGTCCGACTGTCAGTGAAGCTGAAGCAGACTGATCACCGGAACGGCTCTCAGGACTCTGATGTTAATGCATCCTAAGCTTCACGCTCACCACGGCGAGCTTTGTAACCCGATCCAAACCTTTTTGTGCGCGGAGACAGAAAAACCTAGAGGCTCCATCTCACATGAACCCCCCCCCCCCAACAGCTGCTTTAACTTCATCTTAAACTGACATGTATCAGCTCAGGATGAAAACTCTCTGTCATCATCAGCCGTCCCTCCACGTTCGCTCCCGTGACTCCTCCAACTTCGCCGCTGTCACATTAAAAACAAAACACACATTCATGCATGTACCCTCCCTTAAAATCTCTCCGCTAAGAAGATCAAGCGAACGAGTCTCTGTCAAAATGTAATGTATTATTACCGAGGAGGTAGACTTTCATCTAAAAATAACACGCCCGCTGCAGCCGAATCTGAACCTCACGGCGGTTTAAGGTCAAACTGAAGCGCGTGTTGAATCGTATGTTGGAGAGGACTAAATAAAACCATGACGAGAGAAGATGGGACTTAAAAACGGCAAAGTTGTCAATACTAAAACCATTATCCAGACCGTTATCGAGTCTTTTCTCAACCCGACCCTGAACGCCTCACAATGCAATCATTCATCACCTCTGTTAAAAAGCTTTCCTCCTGAATTTTAACTCTGATTTTAAGACTGGATCGTGATTTTAAACTAACAGGACTTAGTTTAGAGTCTGTGTTTACGTCAGCTGCTTTGAGTGAAGAGGAGGATGGCGGCACCGAGTCGTTTTAAGCTGCAGACAGTCAAAGACGCTGCAGGTACTTTGGTTTGATTTGATGCACACCGCTGATGTGTTCGTCCTCAAATTCAGAAACCTCACTCGACATCGACCCGCTTTGCAGGCTCCTCAGATAAGCATCACGCCGTCAGCCCTGAACCGCTCCTGCACATTTTAGGACAGGATGACTGCAGATGTTTTTGCAGAGTTTGCATGAAGACGGTTCAGGCTTTAAAAACAAACTATGTCGTGCTCGCTCGCTGCATTAAAAAAATATGCAGGGTGATGTAACTGACTAATTAAATAGGTTAGTGAAAATCAGGTCATTGATTCTGTGCTGTGATCAGTCTTATTGTTGCTGGTAATTAAAGTTCTCATTGAGTGTTTTCAACATGACGGTAACCTGTCTGAGGGGATCTCTCCCTGCAGGACTGCTTTAGTTTTCTTCAGGTGGACCTAAACTGGCAGCTGAGTGTTTGTGAGCGGTACCAGAGGACCTGTGTTTGTGTGTTCCCCGCTCCCTTACAACAATAATGTACCTTTTATGGCATGCATATTTCATGAGATGTCAGACACACTTTGTAAACTCCCTGCTGCTGCTGTACTCTGTGTTGTTTTAGAGCCTGTGTGTGTGTGTGAGAGAGAGAGAGAGAGAGAGAGAGAAGAGTCTAGGGGTGTGTTTCGTTTCACACAGGCTACTTTATTGTAACTTTCTACAACTCAGAGTGACTTTTCAATCCAGTGTTTGAGAAAATCTGTTAATCTGGATCTTTAAAAGTAAATCATTCCCTCCTTTTTTTCTTCTTCAGCTGAAATAGATCGATGTCTGAAAAAAGTAGCGGAAGGAGTGGAACAGTTTGAAGACATCTGGCAAAAGGTGAGGAAGATCGACGGATGATTTTGCTCTCTGATAAATATTTATTTTGACGTTTTAATTTGATTGTTAGAAAAGCCCAAAACGCCCATCTGGGCTTCCCTCCTGAAGCTGCTGCCCAGTGACCCGGACCTGGATGAAGCAGAAGAGAATGAAAACGATTGCAAAACTTTTTCAGTGAAGAGTAACTTTTGCAGTATTTACGCACAAATTTAGGGTTTACATGATTTGCAAACCACAAAAGTTTGTTTTTATCGACCTTTTACTAACTGAGTTCTGCATCTTCTAGACTTGAAGCGTCTTATTTGACCATAAAACCATAACGCAGCCTCAGTAAACAGACGACATGGACATCATACCTGTTGGACTTTGAGGTCTTGTTTTCTAAATTGAGGTTTCATTTAAACTCTGTGTCCTTTTCAGCTTCACAATGCAGCCAACGCAAACCAGAAGGAGAAATATGAAGCAGACCTCAAGAAAGAGATTAAAAAGCTACAGGTAAGAGGACAGACGGATGGACAGACGGACAGGGGTCAGGTGTTTCAAGGCCAGTCAGAAACAGTCGGGGTGAAATCATCGAGGTCGTTTTAGGCTCTGAGATTTTATAAAAGTGGAGACAGTGGTGGTTTTCTGACCTCTCAGAGCAGCTCCCTTGTGTGAGTGTGTGTGTTCGAGTATAGAGTGTTAAATATCATCACAGTCAGCTGGCGGTGTGTGCATCTCCTCGTGTGTGCGTCTCCTAGTCGTCGCCATGCGGACCAAACTCCAAGCCAAGCCTGTTTGCTTCACGCAGACACCGAGTTCAGCATCCGTGACTGTTTAGGTCGAGCCTCTGATCACTCATGAAGCTGTTTCTCTCCCTCTTCTTCACTTTCTTTGTCTTCTTCTGGTTCTTCAGCGTCTTCGAGACCAGATCAAGACGTGGTTGGCGTCCAACGAGATCAAAGACAAACGGCAGCTAGTAGAGAACCGCAAACTAATAGAGACGGTGAGTAGAAACATCGCGGAGCTGAGGTAACTGCTGGACCTGCGTTTAGAGCTGAGAATAACGCTTTAATTTCTCAAAACTGGAGCTGATCTGTCTTAAGAACTGTTGGAAAAATAGATATTTTTGGAGGATAACTGCCAGTGTAAGATAAAGTGATGGTATGAGTGCTTTTGTGGATTCAGGTATGATATATATAAGGAGTTTATTCAGCTGTAAATCATGCACATTGTTGCTCTGGTGTCCCAGACTGATAAAAAAAGAGGAAATGAGTCTAACAGGCGTCCTTCAAGTCAAGTTATCCTGCGAACAACATCCATTTAAAGGGATCAGATCAATTAACCCTTAGAACTCCCTCCTTTATTTTCTATTTTTGGTCCGCCTGTTTTTCTATTTGTAAAAATCTATGTAACAACTGTATCTGTCAGTTTCTGTCAGTTTATGCAAAAATGATGTAAAATGAATGTGACAGGAGATCCAGAACCATCAAAGTCAACCAAGAAACAAAAACGGAAATTGATACCAACAGTACTTTGCTCAAAAATCACATTAATCTACAGTGACCAAGCCTTTTCTCACCTGCACATCATTCTGTTAAGTCTTGGCTATCAGGAGAAGAAATATTGGGATTGGAACAAACACACAACACAAGCTATTGACATATTTACACTAATTCTTCCAGGCGTTTTTTACTATTTACAGTTGTTTCTGCCACGACTTGAAGCAGTTCCTGTCTGGGATGAGACAGAGGACCACATCATACTGCTCAGAATCTCTTTTTTGCTCGTTTCCAAACATTAAGGACCATTATTTCTTATTTTGCAGACAAGCAGGGAACTTTCTTGTCTCCTGTTGATCTTTAATTGCCTCTTATTGGACACAATAGAAGAAGAATATGAGACCATGTAATTGGTCGAAAGTTTGACAGAAAAAGACGTCATCAAAACAGCTTGTCAAACCCGGAAGACATTGGCGGCATTTAGCGGCAGCGATCGTTTTTTTTTTTATCACCACAATATGATAAATAATCATGTTTTCACTTTGGATTTACCATCAAACATCTCTGATCAAACATCTATTTTTGTGGCTGGATTGTAAACCTTGTGGCAGGTGTAGAAATGTCAGGAAACCCTCGATAGATCGCCAAAAGGATAAGCTTTTTAACACATTTCATCCCATAGAGATCCACGGTATAGTTCCCGAGAAACTGTGAACAATATTAATGGTGTCACGTGGGATCGCTGGTATTAATTGTAAATATCGGGTTGTCATAGTTTCACAGAAGAAGCCTCTAAGTGAGGATCTTAGACTCACGCAGGACCACAAGGTCAGATATGCAGAAAGGTCAGTAACAAGGTTTTAAAGTCAGATGTAAAAACAGTTTCTGAGATTGCTCTCATAGTAAGAATCTGGCGTTCTTCATAGAGAGCAGGGAATCATGGGAGCTGGTCTGATATCGACCACCTGCTCTTTAGCGTAGCTTCCCCGTCCGCCAGCCCGCAGAGCCACACGAGCCTTTGATGAGGGCTATTGAGGTGGACTGAATGTGAGCCACCTGCCCGCACAATGAGCGACTCTCCAGCAACCCTCTGGTCCTGATGAGCCGGTCTTTATCCCGGAGCTGCTCTTCAAGACTTCCTCTGGTTTTCATGGTCGACCTGAAATTACACGCTGGGTCTTAAAAATCCTGCAGGAAACATCTGCGGGTTTGAGAGAAACATCAACTCTGGGCCAAAAAGGAAAAAGAGACGTCAGAAATGAAGCTTCAAGCGTGTTTGAGGCGTTTGGCAGGCCTGAATACATGTTTGGTGTTAAAATCACAGCTTTGGTTTTTATGTTTGAGAGGAGAAGAAGAAGAAGAAGAAGAAGAAGAAGAAGAAGAAGAAGAAGCTGCAGTTACAGACAAGAGGAGGTCCTCTGCTTTAATGACTCCTCCAGCGTGAGGGTCCGTTTTTAGAGATTTCTGTCATTTTGATGAATTTTTAAAATGACAGTGACACAAAAGACCAAAAGAAAGTAGGACATATTTTCAACTATTGCATTAGAGTTAATACTCACAATTTGAAAGAGTTTGAAGCATCTTTATTTATAGTTTTTTACTGAAATAGTTTAAAATTTAACACCTTTTCTTTCTGGTTCACCAAAACTGTTTCTTTTGTACTTTAAAGCTCCCGTAAGAAGTTTTTTTTACATTCATGAATGAAACTGAAATTCATATTTATGCCTTTATATGGTCAACAAAAGCAAACAAGACCATCAGCGACATGACTGATGATTTTTTAACTTCATTTTTGATGCCTGAAACTGGTGTGAGGGGGAACATGTGAGTGGAACAGTTGAAGGAACAGTCTGTTCTTCGTTTTCCACAACAAAAATTCACAGTGAATGAAACATTCCAGCAGAAACAATCGTCAGCAGAATGACTATAGTTTCTCTCTTTAGCATGTAAAGGACTGTTTTGTCCACAGGGGGCACCAAAAATGACAAGAAACAGAAGTTCCTCTCAGGAGCTTAAATTCAAATTCAAACTCAACTTTATTTGTATGGCACTTTTCATACAAAAAATGTAGTTCAAAGTGCCTCGAAATAAAATCCGACCCTCCCACCGACACACACACCCACTGATCCACACGCACATGTTTGAGAGACATGGCCTGACACCGAGACATTATGTGAGGAAAGAGCTGCCTCTGGTGAACACTGGAGATAAAAAAAAAGAGATAAAAATGGTAAAGAGTAAAGCCTGATGGACTAAAACAAGAAAATAATATTAAATGAACAGATAAGAAAAAGCTCTTTACTGTATAAAAAAGGGTTAAAAGAAGTAAAAACCTGTGATGGGAATTAAGAAAAAGACTAAGAACAGAGATAATTAATAAAATGACAAAAAATATACAATAAGAACTACGATGAAAATGAACATTTGCAGTAAGAGAAATTAGTGAAAAGCCTGGTTAAAAAGGTGAGTCTTGAGCCTCTCCTTAAAAACATCAACAGTCTCTCAGAAAAAGAGTGATTTTTTAAAAATTTTTTAAACAAAACTGGAATTATTTTAGTGTTTTAAGTGTTTGTGTATTCCTGAGTAGATTTTTCGAAGCCTTTCTATTTCCAGCGTCGTCATGAACAAATATTTAAGATGTGAATGTGTTTGAAAAACAATAAAAGGCTTAGATTTACTCAGCTCTAAAACTGTGGGACTGAATTGATCATTTTCTACATTTACCCCTCCACAAAAATGAGCAAAATGTCAGCAGCTGTTTCCCTGAAATGTTACTCATGGTGACTCTCTGATGTGGCGCCTTGACATAAAAAAGTAAAAGTAATAATCCTTTAAATCTGTAAGTTTATTATAAAATAATCTGTTTATCTGGAGCATTTCGTAGGTTTGAGTCTTTTTGAGTTTCGACTTGTGTTACTTGTGAGATTTTTAAACGTGAAAACAAACTTTCAACCTCCTCAGAAAACTAAAATCTTCAGGCCTGTTCCAGTATTTTCGTATCTGTATGTTTGTCTCCCTCCTCTTCCTCATATTTATGGGATCTGTGTCTAATGTTGTCTGTTTGCAGCAAATGGAGCGGTTCAAGGTTGTGGAGAGGGAAACAAAGACAAAGGCGTACTCTAAAGAAGGGCTCGGTCTGGCCCAGAAGGTGGATCCGGCTCAGAGGGAGAAGGAGGAGGTCGGCACGTGGCTAACGGTGAGCTAAACTTTTAAAAAACAAGTGTAAATATGGTGATGAACAGATGTTTAGTGCGTGTACTAACACTCTAGAGCAGAGTCATTTCTATCAAGAGTTTTTAAGTTCGATTGTTTTCTTTGTGTTTTTCCCGCAGAATACGATAGACACGCTGAACATGCAGGTGGACCAGTTTGAGAGCGAAGTGGAGTCTCTTTCAGTCCAGACCAGAAAAAAGAAAGGAGACAAGGAGGTCAGTGTGTTCCCATCTCTCATCCATTCACCTCCCTCTCCTCTCCCCTCCGTCTGTTTCTTTTCTCTGTTTGAATCTGACACTGGGGTCGCTCGCTCCGCCGCCTCTCCTCTCCTCTTTAATCTCTCCCTCTCTCTCTCTGGTGGAGAGGTCAGATAGCGAGTCCTCTATTTATCTTCAGCGTCTGCCCAGGAGAGGATAACCTTGCTGACCACTTTTTTTACTTTCCTTCTCACACGCTGGCTTTAAAGTCGTCTCCAGGGGCCTCATTTAGAGAAAACCTCTTTGACTTTATCCTTGACGAGCGGCATTGATTTTTGGAGAACATGAGAACGGGCAAATCCAGCGTACAGCCTTCATACTTCGTACCTGCAAAGTCATAAAAAAAATTCAGGCTTCATGCCAGAGAAGAAGAGCAGAGGAGTTTTTCCAACATTATTTAACAAAACTTTCTATCGGTCTAACTGGAGCGTTCGTGCTCCTGCAGCTTTAATATGTCCTCTGATAAAACACATTAACACGTTCTGCACAACATGCGTCCAGAGTGTTTCCTTTAACCACGTCGGTTCAGTGAAGCAGAGATTCGCACACGCTCCCTCGAACACTTCCCTCTGAAATGACCTCGGATTTATGTTCGGAAACACTCTGTGACGCCTCCAGACCGGATATAAAAACAACAAGAACACAGAAATACAAAATAAATGATGTTTAAGTGCTCTGGAACATGTATGAATTAACTGTGTGGAAGGAGGATGAAATATTTAAAATGTCGCTGCGACTGTTTTATGATGCAGAAAACCCATTAAGAGCTCGTGTAGCTGCGCTCTCAGGCTGCCGCGTTTCCTCACTTCTGTGTGTCGTACTTTAAAATTTAACACGTTTTTCTTTTTTTTGATGAATTAATTATTGAAAATGTTTTTGTTTTACTCTAGAGGAATACATCCTTTTGGCCCCTGGATGTTATATGTTAGCAGAACAAAACACAGACGTGTAACTAAAACTTCAAACATGTGTTAATCTTAAAGGAAATGTAAGTTTTGTTTAGTTTTAACTCAACTTTATTTTAAAAGTGCTCCACATTGAAGCAAACAGGAATAAAATAAGAGAACTCAGGATTCATACAATTAAATAAAGTTTAAGAAGAAAAAACTAAAACTTCCAGAGACGAAGCAGCTGAGAAAACAAAACGTCTTTCTAACTGAGTTTGTTTTTTTTTTCTTCTTTTCTGACTCGATTGTCCAGAAACAGGACCGGATCGAAGAGCTGAAGAAGTTCATCGAGAAACATCGACACCACATTCGGATGCTGGAGACCATCCTGAGGATGCTGGACAACGACTCGGTGCAGGTCGATGCCATCAGGAAGATCAAGGTTGGATTAAAAGTTTTTAACTAAAACAAAGTCTCTGAAAAAATGGAAAAGTTTCATTCCTTCTCAAAGAAATAAAGATTGTTTAGTTACGGTATGTGTCGCATATCCATGTACATCATAAATTAATAAACGTTTCATGATTTTTACTTTATGAAGGACGACGTGGAGTATTATCTCGACTCGTCGCAGGATCCAGACTTCGAGGAGAACGAGTTTCTGTATGATGATCTGGACCTTGAAGACATCCGTAAGTCCAGAAGGAGTTTGGTTGAATTTAATTGCACAAAACCCCAAAAAACTTCAACAGCAAGTGCAAGTTTTTTTCTCTTTAACGTTTTAAATACACGGTGAAGGAAACAAACAGGGGCCAAGATAGAAAAAGTCTACTTAAAACTTTTTAAGCTTGACTTTTGAACCTTTTAAATCCTGCAGGAAAGTGTGATTGAAGCAGTAACGCTGTGACTAATCCCTCCTCTTTCTGTTTCTCTGCCCTCTCCAGCTCAGACGCTGGTCGCCACCTCCCCGCCGGGACACTCGCACTTAGAGGACGAGATCTTCCAGCACTCCAGCAGCACACCCACCTCCACCACCTCGTCCTCACCCATCCCCCCCTCGCCTGCAACTTGCACTACGGTAAAAAGAAAAAAAAGGGATTATACTATCAGGCATAAAGCCGTTTAAAGCAGGTGTGAGGAACTTTCAGTTTGCGTGGATTTTGGCACCTCCTGTGGAGAAAGTGTGTAATTGTGGATGCAAAAAACATGACTAAAGTAAAGCGGATTTACTGATTCTAGCAGAAAAAAGTCTCAGATTCAAGATTAAAGTGATCTTTTACTGTCGTCTTTATCAGGCTCAATTCAAACTCAATTTGTTCTGTTAACTTTTGTAAAGTTAGGTCCCAGAGTTTAGGATAATCGCCTTTGTATGTGCCCCGCCATCTGCTCTCATTGTTTCTGCTCTTTTGTCATCATATCATCGGTTCTTCCCTCTCCCGCCCACACGCGGTTAGCTGAGAGTTATTATAGCTTTAATGTGTCTCTTCGTTGTGGGTGGGGGTGGTTGTTAGCGGCTGATGAAACAGAGTTTTACTTAAGCATGAAAGGAAATGTAAAGGAGGGAGACGAGCGCCGCGATGATTCATGGGAAAAGTGATTGTTTAACTTTTAATTATCTGAGGAAAGTTCATGGAAATGATTTTGCTTTGAAGAAATAAGAGCCCGTCTCGAAGTTGGAGTGGAGTTTCTGATATAAGCTATAAGTCTGCACATTTCCAAACAGCAAACTCACAATAATCGGCACCTTGGTCTAGTGCTGGGTGATAAAATGATAACGATATAAACCAAAAATTAATTTCCCTTGATATCAATTTAAAACTATAAAACTAACAATATAAAAGGGCGTTCTCCAGGATTTAGCTGAGTTTAGAGCGGTAAAGTGTATGGCGTGTGTCCCTGTTAAAAGACACGGATACAGATGTCCAGTTTAGTGGTGGATTTATTTGACTGTGGTAAACAATACATTCAACAATATAGCATCCAACTTGGACAGTGAAACATCATAAAACTCACTTCTGGCATTTACACACAATAAACCCGGGATGTGAAGGTGAATATTGGGTAAAAACAGGTACGAGGAAATCTTCGAACTTTCCTCCGTAGCATGAAAAGGACAACTAAACTTTCACAGCTGCGGCATCTCAGATACAGGTGCGGTGCGTTCATTTGCGTCGGAACGCCTCTAGTGCGTTCAAGAGCGTAGAACAAATTAAAACTCACCATAAAACACAATATAACTGAACGGTATTTACTTAAAAACACCTAAACCAACAGGCATTCTGCCATGTCTCAAGCGCAACGCTTTACGACAAAACGTCAAAGAGACACGCAGACCTCACAGATGCAGGAGATTATTGTATTGCAAAAGACATGCCATCAATAAGATTTGTTAAATGTCATTTTTTATATCATGATGTACACTACGGGCCAAAAGTTTGGAAGCAAAGCCATTCAGGCCGAACAGTTGGGAGTAACTTTAAGTTTTTGTTCTTGAAAAAGAGATATGAGTGGGCAAAAGCTCACAAAAATTGGACTTAAACAAGTTTGCACTGTTTGGTTCAAAACGCAGAGTCTATGTCTGCAGACAAAGTGGTGAGCATCTGAAAGCACCATGTGTAACACCCACAATTCAGCATGGAGGTGGTAGTTCCATGATATGGGGATGTTTTGCAGGTGATGGAGTAGGAGATTTGTTTGAAGTCAAGGGTATCATGAAGAATGAACAGTACCACTCCATCCTCCAGCACCATGCTGCTCCATCTGGACTCAGACTTGTGGCTCATAAGTTTGTTTTGCAGCAACACAATGACCCTAAGCACTCTTAGGGTCCGTGATAAACTTTTTCCTCTATCCCCAGTCCTCCGTCTCATTTTCTGTCTTTCTGTATCATCGACTTGTTTTTTTTTCTCTGGCCTGATGTTTTCTTCTTTTCCGTTTTTTAGGAGAACTCAGAAGATGACAAGAAAAGGGGGCGCTCAACCGACAGTGAAGTTAGCCAAGTGAGTTTCAAACACAACAGACCCTGAAACACACAGCTTTACTCTTTTACACACACACACACACACACACACACACACACACACACACACACACACACACACACACACACACACACACACACACACACACACACACAGAGCTGTCCCGCCCTGTCAGCTCTGAGGTCACACACAGCCTCTATTACTGCCTCAACCACCTCAATCTGGACTCTCAGGATCTCCTCCATCTGCCGCTTTTATTTGATCATTTGCTTCTTTTTCAGTCACCTGTGAAGAATGGAAACCCCTCATCCTCGTTATCCTCGTCCTCCTCCTCTTCATCCTCCTCATCCTCCTCTTCGTCCTCCTCTGTCTCGGGACTGACCTCATCCTCTCTGGTCTCTATGGTGACCATCGCAGGGGGAGGAGGCAGTGGCGGCAGCAGTGGCGGCTCTGGGGGCAGCAGTCACCACTTGAATTCTGGGGGTCTCCTCTCCAACATCTCCGCCGGCAGCTACAGCAACGCCACGCAGCAGCCCCCCCACCCGTCAGCACAGCAGCAGGCCAAAAACTCTCTCAACTCCTCCTCCTCCTCCGCCCCCCTACCCAACTCCACCTCCACTAACAGCCACCCCCCCTCCTCCGCCTCCTCTCCTCCCAACGTCAGCACACAGGGGCTTCTCTCCTCGACCTCCCAGCTGCCCTCGCTGTCAGGACCCCCGCAGACCTCCAACAGTCTGGGCCTGAGTCTGGGTCTCTCTCCAGGGAAAGGCGGCATGTCAGGCTCCATCGCCACCAGCCCCATGTCCGCTGGTCTCGACCTGTCAGGGATGCCGGCGTCCCTGAGCACCATGGCGAGCCTCCTGTCCAGTGCCACCCCAGCGCCCTACGCTCAGGCAGCCGCAGCTGGGACCCTCAGCTCAGGCCTGCCGGGCTCTTTAGGCGGGGTTAGCACCACAGCGACAAACAGCACGCTCGGCTCCATCGGCAGCGGCAACATCGCGGTCGGCGGGCCAACGTCCACGACAGGAGGCCTGCTGGGAGCGGCGCCCGGGGTGAACAGCATCAGCGCTGGGATTCTGGTTTTGAGCTCAGGTCAGTCGGGGCTGCAGGGGTCCTCTCTGGTATCGCTAAGCCCAGTTGGAGGTTTGGCGCCTGGGAGTGGAGTAGGAGTCATCGGGAGTAACGGAGGAAGCTCAGGATCAACAGGAAGCGGGGTGGTGGGAGGAAACTCGTCGCTGTCCATCAGACCGCCGAGTCAGCAGAAGCAGAACGGAAGCACCAGTGAGTATCTGAGGAGGAGCGAAGGTGGAGATCGCAGCATTTTAACTCTCCTTTACTGCAACTTCTCTGAAGACGACCTAGAAAAGTTTAGTAGCTCACAGTCATTTTTACTGGAATCCACACAAATCACTGTGGGACCCGTCTTCAGCTTCCCCCCTTTTAACTTTACGATCCAATGAAAGTTTAGCAGGTTTAACACCAGGTATATCAGTTTGTAATAAAAGTAATAACATTGTTCTTGACTTCTCTCTGTCGAGTAACCCACTGTCTGAAGATTCAATCAAGCTGTTTCCACACATGAACTTCGGGAGGAAATTCCTCAAGATATCAGGAACATTTCTGAAAATTTCAGGAACATTTCTAGAAAATTTCAAGAAAATGCCTAGAAAATATTGAAAAATTCCTAGAAAATTTCAGGAAAATTTAAAAAAAATTCCTAGAAAATTTCAGGAAAGTTCCTAAAACATTTTTGGGAAAATTCCAAAAAAATTTTAGGAAAATTTCTGAAAATTTCAGGTTTTGTTACCCGGAAATTTAACAGACAGAATAATGGTGTGATTTTAAGTGATACGGTCAACAGCGCACAAATACACATCTCCTAAAATCTTAAAAGTTCTAAGTTGATGCTAGCAGTCTATCTCTTTTTCAGAACTTTTGTAGAATTTCAAACTTACATAAAATTTTCAGATTTTCAAGTTTTATAGACATAATTTCTCATCAGCACTTTTTGCAAGAGGAAAAAAAACAACTAAAAGACTGCAGTGCTATAGTGTGTCATCTTCACTTTATAGGCTGTTATAACATTAACATTATAGCAGTCATTGATTTAGTTTGCCAGATATTGAACTCTTTTTCTCTTTTTTTCTCAAAAACAAAAACCTAAAATCAGTTGATTGAAAGTATTTAAGATGTTTCAGGATCTTTAACAGGACAATTAATGATCTAAAATTGTTGTTTTTGTAACAGGTTACAGTGCTGTGGTAGCAGACAGCACAACAGACTCCGCCCTCAACAGTGCCAGCCAATCACAAAGCAGCCAATCTTCGTCTTTGACCTCTACAGCCAATCAGCCGTGAGTCTGAAAATGAGGACTTGTATCATTTAGAATTCACTCATTTTGAAACTTCTGTAACTAGTTTGAACTTTTTTTTTTAAGTTTAAACAACAGCAGCAGTGATTTTTACAGTTTGTCTTTCTCTCTCTCCTTCTGTGTCCCTCCCTCCAGTAAGGACACTGGTCCCAGTTTACTCGGCCCCCTGAGTTTGTCGTCCTCCATCTCTCCGTCTCCAGCTTTCTACAGCGAGGCCAAAACGGTGAGCGGAGGCAGCCTGCTGAACGGCCCGCTGTCCTACTCGCAGCCCTCAGACAGTATCAAGGTGAGGGACAAAGCGGACAATCGCGATCTTCGCCGGTGTTTGAATCTGATTTTTACGGCGTGATAAAGGTGCAAGACGTCAGGCAGGATCTGTTTTCCCATGAGCCTCTTTGTCTGTCTTCATCAGCCCCAGGAGCCTCTGAGCAGCCTGAAGTCCATGGCCGAGCGAGCATCACTCAGCTCAGGGATGGAGGGAGACGTGCCCTCCCCGCACCTCACCTCAGGTACACGCACACGCGCACACACAGACACACACTCACAGGGTAACAAAAGAAATGGAGGGTTGTCTCGGAGCAGAAATAGACAAGCTGTAGTTTAATGGAACAAAATGTCATCTCACCTCCCACTCGGCCTCCTCTGAACAAAAACTGATGATGATACTATCAGCCCTGACTCAACTTCTCTCTCTTTGTCCTCCATCCCTCCCCCATCCGCCCCGCTCACTCCCCCACATTTTCCCTCTCTCCTCTCCCTCCTCAGACATCTTCCCCAGCAGCACTACGGCTCCGTCGGGGCCCCCGTCAGCACCTCAGCCCTCGCTGTCAGAGGTCAGCATCCCGCCGTCATTGGGGGTCTGCCCGCTCGGGCCGGTCCCCCTGTCCAAAGACCAGCTCTACCAACAGGCTATGGAGGAGGCGGCGTGGACGCACATGCCCCACCCGTCTGACTCTGAGAGGATCAGGTCCAGTCACAATTTTTTTTTCATCTCCATCCTGAAAAATCAAACTTGGTCTCATCTTGACTTTTAGAGGGTCTTAAATCCTCGATATCACAAACATGTCTGAATAATGAACCACATCTACACTCCCTGGTTAATATGACATGATTTTTATAATCCTATTTTGTGACTTTTTCTTGTATTCAATCTGAGCTCCCATACCTACATTTCAGTCCTGACACCTCCCTCTCAGAGGATGGGATGCTTTTTATTCTGATAGCAATCATCAGCGTGGGTTTGCTGCATCATGTCTGGACTTGTGATGCTTTCAGACATGATGGTAAATTTTAAGTACAGGGGGACAATAATCTGTAATGTGCATTTGGTGGGTGTCAGATTTGATCGCTGTGACGGTCTCCATTGACTCTAAGGTGATTTGAAACGTGGGAAATGTAGTTCAATGATCTTAACTCATTCAGTGCCAATCACGGATCTGGACAGATTTTTTAGTTGTTGTTTTTTCCACCAGAGGGCGCTCCTCCCCAACATGCGACTAAGTTTGGGGTCGTTCTGAATGCAGAAAAGCCGACAAATACGTCATCACCAAGTTACAATAACAAAAACAAGCCCCGGCCAGTGAGAAGTGTGCCATCAAATTTGCCTATTAGCCGAGTTGTCAAGTCATTAGCCAAGAGCTAACGGTCTTGGCGCTGCTAACGGTGCTAACCTCTCTGGATTTAGTGGAGATCCCGATACCAGACCTTTACATCGTCGGCCAACAATCAAAGAAACAATTTTCTGCCGCGTTGTTGTGCCGTTACTGGTGAGCGAGACTGAGCCGGAATTCGGCGAGGAGGATGCGAGCGGTCTGCGTGGTTTACGTCACAGCATCAGGTTCTCGAGAGCCAATATGACTACCAGCCACCACAACGTGACCTATAACAATCGGTTATCGAGAGTGATGAGGAGTGTTGTTCGAGAAGAGAGGATCTTGATGCCACCGGTAAAATAGTTTGAAGTGAAATAAAATAGACGATCAGAGTTCTGCTTGAAAGTCTCTCCTTCGTAAAAATGTGTTTTTTCCAGATCTGCAAAGATGATATGACCACGCTGCATTGAGCGGACAATAACTAAACACAGGAGTGGGTTAGAGACAAACTTTTTTTTCTGGTGAAAGAAGAGGATAAGCCTTTTTTTAGAGGTATTGCACTTAATTCTAGTCCAAGCACAGGATATTCTGTGAGTCCTGAAAGTTACAGAAATTGCTCTTGCAGTCAATGATGTTACTGGGTGAAAATTGCACTGAATGAGTTAATAGTTGACAAAAGTCATTTCAATGTGGCTCCTAAATCCTCCCTATTCATCTGTAGATAAACAGAAAAAATCAGTTTGTTCTAGATAATAACTCTTGTGTATTTAAGAGGCCTGAAAAAAGAAACAGATTAACAGGCGTGTGCGAAAAACTCTCCTCTGTTTGGTCTTTGTTTCCATCGTTTGCTTTTCTGACGCCGAAGATTTGAAGGAGCTCGTTTCAGATTCTCCGTTTTTATCCACTTGAATCAAAAACACACAAAATCAATCACAGAGATTCAACACCGGGAGGATTCGAGGCTTGTGAACATGATGCCACTGTGTTTGATATGTGATTAGTGATTTTAAAACACCACACACACACACACACACACTCACAGACACACACAATTAGAGAGCTGGTTCTGCTGGCTCTGTATCTGCTGCGCTGTCAGCCCACACAGGTACAATTGACATTTAAATCCAAACACTCAAACCCTCTCAAAGCTCAGTACCTGTTGTGTTCAACTGTTAAAGAGGACACACACACACACACACACACACACACACACACACACACACACACACACACACACACACACACACACACGAAGCTTGAGTCATGTATTTTTTACTGTTTCATCTTCTAACACCGATAGCAAACCTTTTTTGCGGAGCTCCTCACATACAAGCACAGCCTCAAGTCTGTACCTGCAGGGACTTTACATGCCATGACAACAAATGAAACCAGCTGCAGAACTGATGGGTCAATTAAATACTTATATTTTATTTATTTTATTTTATTTTATATTTTTCGAACATGTGTGTGCAACACAAGAAAGTAAACTGAAAACAAACAAAAACAATAATAGTAAATAATAACGATGATGATAATGTGAACCCAACATGTCCGAAAAGGAGCAGGATGAAGCATTATGTTTAATTAAACCTACCCCTTCTCTGCTACTTAATTAACAGTCAGTCACTCCAACATATTTACATTATATTTACAAGAAAATAGAAAATAAATTAAGTAAAGAGAAAAGTAAGAGAAAAACTCTTCTTCCTCCCTGTACCTGGTGAGAACCATGTGTTGGTACCGCTTTTTTCACTTAATATATAAATATATATATATATATGTATATATATATATACATATAATTGTATTAATATGGAAACAAAAACTCTTTAAAATTTGTTTATGTTGCGTATTTCAGCACCAAGGCTTAAAATTCAGAAGTTTACATAAATTTACAATCACAGACTTTGTAAACTTTTAATTTTCTGTGTCTTTGTCGGATACTTTTTCCATCTGTGCCAGTCCAGAGGAACCTGTTGCTCATGTTAAATGGTGTTTACTGTCGCCATAATAATGCTGAATGTAAATTATGTGTTTAAGCACCTTTAGTAGGGCTGGGGCCGATATGCTTTTCTCCCGATTCGATTCTTCTACGAGTTTTTGGATGCCGATTTGATTTAATTTTTGATTCTTCCTGATTATTAGTCTGCATTTTTAATACCAGTGAAACAGTTTAATGATTATGATTGTTTACTGACTATTCCAAGAACCATACTTCCCCAAAAAATACACAACACATGTAAGTCAGTTTTTAAGATTTGTTCTTGAATTTGAGAAGAAAAAAAAAATCGATTTTTGATCAAAAAAATCAATTTAAAAATTGTAAAAGAAAAAAATTGCGACACTTACGTGAATCCATTTCTTTTCCCACCCCTAACCTTTAGTGTCAATGTGTCTCCTAAGTCCTCTCAAGTTGATTATTACAGATGGAGTCATTAAGATTTTAATATTTACCTGGACATAAAAAGGTTGTAATTATTTGTGATTGTCATGACACGACTGTTTAGAGCCAAACAAGCCACTTATTATAAAAAAGTGAGGAAAAAATAAACATGTATTTTTACTGGAGAGCTTTTGAGATCGTGATCATTTGATGAAAGTGTATTTGGTTTTAAGCACACTCACTGATACTCCTGTTTACAGCCCCATACAGTGACCCGTGTGTCCGTACGTGAGGACTCTGTTAGTCAGACACTTGAACCCTCCGGCGAGTGTTTATCCGTCTTTAACTCTCTGCTGCCCGTCGGCGTTGAGGAGTATTTTTGGTGCGCGCTGACCTCCAAACGTTGTGATGGAAACAGAAAGTTTGTCGGGAAGCTAAAAATAGAGGCTTTGGTTTTGGAAAGTTTATCTGGGCTGAATGAGTGAGCTCTTTGTATCAGCGGGGAGTTAAATGACTGCAGTGGTCACATTGATGAATTCATTAACCGGCCTGAAAAAGTCGATCAAATAACCTCTTAAGCGGATCAGATTATAAACCAGGGAGACTTTGATGCATTTGACCTTTTCATGATCTCTAAAACTGAACGGAAGCATGATGTGTCAACTTCACAGGCAGTACCTGATGAGGAACCCGTGCCCCACCCTGCCTTTCCACCACCAGGTGCCACCGCCTCACTCCGACACTGTAGAGTTTTACCAGAGGCTCTCCACAGAAACCCTCTTCTTCATCTTTTACTACCTGGAGGTGAGTAGCGTTGTGTCGTTGGCGAACGATTCGTTCAAAAGAACCAAATCCTTTAAGCGAACGTACTGAACAGAATCACTTCCTTGAGCGATTCGTTTGTTTCTCACTTTATTTATGGTCGTCTTTCCTCCGTCCTCTCTGTAGGGCACTAAGGCCCAGTATCTGGCAGCCAAAGCCCTGAAGAAGCAGTCCTGGAGGTTCCACACAAAGTACATGATGTGGTTTCAGAGACACGAAGAACCCAAGACCATCACTGATGAGTTTGAGCAGGTATTTAAAAAAAACCTGTGGACTCCTGCTACGGTTTTTACTTTACCTGGGTTTATTTTTCCATCTTTAAATCCGTCTCTCTGTGTTTCTTTTCTCAGGGAACATACATTTACTTTGACTACGAGAAATGGGGCCAACGGAAGAAGGAAGGCTTCACGTTTGAGTACCGGTACCTTGAAGACCGAGACCTCCAGTGACCTGCAGCCAAAAAAAACGAAGCAGACACACAAAGACAGACACAGACGGACAACACACAGCCGAGGAAGGACAAGACGGATGGAGGGCGAAACAAATGAAGAAGTTGTCCACCTGCTGACATTCCTGGGTTTGACCTCGACTCTCAGAGGAGAGGAGATTTCAGGATGAAGAGGGTGGATGGGTTCACACGGACACTTTAAAAAAAAAACCCTCCACCCCTCCTCCTCTGCCATCCCTCCATCATCGGGCTTTTCCTCCTCCTGAACTGGATCTCCTTTTTCAAGAAGACTCTGACAGATAAGACACAGAAATCACACCTAATACTCAGACTATCACATGCTTTCCCCTCTGCGTTCTCTTCTTCTGTTGGCTTTAAAAACCTTTTCGCTTATGTAGCCCTTTTATGAACCAAAGATTATTGGTTAATCAAACAGAAACAGGCTCTGTCTTTTTTCCATAAGAGTGAGGAAAACCTAAACCCACATCCAAACACACACCTGACCTGTGCGGTCGCAGGGATGCAACATCTGTCTGAGTTTTTACAGGGAGCAGAGATGCAGCAGCAGGGCAGGGATGACAAAGAGGTTTCCTGAGTGTGGCTCCTCTCGTCGCAGGTTTACGTCTTTATACCATTTGGGCCGATAAGAACAAACATGTGAATCATTTGTTTAACTGCGATGGATCATGAAATCTAAATGCCTACATCTTGAGGTTACACACAGATAAAAACAAGCATAACTAAATAACTCGATTATCTCAAACGGCTGAGACCTGGATTCAAAATCTTGTCTTATATCAAAACCAGGGTCAGAGCCGTGTTCAGTCCTGTTTGCGGAATAGAAATCATATTAAATAAAGAAGTATGGGACGCTTTTCAGAGCAGAGTATTACAATGAATCCATCAACACCTCCTGAAAACAGCTCTAACAAAAATCTAACATCATGACTCTCATTTAGGAGGTTATTGTTTCTATACTTTAACTGTATGTCACTGAAAAGCCGATTTCTATTTTGAAAATTCACTGCAAACACTGACATTTAAGCTTGTGATCATTTCAATTTTCAAGTCGAGGTTCCAGATGATGGAAAAAATGGTGCTAAAACATAAACTTTTACTTTTACTTTTTGAAAATCTGCACATTAAATAAAAAAACAAACCTGTGTGGAGTTAAGAGCAATAAAGATCAGCATCAAAACAGCATAAATACAAACTTTACTGTCTAAAGATGTAATCTCTAAGGGTTGTTTGGTTCAAAATCACGTGAAGTTACTGGTTAAGTTTTGGTTTAAAATCGTTTAAAAACAGAATGAGGTTTGGTTGAAGCCATGAAGCATAATTCATGTCCGTGTAGGTTTGTAAATATGGACTTCAATTTTCCAGGAAACAGAATCTTAATATTTTTTTCCTGCTCTGCTGCTGCTGCTACAATAAGGGCTTGTTTAGCTCCAAACAAACTGCCCCTTTGACCGGAAAACCTGCCTCTGCTGTAATCCAACCTGACCGCGCTAGACGAAACACAAACCCCAGCAGCTAAATGTGGCTGGATGTCGGTCGTAGGAGGCTCCGCGGGCTTCTCTAGCACTTAACTATCTTCAGAGGTCCTGCTGCTGTTGTGTTTTTTATGATTATTTGTGAATTCACCAGCCGCTGTGGTCTAAAAATACTCCAACCTGCCTACTCCCATCCAGCCGCGGTGGAGGAGTGTGACAAAACAGCCGGTGAGGTGTTGGTAGTAACTGTTTTTTTTATACCTGGTGGGCAGTGTTATATCACAGCTCAGAAAGTCTTTTAGGGGAAATGATATCATATTTCAAGAGTAAGAATTCATCTCAGATTCAAAGAGTCAGTTCACAAAAAAAACTAATAATTGGGCCTCATATGGTCACTCTAAATCAACAAAAACACACTATAACACATTCATATAGCTGCACTTTCTCCTCACATCCCCTAATAAGGTTGCTCTGCAGTGTTCCAAGCTGGGATTAGTAAAAACATTGAAATACTCCATCTAATTTAGCAAATTTTCTAATCACTTAAACGTAAATCTAAAAAAGCACAATTTATTTATCCTGGCTCAAACTGTCATTTCTGCAGAGTGTGGCTAAAGTTAGCAGAGCTAGCACCACCAGCGTTCACTCGTCTCTGCAGGTCGAGTGTTTATTTGCCGGTTTAACCAGACGCAGCCCACACACACACACACACACACACACACACACACACACACACACACACCTTCATCCCTGACTTTTATAGTAAAATACTGCCAGACCGCTGTACTAGGTTGCTATTATTAGTGCTTGTTTACAAGGCAAGATACTCACTCCTGCATGACAATTATCTTATGCATATAGGTAAATATCTTGTGTGCATAATATAATGCTGTTGTGGGAATAGTTACGTAATCTTGTGCGCAAAATAAAGATAAAGCGTACACATAAATTACATCACATCATTTGTTTTGTGTTGTGCCCACAAGATAGTTGCTTGTTACAGCAATAAAAACATCTATTTTCCAGCACAAGATGTTAAATCCTGAAGGAGAAGTTATTTTGTTGTGCAAACAAGACAATAACCTGTGTACACAAGATGGGAAAAGTACCTTTTTGGGCTTTAGGGGTGCCATAGTTTTTTGATTTCGTCTTCTTTATTTAAACCAAGCACTGAATCTGAGCAGGATGTAAGATGGTCTTTGCTGAAATGTGGCAGTAAAACTTTTAAAATGACCTCCTAAAAGTTCATTTTTTAAGAGTGAAAGGAAAGGAAACCGTCAATATGGAGTATGTAGCACTGCGGATACTCTAAAACCAGCTGGAGTAAGTTTTCCTGAGAAAGCAGAGAAATCTGCATGACTGTAGAGCTCAGTCAGAAACTGTGGTTCTGGGTGAACTGAACATTTTCAACTTTAATCTCCAGCAGTGAACCCTGAGAGCATCGTGGGTGTCAGATGTTACCAGCAGCTGGACGGACGTTTGTTAGTCTCCCACCAGCCTCCCTCCCTCCCTCCTTCCCTCCTCTTCCTCCCTCCCTCCTCTTCCTCCTCCTCCTCTTCTCTCTGTGCTGGAGAGCACAAACTGAGCAACACCAGCAACACTGCTGCCCACACCTCCTCTGTCCTCCAGCTCTGTGCAGCTCCATGTTTACACACTGAAGGCTTCACAACAAACACACACAAACACACTGCCCAGTTGTTACTACCAACAAATCAAGGTTCATCTCCTGAACACACAGCAGATCGTTTTTTTCTTCCTTTTCTTGTTATTTTCGGGGATTTTCTGTTTCCCTCTTTCTCTCTCGGCCGGCCAGCTCTTCCTTCCTCTCCTCATGCCAGGTAGATGTTTCCTTTATTTCTCAGGAAGTATTTGATAGATCATTGTAAGAGGAAATGTATCAGCCAGCACAAATAAATACTCTTTCCGGAAAGATTCGTACCAAAATTTGTAACCCCCTTTTCTCTACCTGACGGCGTCCCTCCCCATTTCACGAAAAGCTTTTTTTGAAACACAAATATTGTCCTCCAATGTTTGGAGTAGCGCCTGGAAGGGAGACCATCTTTATATTTTGTATTTGCTGGATTAATCCTTGTGAGATTGTATATTCTGTGTTTATTTTTCCAGAGACGGGGAAAGCATTTTAAAAACCAAGAGAGCTGTTCTTACTGAAGATCAGGAGCTTCTCATCAGGAGTGTGGGTGTTTTATTTTTTTTCAGCCAAACAGACACACAGACACACACACACACACAGACTGTACACTTCTTCACTCGACTGACAGTCCTGCTTTTAACCTTTTTGTTTACTTTTTTTTTGCCATGCGGGAGAGATGAGAGGTCAATCCAAGAGCTGAAATGTGAATCTCTCTGCCCCTTGACAAAAGTGTTGTATAAACTCTCATACTTCGAACCTCTCCTTTTTTGTTTTCGTTTTGTTTTTGTTTTGTTGTTGTCGTCAGACAGCATGTAATAATGACACTTGCAAAGTGGCGCTGAAAAAGTAAATAATGACATAACCATGAATAAAGGATTGTAAAATATTAATAAAAGAATTACTTTTCAGAAAACTGGACTTGGATGGTGTTTCGTGGTCATTCAGTGTTTCATACAACTCAACGCCTCTAAAAAAATGAATAATAATGAAAACATCTAATGTACTTCAATATCTATGGCTACGTTCATACTGCAGGTTGCGATGCACAATTTTGTTAAATCTGATCTTTTTGTGCGGTCGTTCACATTACAACAACGAATGCGGCATCTAATGTGAACAGAATGTGTCCGTGAAGTGACCCGCATGCGCACAAATTGCTTTCCACGACTGTTTGTGTTGTCGAACAATGGAGATGTTTGTCGCATATTGATGACGTATAAGTCGGATGAACGCGACCTGAGCGTCCACACTGTAGTCACATTGGATACATATCCGATTTATATCCACATAAAAAAGAGGCCTGGGTTGGATTTGAAAAAATCAGAATTGCACTTTTTCACACTTACATGAAAAAATCAGATATGTGTCACATATGGTTAAAAAATTAGAATTGACCTGCAGTGTGAACATAGCCTATGATTATCAATCAATCAGTCTTTATTTATATTGCACTTTTCATACACAACAATGAAATGAAGAAATGATTATAAAGAAATGATTAATAAAATTAAATAAAAACAACAGTAACAGAGTTAATGAACAACAACAGTAATTAAATCATAACATGTATAAAATCTAGCTAGCTCGTTCGTTTTTGCTAGCAGGTGGGCGTTCTAACGGTTTTCCCACGCGTTCGGAGACGCCGAGCCAATCACAGCTCTGTATTTAAGAGTGGGGCGGGTTCTAGGAGATGACGACATGCGGCCAGCGCAGCGTCAGCGTATCCCCAAGCAACCAACATGGCCGCTTCCGCCAATGGAAAGTACGTTGAATCCGCTTGTGGCGGTCGAATTTTAACGAACTGGGCGATGTTGTTTCACCGAAACAAGACAGACTTACCGCACTTGGAGCGTTTACTGGTGAAGGAGGTGAGTTATCTTTCCTCTTTAAACCGTTATCTGTTTAATTTCCGTCGCTGTTCGCCTCGTCACAGACTAAATTAATCTGGTTGGTTGGAAGTCTCGACCGTTGGTGTTAGAAGCACTTTCGAGCGATTAAGAAGGAGTTTGTTAAATGTGACGTTAGAAACTGACGTTCGAACGTTTTAACTCCAACATACAAATTTTAACTTGTTCAGAATGTTTTAACTTGTATAAAATATTTACACACGGAGTTTAGACTTATGAATGTAATAGTTCGGATTTATATACTGATTCAGTAAGTTCTTTTCTGAATCTGAAGTCACAGGAAAAAGTTTTTTTTTCCCTTTTTTTTTTTACTTGAGTCAATTGTCCTGTACAACCACAACTCAGTTATTACAATACTCTGGATCTGCCGCTACAGCCTCACAAATGAGCTTTAGCATGTCCAACCTGCCTACTCCCAGTACCGAGAGTAGGGGAGAGTGGGGTAAGATGAACCATTTTTCACATTTCAGATCACTACATCAAGTCAATCCTAGTTTTGTCTCTAACTCGTGTATCTGCGTATATTTCAATATGTTGTTCATTCCTGCAAACCAACAGAATGAGTGTAAACAGAACTGTCTTGATAATATAGCATGCCAAAAAAAGTGGTCTCCTATGGTCAACTTACCCCGTGTATGGGGTAAGTTGACCATAGGAGAGCGGGGTAAGTTGAGCCGAATCCCTACTACTTTCTCAGTTACCCCAGAACTACTATGATGACTTTATTAGTCCTCTAAGCTAAAATGGTGGACTTTTATGTTAGCTCATAGACACCACAATTGATGTATAAAACAAATTTAAAATGATCTTTTTTGGTCTGAACACAATTCTAATGAAACTTCTGACAGACTAAATTCACTTTCAAGAGTGAAAAATGTTTTTTTTTGGAAATAAATGTCTAACCCCTTCACCTATGTGCTTCTAACTTTCACAAACTTTATGAATTGATACCCATCTCCTAAATATTTGGTCCTCCTTGAGGTTTTGTTGCTAATACCGCAAAAGAAAAAAAGAGTAAACAGATAATTAGATAGTGCCTGCAACTCTAGGCTGCATAATATTGGTGTGGGCCTATGCTTGGACAGCTGATATCCATTTTAGTGGTTGACTTATATCAGTTTTTTTAATGGCTGATAAATAAAGTCCATGTAAAATAAAAGATAAATCAAAAATAAAAACACCCACCCTCTCTATTCCTCGAACTAGGAGCAGTAGTGATCCTGCAGCTGCCCTGACTTGTACACCTTTGGGACTCGACAGGCAAACCTGAAACACTCTGCAGCCCCATTACTGCTGCACCTGTCACTACAGCAGCGTGAACATGGCACGGTAAGTGTTGAGAAGGGGGCACAGAGTATTATTCCTCACCTTTTATATGTGTGAGTGCATTATGTGTAAGGCTATGGAACAATAAAGCTTTAATGAAGCTTTAATGGGAGAGCGCTGCTGCTTACAGCCTGCCAGGTTAGAGCCATTAGCAGGAGCTGAGTTTACGTCAGAGTTGATGTTTCCATCCTTTTATTCTGCTGCTCATTGGCTGCTTACTGTGCCCGGAGGTCACCTGTCAGCACAGGTGGAGGGGAGAAAGTACATTTACTAGAATATTGAACAATACAGAGAACTTTGAATTATATATGATCAATTTCACTTTGTTTTTCTGTGCTTCAAAAAGGCTTGTATTGTTAAAATGAGCTGTTTTTAGGGGAAAACACAAGTATGTTGACATAGGAGAAAACATGTAAGAGCTCCTCTCAAAAGGTCAGGTTGTTGGTGTGACAGATTTAGATGGCTTAGTGTGCCTGGACACTAACACTAACGAGCGGTTTGCACTTGTATGCCACTTTGCTTCATTCAGCCACCTTCTCTGGTGGATCTTTACTCTATCAGTTAAAGTCCAGGTGTGTTAGAGTTGCATAGACAGGTAACTGAAGCTCATAAAGTCAACATAGTTAAACTAGATGTCTGTCAGCTGCAGCGTTGTTGCTGATTTCCAAACAGAATGTAAAATTTTAAAGGGATATTCTGTTGTGAAATTAAGTTAGGGTCAAACACACTGTAACACTGAGTTAAACACCCCCTCCAAAGATGAATGTTGCCGACCTAGTGCTGGACGATAATTCGATAACAATATATATCGATCGATAGACGTGTGGTGCGATAGAAAAAAAACGGGTCGATAAAAAGTTCGATAGAAAAACACAGTTTCCCTTTCTTTTTCATCATAGCCTATCATGTAGCTTTTACTACAGTCATTACTTCCTCCCAACCAATCACAAACGCAGACCCAGGTACGCTACGGCACCAAGCCCAGCCCCTCTCAAACCACAACAGACAGCACGTGTATCAGAAAAAATGATACAGCAAGGAGAAGCGGAGGAAATTGTCCCGAAAAAAGGTTTCAGTAGTTCACCAGCATGGCAATGTTTTGGTTTTTAGAAGTCTGACAAAAAGCGAACAGCGGTCGTTTGCAAAATTTGCAGAGAATTAGTAAAAACGAAGTCTGGTAACACAACCAACTTGTTTTACCATCTAAACCGATCGCACCCGCAGGAGTACGAGCTGTGTCGGCCCAGAGCAGTAGATTCTGTGTCGGCCGCGCCGCGGCTCCACGTCATCGTCGGAGGAATCCTCTGGAACCGCTGCCAGCACCAGCACAAAGCAAGTGAAGCAGACCAAACTGGACTTCGTTTCTTGCCAAAATACGGCAAAGCGTCCGAGCGGCATAAGGACATCACCCATGCAGTAACATGCTCCATAGCGAGGGACATACTGCCAATAACTACCGTTGAAAAGCCTGGCTTCGACCAGCTTCTAGCCACTCTCGACCCGCGATATGAAGTGTCCGGCCGTAAGTATTTCTCAAACACAGCGCTTCAGGCATGAAAATGGGTCAGGGGTTGAAAAGGTGAGAAGGGTGCGGAGGAAATACGTTCCGGTGTAGCTTCTTAAAGTGGAAGAAAATGAGCTCATATTTTACAAAGACGCGAGTATTTGGATCATGGCTACTAGCAGGGGGTGCATTCGGCAGGGGTGCATTCTACGACACAACACCGGCGTGGATAAGTCCTGCTTCTCGTGCTCAGTTTGTGTATTAAGTCAATCACATGATAATTAAAAAAAATAAATCTCCCGACCCCGGGAGAAATATTTCAGTGTTCAGACACCAGGCTGTGGGCAGTTTCCCACACAGTTATAACTGGTAGTATGCTATTCCCACCTAAAGCTATTCTGTTTATTTATATATTTGTATATCATCAAAAGACTATTTAAATATTTATTTATCAGATTTTCTGGTCACTTTAGTCTTTATGTTTGTCAGTATTTACTGACGTCACTCAGGCCACTTAAGTTGATTTCTTTTTTTTTTTAAGTTCTTTTTTAAAAAACTTTCAGTTGTGGTAAAATAAAAAAGGTGGTTGAATAAAGGTTTGAATTTGAATTCAGTGCTTGTGTGTTCTTTATTAAAAGTAGGTCATTAAGCAATAGCATAAAACATCCAGGGCTGCAATTAAAATATATGTTAAATAATTATAACAATTATATCGATAATTATCGATATCGATCAATATGATTTATTTGTTATCGATATGTTTTTTTTCTATATCGTCCAGGCCTATGCCGACCGCTTGCTTCTCTAGTCATACCAACTTTAGTAACGACCACAGGATAGCAATACACAGCGATCTGAGGAGCCATAAACAAACCTCAACCAAAACGCCACTCTATAGCCACAAATAATGCTCAGAACAGCACCTAACTTCATCAACAACCTTATTTCTTTAGCAAAGAGACTAAACAAAACTCACCTACTCTCTTCCAGCAGCCGTTTGTTTGTAGTGAGACCTCAGGCCGGTACATTACGGACTACAGCGGGGTGACGCAGCTCAAGGAAGAACATTTATGATCATTTCTTCATGGAAATGCAATCAGACCGAGACGCTAAGGCAGAAGAACTACAGCGTCTGCAGTGCAAAATAATTCATATGGTGATTATTACTTCAAGGAAATGATAAAGTAATGATCATAAATGTTCTTCCTTGAGCTGCATCACCCCACTGTAGTCTGTAATGGACTGCCGTGCGGTCTCTCTCACTGTCTCTTTGCTAAAGAAATCAGGCAAAGCTAAAAAGATGTTTGATGGCTGGGACCCTACATTTACTCTTCATGAAGTTAGGTGCTGTTCTGAGCATTATTTGTGGCTATAGAGTGGCGTTTTGGTTGAGGTTAGTGTGTGGTTCTATAGACCACTCTGTATTGCTATCCTGCGGTCGTTACTATAACGACTATAAGTTGGTATAACGAGAGAAGCAAGCGGTTGGCAACATTCATCTCTGGAGGGGGTGTCTAACTCGGTGTTACGGCGTGTTTGACCCTAAATTAATTTTACACCAGAATATCCCTTTAAACAGTGCAGTTTATAATTATCCGCCCAAACCCCCTCCGTGCTCCAGCCTCCTCTCTTGTCCTTCACTGCTTCCCGGGGTTCACTGTGTTGTTAAAGGGCACCTCAGTGGTGTACTGCCCTCCTCCACCTGCCTCACACACGCACACAGACAACACACACACACACATTACCCTTCCCTTTCCTCACCTCTGGGCGACCATCGCCCCACTTATTAACACCCTCTCTGCTTTCATGTGCGTGTGTCGGAGCCGTGCTTGTTTACTCCTCTCGGTTTTACCTCGTGTAAACCGCTGAACAACATATGGGGATGCTGCCGCCATATGTTGGTGTTTTGCTGTTTGCAGATCCTCGCTCTCCTTCTCTGTTTCTTGGATGAGTGGCTGCGTGAGCACGCCATCGTAACACGACTTAACCCAGGTCACCGCCTGCAGATGTTTGTGTGTTGTCTTTTCTTTTTCTCGGGGATTAAAAGATTGTTGGCACAAGTTAAGACACTTTTATTGACGTGTGTGTGTGTGTGTGAGTTTGTGAGCCGGGTCGGAGGAGAGAGAGAGTTCCAGGAGTTCAGGGGTTCGTGTGAATCATTATGTATGGGAAATGCACGGCTGTTTGCCTGAGTATATGAGCTTGCGTCAGAGAGCTTTATCACGCATATCTTAATTATTTGATCCAGATGACGTTATTAAAGCTTTGAAGGATGAAGGAGTCAGACTTTTTAGACCATGCAGTAAAAGTTTGACTTCTCTCTTGACTTTTACTCATATTTGGACATTTTTCTTCAACAAAACTGTTTTAACCCTTAGAACTCCCAGCTATATTTTTATATCTTTGGTCCGCCTGTTTTTTGTTTTTTTTGTGAAAATCTTTGTAGCGACTCTAACCTTTTGAGCACAGCAAAATACACATCTTTATTTTCAGGACAACCTCAGCTGTCCGTTTATTGGTGCAAAAAATATGTAAAATAAATGTGACAGTAGATTCAGAACCATCAAACTCAACCAAAAAACAAAAAACGGAAATTGATACCAACAGTACTTTGCTCAAAAAACACATAAATCTACAGTGACCAAGCCTTTTCTCACCTGCACATCATTCTCTCAAGTCTTGGCTCTCAGGAGAAGAAATATTGGGATTGGAACAAACACACAACAGAAACTATTTACATATTTACACTAATTATTCCAGGCGTTTTTTTGCTATTTACAGTTGTTTCTGCCACTCCTTGAAGCAGTTCCTGTCTGGGATGAGACAGAGGACCACATTATACTGCTCATAAGGCGTCAAAATTCGCCTCAGAATATTTCGTAATTTCGCGTCGGATATTTGCGTCAGTCCTGGTGTGTAAGGACCTTCAGTGTTAAAAGTCTTTTTCTTCACACTTCAACTTTTTCCTTAATATTCATCATGAAAAAAAGTCCTCTTTATTTTTCCTCGTCTCTTTACTCTTCAAACAAGCTTCACTTCAGATGGCGATAGTCTTTTCATTTCACGTTCCCAGGTTTATATCATGTAACGAACATGTTTGTGCATATGTGTGTTTGTGTGTGCGTCCGTGTGTGTGTGCGTGTTTGCTCATGTGTAGGAGTGACGCACTCTCTGATGGCCAGAGGACACTTTGACTCATCCTTGTCTGTTGACTGTACAGGGGTCTGGCAGGTCCACCACTGAGAGCAACAACGTGAACCTTTACCCCCCCCCGTACATCCACACAAACACACACACACCCTAACTTACACACACCCTTCCTGGCCGAGAGGAAGAGTTGTAAAAAGACCTCCTTTTCTATCTAGGAGTTATTTTAGAAACTACGTTCAAATTTCAGGTTAAACGGGTGTTTTACTGCCTCATATCTGGAGCACAAACACTGAAAATGTCCCAAGAAATCACAGTTTCTCTCTTGTTTCTTGGCGTGCTAGCCTTCAAGCAGAGGCCATCTTTGCTTTGACCTACTTTTGAGCGTCTTGACATTTATCCGTTCATACATGTTACTATAGAGACGAGAGGTGGTGTTGTGCCGGAGCAGACAGTGAAAATCGCCCTGAGAAAGTTTCCCAGCCCTGTTATCGAAGCTCTGAACAGATGCTCGATTGGAAATCACCTCAGAGAGATTTTTCTGCAGGTTTTAGAGAGAAATCAAGCGGTCATGACGGGGTAGAAGTGGGAGATGTGACACGGGTCTGCACGTCAGACGGTCTTGGCTGTGATTGGACGGGGACGGGAACAGCCTGGAGGGGAACTGAAGAAGAGTCGATGACAGGACATCACGTCAAAGGAGCAACAAGCTGTCCCACGATCATCGACAGTCCGCTGATGCCTCAATCTGAACTCATCTATTGTAGAGATTTGTGATTGACAGTGACTGAACTCTACCTCCACCAACATGAGGCCAAATCTCTCATCCAGTGTTTTTTGATTGCTTTAAATAACTGTGTTCTTGTTATGTCATTTTCTTTTTGTATGTTTTTAGCGTCTTTAAACCCACATTTGCTTATTAATAGTACGTTCTAAGTCCGTACAGCACACGCTCTGTAGAAATCGGAAACCCTCCAGAGACTTTCCACCAGTTTCTGTGAACAGGACAAAGTCCAGAGAGGCAACTGAGGGATCCGATCAAAAAAAGGCCAAAAAAACAACAAGCCAGGTGTCGACTCACGTCATGTCCTCATCGTCATGAGACCCGAGGGTTCGACCTTCCTCCTCTATAATCACAGTGGAGCTCCTCCTCATCCTCTGCTGATGGTCCCAGTGAAACCTCAAGGGGATCATTAAAGGTTCATTTCTTCAAGAAGAGCTCCACATCACGCTGCCCTCTGTGAATCATATCTGCTCGGCCATATCTGCCTCCTCCACACACTCTAATTTTGCTCTTGAATAAAAAAAAGAGAAAAAATCCCTCTCACTGTTCAGTTGTTACATTTTCACTCAGAGCTCACAGACACATCTCTTTCTCTCCGCGCTCTTCACTCATGATTTCCCACTAACTGAAGCTCACTGTTGTTGTATGTGCTTGGTAAAAAAAAGCTAAACAAACACTCATCCCCTGCACTCGGAGCTGTTCTGAATACTGAATAATTTGTCGCTGATTAGCTGCTCGAGTGTTTCTGGTGATTAACGTTAGAAGATTTTGAGCTCCTCCTCGCTCAGCTCGGCTCGGCTGAAAAATATAAACACAGGAGTTCAGAAGTGCTAATGAAACCCTGTTCAGAGATGTCACAGTTTTACTGTTGGTTCATTGGGAGAGGCTGGTTTTAGCTCACAGAAGAGGGGTTTTCTAGACGTTTCTATAAATATGTCAAACAGCGAGTTACATTTTACAGAGATGTGACGTTTGTAACACATCATGCCATTTAAAAAGAGAACTTTTTAGTGCAGTTTTTTGATAAACAACTTATTTTTGGAGACTAAAGGTCCTTACACATCGGGGCCGACGCGAATTTAGAACGCGAATTTTGACACGCCTGACTATACACGTCAAGCCCGATGAGATTTTGCGACTTTCCGGGGGGAAAAGACGCATCCTGGGCAAGACTTTTCGCCTCTTATTGGCTAGAAAAGCTAGAAACGTCATCACACGCTCAAGCCAAACAGTCAGCACTTATAGCCAATCAGAGGCGATAAGATAAGCACATGAAACTATGGTAACAACCGTTAGCTTACGTTAGCACAGATGAAAGTTAAAACAAAGATGTTTATCAAACTGTTAAAGCACACAAACCATCGTCATATGAGAAATCCGACGCTATGTTGTCCTTCAGGTCGTTATCTTTGTAATATTTGTGTTTTTTCTCATAAAGCACTCTGTTCTTCGACACGTAAACAATCAACCGGTCGGCCATGTTGGTGAATTAGACGTTGCAACAACACGAAATCTGATTGGTCAGAAGTGGACACACAGTATGCAAAACTTTAGAAAAATCGACCATGATCCGAAAAAATAAATGCTGCAATATCGCAGGACGGGAAAACGTCGCTGATGTGAACGCTTGTATTGACAGGAGAGACAATAATGTCAACACAACAATAAACATTTTTTACCAGAATGTTATAAACCCCAGTATGAGATGATCAGAAATTCAAATAGTTTCACATTTTACATGAGTAACTTTAAGTCTTTAATGATATTTAGTGTTTTCCTGTTTAGGAATCTGATTTTTTTAAAGATGTATTTCAAGGAAAAAGTCCATCTTAAACTCAGGTCAATAAGTAGATAATTAGATTTAAAATAAGGCTTTAAGATTACATCAAAGGTAAATGAGAGATGATAATGATTTTTCTACTCTGCCAGGTATGACTTCATCCCTCAAAACATGGCCGCTGTCTTTGTATTTCTTCAGGTTTTCACACTGAATTTCTCTCTTTTTTTCTAATCTCACCTCTAAAATCACCTCATGTCAGTTAATAAATCTATTGATCAATCTCCTAGAGCTTGATTCCCTCTGACAGCCGTGTGGTTCTACTCCCGGTGGACGTAAGCCGGCGCAAACACTCAACGTTTCAGGAATCGGCTGACCTTAAAGAGAAGATTTAACGTCTTTCTCGTCTTTTAAAGCTTTCCAGTAACACAGCGGTTTGGTGACGTCTTTGGTGTCGGTACAATCAGCCGTGGAAAATAGATTCTCTTTAAAGAATATGACCCGAGAGTTAATTATTTATGACGGCCATAAATGATAAATGCCGACAAGTGACACCGAAGCTGAGGAGATGCTTTTAAACGGGTGTTTGAAATCAAAATCTCCACGTGTGAGCGCTCAACAGAGAGGTCTGAGACTGAACACCCTCCCTCCCCTCTCCTCTTCTCCCCCTGCCTCATGTTTCATTTATTGTGCTGCACTGAATTGATCTCCTGCTGAGCATTGATTGCCGGTTTAGTGAAGGTATTGATGTATTGATACTTGAAGCTTCTATTATGAGCATTCACCGCAGGCAAAGCGACGCCTTAATCACTGTAATCCTGTCCAAATACACCTCGAGATTTCCACGTTAAAAGTAGAGATATGCCGTATTAAACACTGTCATTTTTGTTTGAGTCGTGTGTTGAATTGTGGGGTATTTATCGCAGATCACTAGAGTTTTCTTCTTCGCGGGAACAGCTGGCAATCAGTTGCATCGGCGTGTGCCAACTCCTCTGGCTGTTTCTGCAGAGACCAACACGTAGCTCCTCCATCTGCGGTTCCTCCACAGCGTTTCTGCCGAGCTCAGGTCAGGCGGCTCTTTGCACTGAAACCTACAGACTTGGAATGAAATATTCATCTGTATGAAAATGAAGGATAACATGAAGGCAGCTGGCAGGAGTCGAGCTGAAGACAGAACGATTCCATCTCCATGAACAATGCAGCAGAGATTTAACCCGCGCCGTCTTCTCTCTCAGGATGTTTTAAGAAGCTCATACTGCAGGTTTTTTTCCCCATTTTCACTATATTTAAATCCTGATGCACAAAACCGCAAATGCTCAGAGTTAGAAGGTCATTCGTGCAGGTTGAGCTGGCGCTTAGGGCAAAGCATCATCTGCTGATGACACAAGGTCGAGTCTGTTGTGTTTTCTGGGTTGTGGGTTTGTTTTGCCGCTCGGTGCTGTGTGTTCAACTTTCATTTTCAGTGGACAAAACTTCGCTCTGTAACACATACTACACGCTACATCGACTGAATCTCAATTTCCACCTCAAATCTCAGCCTTGGGCCTTTAAAGACATGATAATTGGGTTCTTTTCAACACAACAAGTGGCTTTATATCTCTAATGTGTGCATGTAAACAAAGAACTTCTAATCTTGACTGAGTTCTGCACTGAAAGTCCGTCAGGTGAAAATGCACAAAAACTAGCATAGCACAGTAAAAGTAATTTTCTACATCCTTAAAGGTCCTTACACACTGGCAAAGACGCGAAATTACGAAATATTTGGAGGCGAATTTTGACGCACCTGACTATACACATCAAACCCGATGCGATTTTGCGACTTTCCGGGGGGAAAAAAGACACATCCCGCGTGGAAGCGAGAGGACTGACACAACAGCAGACTGAGTGTTTTTCAGTTCTGATTAGACACTAGTGTTGAGATGTCTGTCTGTCATGATAGCATGCACTGAGTCTGGGCCAGTACCAGATAAGAACATTAAACTATAATCCATAAACGTAAGGTAACAACCGAGACCTAATGTAGCTGTGACAGCAAGGTGATTGAGTTTGAGACAGTGAAAATACATATGGTATGTTGTATCTGAACAGGTTAGCTTACGAGCTAAAGTTACTTAGCACAGATGAAAGTTAAAACAAAGATGTTTAGCAAACTGTTAAAGCACACAAACCATTGTCATATGAGAAATCCGACGCTATGACTCTCCACAAGTTGTCCTTCAGGTCGTTATCTTTGTAATATTTTTGTTTTTTATCAAAAAGCACTCTGTTCTCCGACACGTAAACAATCAGCCGGTCGGCCATGTTGGATATACTGGTGAATCAGACGTCGCAAAACAACACGCAATCTGATTGGTCAGACGTGGACACACAGTATGCTAAACGTTAGAAAATTCGACCGTGATACGAAAAAATAAATGCCGCAATATCGCAGGACGGGAAAACGTCGCTGATGTGAACGCTTGTATTGACAGGATACGGGTTCGAAAATAAATATTGACGTTCCCGGTGTGAAAGGACCTTAAAGCAGATTTATTTCTCTGCATTCATACATTTATTCATGTTACATGGAATTAAAATGTCACTGTCATGTTTTAATGCAATCAGTCTCAGCAGTGATCAAATTATATCATTTATCACTAATCACATTAAGTTTACTGCGAGAGCTTTGGCTGGGTTTATGTGACCGTGACAGGAACTCAGGGGCACATCATGAGTTTAGACGGTTTACATCAACATGAAGAAAAAAAAGCTCTCTCTCTCATTATGCGTTAGTCAGGGAGAAATGATCATAAAGTAAGACGACGGCATTTCAGAAGGTCAGCGATTAATGCCGAACTAGAGGTGCAGACTTTAAGGATATGAATCCAAGACATACAGACATCGAGTAAACCTTTAAATAATGTGATAGATTTAACTTTTATGTGATGTTGTTAGTCCTGCAGTGATTAAAAGATCCCAAGAATGGCACTTATTTATTCATTCACTTAAAGACGAACCATTAAACATACAGAAGATCGTAGAAATCTCAGAGTTCAATGCTGTTGTAGAGAGTGTAATCATGGTCCACGTAACATTAGCTGATTAGACTGTAGCTCACATTCTCTTTCTGGGTTAAGATGCTGCTTCCTGTGCCTCTTTCGCATCAGGACCACTTATTTATTGCAGAGGAATATAAACCAGGGCTGGAGGCAGAGCGCCGTAGAGATTTGCATTTGATTTTTTTTTCTCTCTCTCTTGTTGTTGAAGCCGGCGCTGAGCGATGGAGGCAAACGGACCGAGCTGCAGAGGCCGGGGCCAAGAACAGGGGGAACAAGCCTCTTCTAATTTACAGGCAAAAACTCATAATTAACTCGTTAGATGCGCGGGCTGTGGTTGTCAAGGTAACTGATGACACCACATTATCACTTCTGCATCCTCCATCCTCCCTCCTTCCCTCCCATTCATCAAGCAGCTATTCAGGAGCGCCCAGCAGGGGAGGCAGGGGAGGGCAACCCCACCTAAACTCAAATTAAACTCCTATTTATTCACAGAGGAGAGTTCACACACCTTTATTACTCCGCTAGTAATCTTGTAAAGTCGGGGAGATGATTACATAGAACAACGGGGAGTTGTGAGTCGGGGTAATAATAAATTATTGCATAGAGCAGACCTTTGCAGCTGTGTTTGTCCCCTTTAAGAGCAGAAAAACCCTTTTTTTTTTCAAAACCGCGCACGTTGGCATTTAAAATCCTCATCTTCTTATCATATCCGCCTCCGATTCACGTGAAAACAAGCTAGTTTAGCATTGTGAGACCCAGTTGTGGGGGTTGCTGAACAGTGTTGTTCATTTGTATGAAAGAAGCTAATAAAGCTGGTGGATCCTGGTGGCTTGCATGGAACAAACAAAGTTACATAAAGCAATTGGTCTTGTTGTAGTGGTCATCTCTGTGGGGAGAAGACAACAATACTGGCTTCAATTCACAGGGCACCATGAGAAAATCAATTCATGGGAACGCTGAATGCACCGGCAGATACAGATACCTGCTAATTAGTGCTAACCAGCAGCGAACGCTGCATTTCCCTCAATGGGGGGTGGCTATAATAGGAAAATATATATATCACATATATAAGGTATATTAAGAATAGTTTGTTTAAATGACGGCCCATAGGCTGAATGAACATCCGTGATCAGAGTGAGCTAACAGTAGAAATGGACTTGGTAAAAGAGTACTTAAATATTCTTACTTTATCATTTCCTTAAAGTAATAATCACCGTATTAATCATTTTGCACTGCAGACGTGGTAGTTCTTCTGCTTTAGCGTCTCAGTCTGATTGAATTTCCATGAAGAAATGATCATAAATGTTCCTCCTTGAGCTGCAACACCCCGCTGTAGTCTGTAATTGACTGGCCTGAGGTCTCACTACAAACAAGCAGCTGCTGGAAGAGGGTGGGTGAGTTGTGTTTAGTCTCTTTGCTAAAGAAATGAGCCAAAGTTTAAAAGATGTTTGGTGGCTAGTGCTGTGGCTGGGACCCTATATGTACTGTTGATGAAGTTAGGTGCTGTTCTGAGCATTATTTGTGGCTAAAGAGTGGCTTTTTGGTTGAGCATGTGACTGTCTGTATTGCTATCGTGCGGTTGTTACTTAAGTTGGTATAACTAGAGAAGCAAGCGGTCGTCAACATTCATCTCTCGACGGGGTGTCTAACTCGGTGTTACGGTGTGTCTGACCCTAAATTAATTTTATGCCGGAATATCCCTTTAAGAATAGTTCATTTAAATGTCGGCCCTTAGGCTGAATGAACATCAGTGATCAGAATAATTTAGCAGTAAAAATGGACATGTTGAAAGAGTACTGAAATATTCTATGTAACTGAAAGTACAGTTAGCCTACGTTAATGTGACTCTACTTTAATGTTACTCTAGTAAAAGTAAAACTACGAGTTTACTACTACATGCTGCTACTAATGAAATAATTATCTCAAAATATATATATATATATATTTTTAATATCAACAAGTTATCAGGTTTACAAAGTTTAGAAAAACTATTTTTATTTAGATTCAAAAGCCTGAGTTTCTATACTGTTAAGTCAAAACAATAAAACAAGTTTTCAAGACTGAAACTGCTTGATAATACCAAACTGAAACATGTGAAACCTGCTGAAAAAGTGGGCATGTCAACATGTATGGAATCAGCCCCTTGTGGCCGCTCAGGGTACTGCAGTTGCTGTGTGTTGGACGCTGGTTCCACTTAGCTAATAAGAAAACACTTGTTGTCATATTACCGGAGCTCCAACGAGGATGACTCATCATTTCTTCAGTTAGTCATAAGTAACTAACTAACGGTCAGCACATTAAAATTGATGTTAACTGTAAGGAGTTACAGGCGCGCGCCTATCGGGAATTGACCAACGGTTTCGAACGCGTCTCAGCCAATCAGAGCCGAGCCACGGAATCAACCGCCACGGGATTGGCTTATCGTTTCCAGTACTTGAGGAATGCATCCGCGAGCAAGTGCCATATTGTCCAATCAATGAGTTGGCCACGGAGCCGAGCGGACCTGTGTGAGAGCTGAGAGAGAGAGGCAGAGAGACAGAGAGAGAGAGAGAGCAGCTTCCTCAGCGTCGTGTGTGGAGCGTTTTCAGCAGCAGACAGACATTCACACACACAGAGCGAAGGAGAACCGTTTAACAGAAATAACGCGACTTTACTCGGAAAACACGCGTCTTTGCCACATCTTTTCCACGCCTTCTTCGTGTTATTTCTTTTTTTGTGTTTGTACTGGATGGGCAACAGCGAGCGAGGCTTACTGCGGTAAATCAATTTCCTCCTCCAGACCTGGGAATTACAATGAAAAATGTAGGTGACACATTTCCTTTTGTACTATAGGATCCAAACAAGAAGAAAGACGGGAAGAGAAAGAAGAGAACAGGTAAAGAAAAGCAGTCTGTCTGGGTGCGAAGTGTGTATTTAAGTGGCACATCATGATGCAAACCCTGCGTAACTTCTAAGCCAGGGTCTAATGTAGTCTGTGGATGTCGTAGTTTACATTATCTCAGTTTATCCTCACTCGACCTGGATTTTCTTGCCATTCCTGATGATTAATGCTAACTTCAAGGCGTCAGTGATATGCCACATTTCCTCCTGCTTGGGCGCATGTGTGCCACTGCAATGTTTGCGCTTTATTGTTGAGTCTCCATCGATTCACAAGAGGAGGAGAAACCTCTCATCCTGAGTTAATATGACATAAAGCATGGGTTTCTTCTTTGTTTCTTTCCAAAGGGGGAAAAATGGTGACGGCTGCCGCATCTATAGGATCTGCATCCTCTCTGTGGAGTCCCTGCGTAAAAGAAAAACAGGTATTTTTTGTTGCTCTCGTTTTTGTCGGCGTTGTGCTGCTGCAGTGTGTTACACAGCCATGCGAACAGGTCTTTATCATGAGGCTGTTGTCTCATCTGGCGTCTCACATACATACAATACTGTAACGCCTCAGCACAATGCAACAAAACCCTCCCATTTTGTGCCTCAGTGTGATGCCCTGAATGCAGCTGCAGCATCCATACATGGATTTACCTAGCAGCTGTAAATTAATTGCGTCTTTGTGTGTGCATGAGTGTGGATGTGTGGTGCATTAAAGTCATATGGAAGAAGGCGGATTGCACACATGCACACTCACTCACTCACTCACTTGGATGCCATGGTTGGCTCCAGTGAATGCTAATGCATCATGCTAATGCAGAATCACTGCAAACTAACTGCACAGGACTCACAGGTGTTGGCTGCAGTCTGACTTTATCAAAGTAAAGGTCCTTTCACACTGGGAGCGTTTTTGTCGTGCGATTATTTCGGATGTCAAGTGTTCACATCAGTGACGTTTTGCAATATTGTGGCATTTATTTTTTTGGATCATTGCCGATTTTTCTAAAGTTTCGCACACTGTGTGTCCACTTCTGACCAATCAGATTGCGTGTTGTTGCAACGTCTGATTCACTGGTATACCCAACATGGCCGACCAGCTGATTGTTTATGATCGTTTACACACACATTACAAAGATAACGACCTGAAGGACAACTTGTGGAGAGTCATAGCGTCGGATTTCTCATATGACGATAGTTTGTGTGCTTTAACAGTTTGCTAAACGTCATTGTTTAAACCTTGACCGTGATCCAGTTTAAGCTCCTGAACCAAGCAGTGAAACTCACCAAATTCTCTTCTTTTTTGTAATATTGGATGCACCCGTGTGCTACGTTTCTTTTTCTTTTGAGAAAGCAAAAGAAGTACCAATTCGCCATCACTTGAAGTTGAAGTAGACTCCATTTTTGTCCTCTCGCTTCCAGGCGGGACGCTGGTTGTTAAGGGAAGGTCCCGCCCTCAGCTGTTTGGCTTGAGCGTGTGATGACGTTTCCAGCTTTTCTAGCCAATCAGAGGCAAAGGAGGCGGGACTTTCCCACTGAAAACTCTTTCCCGGGATCTGTCTTTTCTCCCCCGGAAAGTCGCAAAATCGCATCGGGCTTGATGTGTATAGTCAGGCGCGACAAAATTCGCCCCAGAATATTTCTATATTCGCGTCGGCCCTGGTGTGTAAGGACCTTTACTGTGTGTGTTTTCATGTGTGTGTGTTTGGGGAATGCATGTGTGTAGGTGTCTGTGTAGGTGCGTGTTTGTGGATGATATCACCTTGCGTTTGGTTGCAGGGCTATGTGTGGTTGAGGATGTGTTTTAACCAGTTTTTTTTTTTTCGAGCTGCACACCTACACCTGCCTCAGCGGGCTGCTGCTGCTAAAGTGAGGGTACATTTAGAGGAGAGCTTCCCGTCCTCCATGATGACACACTCAGAGTCTGTTTGGCCTGTTCAGCCACATAACAATTCTGGTGTGATACTTCACTCACAGCAAGGTGACTAATTAAAACGTGAAATTAAAATGCAGCCTGAAACGCTCCGACACCGACCAGTTATGACCAGTTATTTGATTCTTGTGGTGTGTAAAGAACTTTGGGAGCAGAGGGATGTTTAGTTTTCAATGAGACTGAGATATTTGGCTTCACGTTTCGTTGATAAGTGGTCAGTAACTGTGAATGATTTGGTCACAGTGTCCGAGAGCCAAAGCACTGTCTTCAAATACTCACTGTGTCCAACAAACATTTAAAAACTGAAATTTATTCAGTTCATTCAAATGCAAAATAGGACAGAGGATGACATTTCTCACTTCAGAAGCTTGATTAAGAGTTTATTTGGCATTTTAGCTGAATTAATGGCCTTAACTAGTCATTTACAATCAAATAACAGGATAAAAGACTGTATTTGTTTGCCTCACAAACAGTTTCTGTAACATTCATCACTACTGTAGTAGCAGGACTCCTCAATTATTAAAATAAACCTTTATCCAATAACTGTTGCCAAATGGATTCATCTTTCAGTTATGTTTTGTTCATCGTTTGGAAGTGTTAGGTCTCAAATAGGGCAGAAATAGTAAATCAAGTACCCATTATAGAGGTTGACATAAAGCTAAATGTGTTTTCGGGACCACTCAACATGACTCAACAGCCAAGGATTAAACCAGGTTATAATGCAGAGTAGTCCAAACAGCCCAAAGTCAGGTTGGGTGATACATTGATTTGATATTTATATTTAGAATATGATCTCTAATTGATGATAGCATGAACTAAGTCAGGGCCAGTACCAGATAAGCACATGAAACTATAATCCATAAACATAAGGTAACAACCGAGACCTAATGGTGCTGTGACAGCAACGCTGTGATTGAGTTTGAGACAGTGAAACTACATATGGTATGTTGTATCTGAACAGGTTAGCTTACGAGCTAAAGTTACTTAGCACAGATGAAAGTTAAAACAAAGACGTTTATCAAACTGTTAAAGCACACAAACCATCGTCATATGAGAAATCCGACGCTATGACTCTCCACAAGTTGTCCTTCAGGTTGTTATCTTTGTAACGTTTGTGTCTTTTATCAAAAATCACTCTGTTCTCCGACACGTAAACAATCAGCCGGTCGGCCATGTTGGATATACTGGTGATTTAGACGTTGCAACAACACGCAATCTGATTGATCAGAATTGGAGACACAGTATGTGAAACTTTAGAAAATTCGACTGTGATACGGAAAAAAAAAAAGCTGCAATATCGCAGGACGGGAAAGCGTCGCTGATGTGAACGTTTGTATTGCCAGGATACGGGTTCGAAAAAAAATATTGACGTCCGAAATAATCGCACAAAAAAACGCTCCCGGTGTGAAAGGATGAGAAAGAGACACAGTGGAAAGCAGTCATGATGCAGTCGTCAAAACCATGCTGTCCATAGATAAGACTGGGTTCATCCATGTGGTCCAAATCTTGTTTTTCTCAGTCATTTATTTTTGTAAAGTCCGTCATAACAAATGTTGACATTTAAACACCAAAGCTGAATAGAAGATGATCTGATTTATACTCAGGTTAATAAGGTTTGTGGTTATAAGTCACCCGAGTCTGGTTTTATGTCGTGTATGAAACAGTCACATCTGTGTGTAATGGGAAAACATGAAAGCTCGTACCTTTTGTCAATGATAGGACCCAGAGCCAGATCAATATAATGATCTGCTGACTATTTCTAATCAATCAATGAATCGTTCAGTCAATAAGCCGTCAGATAATTCTGAAAACAAACCCTCAGAGCTCCCCAAGACGTCCTTTTGATTACTTATTGTGTCCAAACAGCTGCCAGAAAACCCCAAAGAGTTTCCATTTCCAATTTGATCGGACCGAACCAACAATTATGGACATTTTTTCTTGGAGAAGGATTTTATTGATCACCGGGAGTGCTGCAGCTTGATCCAGCAGTTGATTTATCGAATTAGATATCACTTAGAAATGTCATCAGAAGTTTCTGATATGACTGCGGATACTGGTTACTGTATGAGAGCCCTCAGTCTGTCAATCAATACATTGATCAGGCTCAGCTGATTATTTGCTTCGTCTATGAGCTCTCAGATCAGACTGAAAAATGACCGTCACCATTCCTCAAACGGTCTTAGCAACAGCTTATTTCGTCCAAAACCCCGAGAAATCCTCACGTCTGATTGGTTCAAACCGCATTAAACCGATATTTCTCCACAGTTAGTGACTGTACCGAAGGTCGGGAGGACTGTTGATTGATTTCTGTCAGCCCAGCAGTCGATGAATCAAAGAAACTGATATTTAGAAACGTAGGATTTTCATGTCGCTCAATCAGAATCAGTCGAAGCTTCTTCTGGGCTTCTTCACGCCAACGTTTGTGATTAACATGAGGTTAAAAAATCCTCTGCAGGAGAGGAAGACGGAGCTCTCTGCACGTCCACAGTGATCCTCGACGGAGCAGACCGCAGTGCAGCCAGAGGACGTGTTGTGTGTGAGTAAGGGGCATCGCTGCGATTATAGATGTATACATCCCCCTGCAGCCCAGCGATCACACTCTCAAGCTGTTTGCATGCCTGCGTACGCCTACCTTTGAGTGAAATCAACAAGTTCACGCCCACTCTCTGGGGGCTGTTGAAAGGCATTCTGGGAAACGCACTGGGAAACCACTGACTGAAGTGGATGCAGACGAGAAAGTGGGTACACCCAAGTTGATGACAAAAGCGTTGCACATCAGAGAGGAGATGATATAACCGAGTCAAGAGTATCAGAGGGGGGATGTTCCTGGAAATTTCTGCAGAGTATCCGGCTCTCTGGTGTTTTATTTTCAGCCGTTATTGACCTTGGTTGCAGAGTTAAGCGTCTTAAAAGGCGGAGAAGTCGATTTGATTTGTAGCATGATGGCTGACTTTAGCTCACTTATGCTTGTGCTCATTCCCCTGATGTGATGGAGGAGGTGGATCGTCTGCAGCTCCACCATCCATCACGGGTGTTTTATGAGTCAGCAGTGATTAATCTGATCGGCGGTGGCCACATCTTTCCTTCAGAGAATGATTTGGAAACAGGCGGCGCACGTAGACAAACGGCCTTGACTGCGGCCCCGGATGTTGGAGGATTTTACCGCCGGCTTGCGGGGAGACTCAGGTGTTGACGTCACTGTGACAGACGTGGGTACAAATGACTGAACAAGCCTCAGGAACAAACGTTATTGTGTTTGTACTGTACGCCGAATCGTCTTCCTGGAACTCCCCCTCCGTTTTATCGACGCGAGAGAGAGATTCGATGTGTCACAGGTGCTTCAAAAGCCTCAAACAACACCCGTGTGTCTTTTCAGACGGCGCTCCTCTGAAGGTGAAACACACTTCGCTCACCTGCTTTAAAAAGCGACTCCGCATGACGTGACAGTCAGATCTCCAGCAGGGGCTTTTTTTTTTTAAACGTCTCATTTCTGAGTGACCCATTTGTGCTGGAGCAGACGGTTTAATTAAAAGTTTCTGTGTGATGGTGACATACGGCTGACCTGGTTGGGCTTCAGGCTGGCTGAGCTCGTGTCAGCTGGGAATGGAGACGCTTATATTAGAGCAGAGTCTATTCAGGCACATGTCTCATGCAAAGAAGGAGTCAAACAGGCTTTTGTTCGTGATTTATCTTCCTGTATTTCTTGATTGAGTCGGTGCAGATTGGAAAAACAAGCAAAGACAACAACCTCAGGTCTCTGCGCAGTATTTTGTGTTTTTTTGGATGAAATCTGAAGTTAAGTTCAGGTGTGAATTGCTTGTTTTCCTGAGTTGTTGGTTTCAGCAGTCAGCAGATACACTCAGGTTCAAGTACGGCTGTTTTGGATTAAAAAGGCTTGTACTGTGATCTCTGCCATGAGTGAATAAAGTACCAAATTTACGCAACCAAAACATTGTTGCATAAATCTGGTATATTTTTTTATGCCGTTGTCTCCACCTTTTCTTTTCTGACGCCTCCAAAGAGTAAACTCTGTCAGATTTAAAGTTGAACACGACGCCAACTCGAGTATTTACAGGGAAAACCCCTCGATTTCATCCACGCCGTGACTCTTTTTAGAGTCGTCTTAAACTTTTGTGTCTCTGTCTCTCTGGGGAGACGCTTGGCAGCAGGGATTGTTGTAACAAAGATTGTCTGTTGATTTGTTCTGCCGATTCCTCTGCCAGTATCACTGTCTCCACGCAGCACAGAGGCAACCCAGAGCCGCCGCTCAGACAGAAAGTTTTTACCGAATGTTAGTCTGTTGTAGCAGGACTGAGAATCCTCCTCGCTGGATCAACACTTCCCTCTTGGCTGTGTGGAAGATGCAGCTCCGTGAGGCTCTTCCTCCCCACCTTCAGCGGACTGGAAACACCCCACCGCTCCACATACATGACAGCAAAACATTATGTTGAATTTTACGCCTCCTGGAGCTGTCCCCGAGGAAAAACATGACACCACCGCGCCCGTGGAGAGGGAATAATTAACGCCTGGATCAGATTGACTAATTATACCGTTAATAATCTTTGAGAGGAAATATTCAAAGTGGTTTTCGCAGGCAGGCAGCGCTGACACTAACCGAGCAGAGAAATCTGTTCGATGTCTGTCTCACAATTGTCCTCATTCACAGTGTCTGTCAGCGTCTGCCTCACAGTGACGATGAGAGCATATGGTGCAGTGAGCTCAGAGAGCATGATGACATTAACATACCACACGCACACTGATTTTACCCCGTCACACCCGACTCAACCTGATTGATGAAACCATTACTCTACGGATGACTTATCTACTCAGTCGATGCCTAACTTTGCTGATGTATTTGTTTTTGTGCACATGATGTCCCGATGTTAGTAAGAATGGGCATTTTAAGAAAGTCCCTTGATCGATTAATTATATAAATTAACAATCAATCATGTAGTTGATTGTTTTTATATGAATGGCAGAAAATACGCAAAAAAACGTGTTGTTCAGGACTGCGCGCTACATGCTCACTCGCGCTTCCTTCCGTGTGGCTACCGTCATAGCCGTTGTGTTTTTCTCATTCATGAAACACTAAAATCGAGGACATTTTCCAGGACGGGTCATTAAAATCAGTAATGTCTGGTCAGCCTATAGATCTTGCTAGCATGGAGCTGATGGTAGGTTGAGACTGAGAGCACTCGGAGGATTCATTGACCTCAGTTGGATGTACATTGTAGTAAAAGTGGTACATCATTTGGGTCGTTGTCGTGTTTTACTTGTACACGGCATCAGTGTTTGCAGCAAACCTGATCATTTTCCCACACCACACTTAGTTTTGCTTTCTTTGTGTTTTTTTTCGTCTTCTACAGAAGCCTGTTGACGCTGTATCACTCCGCTTGTACGATGTCAAATTCCTTTGCGCGGTGATAGTCGCTGCATTCCTTCAACACACACACACTGACTGGACAAAGAGGGTATCCCTTCCAATCCGCTTAAGTTGATCTTTGCTGGAAAGCAGCTGGAGGATGGACGTTGGACGAGTTAGATCGATTGAAGTTTTGCGTGATTGACGTAATTCTTAATAATCAATTAATCGATCATCGATTAATCGTGCCCATTCCTAGTTGTTAGAATCATCCGTTATATCTGATGCTGACACAGTTATATTAAGGCTGGGGGATTACAGAAAATTAACCAATACCAAAATTTACAACAATAACCGACGTCATTTTACCCACATTGGTATATTCGGTGTCAAAAAAATAAATAAACAAAAGTAGGTTTTGGATGTGTGTAGGTAGGCTATGGTCTCATGTCCCTTTAAGACGCTGCCCTATGTCAGAGACGTGACTCCAGTCCATCCCATCCAGTCCGTAACAAAGAGGGAAAGACAGGTGAGGAGATGGAGGACGGTTCAAAAGTTGTAGCGGCTGAAGTAGACGAAGTTTAATGTTGGAGGGGATGAGCAGCTTGTGGAGTAGTTATCTTGGATCAGGGCGCTGCTAGATAGAGGTGCTAGAGCGGAGTCTGGAATGGACTGCTTGTATTGGAGTGCTGATATCAGAGATTTTAGATGCAGGCTGATACAATCTGATATTCATTTTTTTGCTGAATCAATCTCGTATCGGGACACCCCCATCGCTCATACCTCCAAACCATAGCTAAACAACATAAACAATGGTTAAACCCACAATTATCAACAGTCCGATTTGTAGTCGGCTAATTTTGTCATACTCCCAGCAGAGTTTCTCCTAATGTGCATGATGCCATCCTGTAGTCTGAGCCCTCCCTCACTGGTAGCTGGATCCTTAAAAGATCGAGCCAAAAATAAATGAAGCCCCTAACACTGAGCTCTAGTTCTGTTGTTTTATTCAGCGTGAAGCAGAGACGTTTCATTAATATGTGATTCAGAGAGTGAACCTGGACCACCAAACCGAGACCTGATGTGCCTCTTCTTCTGCTTTTCTTCTTTTAGACAAATCTCTCATCCTCTCGTCTCAACCAGGTGGAATCTGACCAGATACTTATTCATTATTTCTGGTTAGGAGGAAAAAGCCCATCAGTATAAATATTAAAGGGGCACTCCGCAGATTAAATCTGATGCCAGCGGGCTTATCTCTGCTCATGAATGATTAACAGAGCCTTCATTAAAACTTTGAACAAAGAGTTTGGGAAACACAGGGATTAACAGAAAGACTGATTTGAGATGCATTATGAGAAATTTTAGATCCAGGAATTGACATCTTTCCTATGAGTTTATGGTACTGGTATTTAGCTCCACAGTCCTGGTGTTAGGAGATGATCTGAATGGATTGTTGGAAACTTTCTCAATCTTAAATTCAGTCACCCACACATCCAAACATAATTTCTGTTGTTTAAAGTTTTCGAGCCAGTGATAAAAAAAATGAGTTTTTGTGCAGCTCCTCTCAGAGTTACAGAGCACAGGCTGTGAAGTGAGCTGCTCTGGGCTAAACTCACTCAACAATAATCCTGTCAGCTCTCTGCTTTGAGTGTAAGTTTTTGTTTTCATCTGCATCATACACCACCTAAATAAGATGTTGGGTAATATTTTTTCATTGGTGTCTGTCCCTGCGTAACACCCGTGCCCCAGTTCCTGCTGACAGACTTTCTGAAAGTAGGCCAGTTAGACGGGAGCTCTTAAAAAGCAGTCGCTGTTGTGGCTGATTGTCACAAAAAATGAGTCAAAGTTAATGGGACTGATGGAGGCGAACGCTCTTTGAAGATTGCACCTGTCGCTCGAAATATTTCAGGTTTGTGCTCGGAAAATCAGCGGAGTTGTTTTCTCTTATTCTCTATTACGTTTCTCACTTGTTGAAATTTTACGGGTAAATACTGTATTTATGGTTTGCAAAGTGCTGCTTGTGAGATTTTCACACAGTCATACTGAAAAGAGGTTGCATTGGATTAACAGTTGATAGTAATGCCTTAAAGGGATATTCTGGCGTAAAATTAATTAAGGGTCAAACACACCATAACATAGAGTTAGACACCCCCTCCAGAGAGGAATGTGTCCAACAGCTTGCTTCTCTAGTTATAACTTTAGTAATGACCGCACGATAGCAATACAGAGAGCGATGCACTCAACCAAAACGCCACTCTATAGCCACAAATAATGCTCAGAACAGCACCTAACTTCATCAACAGGACATATAGGGTTCAAGCCACAGCACTAGCCACCTAACGAGCGGCTAGTACTCGTTAGGTGGCTAGTCCATCAACTGCAGCGGGGTGACGCAGCTCAAGGAAGAACATTTATGATCATTTCTTCATGGAAATACAATCAGACCGAGACTCTAAGGCAAAAGAACTACCGCGTCTGCAGTGCAAAATGATTAATATGATTATTACTTTAAGGAAATGATAAAGAAATGATCATAAATGTTCTTCCTTGAGCTTCGTAACCCCGCTGTAGTCCCTAATGGACTGGCCTGAGGTCTCCGTACAAACAAGTGGCTGCTGGAAGAGAGTAGGTGAGTTGTGTTTAGTCTCTTTGCTGAGACATAAGGCAAAGCTAAAAAGATGTTTGGTGGCTAGTACTATGGCTGGAACCCTATATGTACTGTTGATGAAGTTAGGTGCTGTTCTGAGCATTATTTGTGGCTATAGAGTGGCGTTTTGGTTCAGCGCATGACTCCTGGGACCGCTGTGTATTACTATCCTGCGGCCGTTACTAAAGTTGTTATATCCAGAGAAGCAAGCAGTCGGCAACATTCATCTCTCGACGGGGTGTCTAACTCTATGTTATGGTGTGTTTGACCCTAAATTAATTTAACAACGGAATATCCCTTTAACAAGGACATTTTAAGAATCCATTCCTCCATTATTATTTATTCTAACGGCCAGAGACGGTGTACTCTGTCCGAGTAAACACCAGATTACTCAACTCCAGCTGGAAATCAATGGTTATGACATTATGAAGTGTCATTTTGGGGACTGTTAATGGACACATGGGCCTGCTGTAATACTTCTGACTCGGCACTGTCATCTGAGAACTGGGCTGCATTAATGGATTTTTATTCCTACACCAGTTTTATCCCATCAGTGTGTCAGGACCAAGGGCAGTGCACTGACCTTTATGGACAGAGTTCACCGCAGCAGTCACGGCCCTGCCAGCTTCGCCCCCAGTCCACATTACAATACACAGCCATACTGTTACCGCGGCCGCTACATGCCCCTATGCACTGGCACATTTCCCAGCATGCCTCAGAGAGGGAAGAAAGGGGGGTAGGGAGAAAGGTTGAGAACAGGGTCAAAGAAGAAACAGAGAAGATGAGGTTGGAGAAGGAAAGATGGAGGGCAGTGAAGTGATGACAGAGTTGCAGGAGGAAGATTGTGAATGAAGAAGAAGATATCAAGAGTAGATTCATATAAAAGAACCCACCACGCCGAGATGACAGCCATAAACGGCATCAATATGGACGCCAGCCAGCGCGATTGACTGACGCGCTTTTGTGTTACGGTACATAAAACCATTCAGGACACACACGAATGAAAAGGTCCAACAAACACGGGAACAAACGTCTTTTATTTCCCTCCACTCGTTTTATTTTTGCGTATTTTCTCTTTTCAACGCTGCAGCGCTATTCTGAGAGAGATGCTCGAGCCCACGCACATCCTGAGAGGGAGGGAGTGAATGGATGGAAGGATGGAGAGGAGGGAAAGTGTGTGTGTGTCTGTGTGTGTGTGCCAGTGTGTGTTACAGGGGGTCTTCTGCTCTAACTCACCGCCTGTCAGGGAGATTCTGTCTTCATAGCTGCTGATTTCCTGCGCAGGAAGACTCAGGCGTGCATGTATACAGTCTGAGTTTACAGCTCGATAGATGGATGTGACCGTCCAGACAGAACCTTTGAAATCAATGCTTACGTGTTCACATTAGCTTCAAATATCAATACATTGCACAACCCCGCATAATCCTCAGTTATGAAATCTGTTTGATTTTCAGTGTAATGTACTCTGAACGTATTACATCACGCACTTTTTAAAGGCTGCAGCCAATGACTATTCTCATCATCGATTACTTTGTCACCTACTTGTATCAGAAACTGAGCTTCTTTATTGATTCAGATCAAAGTAGGCCTGTACAGGTTCTTGCTCTGCTTAGCCTGGTGTCTAACCGAACCTTTGCATGTTAGCTCCTTGGAGATACAGCCTCTGATTGGTCTACAGGCCACAATATCGTTAGAAGAATAGAAATGACACACTGACTGAATATTAGGGCTGCAGCTATCGATTATTTTAGTAATCGAGTACTCTATCGATTAATCTGTCGATTAATCGAGTAATCGGATAAGAAATGTTTTGCTCTCACTGTAATACTTTGCATTGAATCACGTTTGCCTCATTAAAAACCATCAGTAACACACAAAACTGAAATAGGCCAGGTCTTTCAAATGAATATTTTTACTGCATAAATCAGGAACCAAAAGTTTTACATTTTACCATGTAGTTCACATGAAACTACTGAAGGCAAGGTCTGCAGATGGTCTTTTAATTGCTATGGTAATGATCTTTGCAGTTTTCACTAAACCAGTCACAACTATTTCCAGGCTTTGGATCTAATTTTACTTGTTTAATTAATAGGCTGAAATAATATAATTCTTGGATACTAACATAATTTGACAAGCAAATGTACATTTATTCAATATATAAAAGTGTTACATTTTTATTTACATGTTGTTGTGTGTTGGTCATTTTGCAGCCCTCTGCTGCTCATCACACGCCTAGCAGGTGGTGTATAGCATTATCACCATGGATACACGGATGTTTGTGTGATTTTTTTCATCCACTGCCGCCCGGTTTGTGTCGTGTAGATGTTGATTATGAAAACACTTCGCAATAATTTGGAAACGTGAAGGGGGAGCTGCTGCTGCCCGGTGTTTACGGTAAATAGACGCAAACACCGACCAAGTGGACGCTTCGGTCTCCGAAAACGCCGAGACAAATTTACAAACAGCCACTATTTCAAACAACTGGGCTCATAATCGTGATGTAAACACTTACTTTCTCGCTAGAAAAAATGTTATTATTGAATGAATTTATATAATTTGTCCGGTATGCAGTCGTTCTATGTAGCTTGTGGTAGGACTATTTAAATTTTCCCGGCGCTGCGTCCGGCCGGCACGAAATGCATTCTGGGGTATTTAGTATGTATGTGTGTAAACGCTCGGGCAGCCGCGGCATACTCAAATCATCTTTGAGTAGTCAGTAGGCAGTAGCTACTGCTTGAGTAGGTAAGTAGATAGCAGGCAGTATGCCATTTCGGACACAGCTTCTGTCTGTCCTCGTTTCCCTCCATGATTGAACCAAACGCGCGGCAGCGGAAGGAGCGGAAAGAGCACGCTTCTGCGCAACAGAAATAACCGTCCGTGTCAAACACCGTGCGCTGCACATGGTTCCGGATTTAAACGATTCCTCGAGGCATATAATTTGCCTCGAGGAATTTTATTAATCGAGTTACTCGAGTTACTCGAGTAATCGTTTCAGCCCTACTGAATATAACACATAAATGATCACCAGTTACCTGTGAAAGTCTTTAAAAAGTCTTTAAAAACACACCGAACTTCTCTGTGGAAACCTGTCAGTCTCACGAATCGAGTGGATTTGACAGTAAACTGATAAACTGTCGAGCCGATGTCGTAAAAACAACTGTATTATGTTATATATGCTAGAGGTTTGGACCACTCTTGTCATCTACTGTTGAACATAACTGTTGGGAATGTTCTTCTTATCTAGACTTGATTATTTGAGCTCCGAATCTGATCTTCTATTTTGGATAGAAAAGCCCCAGACTTACTGCTTAGACACTCGGTTTATTAATGGCCAGTCTCACGAAGCGAGTGGATTTGGTAGAGCCAATGTCGTAAACACAACAGTTATGTGTTGTATATGACCGTGGTTTGGACCACTCTTGTCGTCTGCTGATAGATATGATAACAGTTAATGATAACAGTTAAGACTAGGGCTGAAACGATTCCTCAAGTACCTTAATGACCTCGATTACAAAAACGATCAAGGAATTTTCTCTGCCTGGAGTGCCCAAATTGTCGCTGTTTCACATGGATTATTTTCAAGTTGACGCCTTCTTCATGTTGTTGTCGACTGTCTCTTGACTACCGCATCGTTATTTTGCAAGTTTTAGAGACTGGGTGGAAAAGTGTGAATGGCAGGATCACTCAGCACCAACAGAAACGCTGATGGTTCAAGGTTTAAAATTTTGTTTTTTGTTAGCTATCTTTGACTGTCTTAAGGTTGAAAAAAGTCTGTCAGTTTTTGGTCGTTGCTGCTGCTGTTTTATAAAAATAATCTCTTTCTGATTGGAAGTCGTTGATGGCTAACTGTCGAAAATAGAAAACAGTAAAACTAGCGCTGACATCCTCTTCAGACAATAACTGATGGGTTCTGTTTCATTTACACAATATTCCTCATAGTTTTTGAAGTACTTCAGCCCCTCTCAAAATCAGGTCATCGGTCACATGCGTGCGTCAGGTCGTCACTTTCTTGAAAAGAAGCAGATTACCGCAGCGAGTCGACTGACTGGAACCACATCTCTGAATGTTTGAATCACTCCAGGAAGCATTACTCATACATTTAGGTTTTGTAACCCACTGCTGCTTTAAATAACTGCATTTTGAAAGTCGGTTTTCTTTGGGATTCCTGCGGTTTTCTTGGTATAAATTCAATGTAGATCAGGACAGGTGAGAGGCTGCTCTTAATGGGCCTCAGAGTCTCATGAATCATTGCACAAAGGAAATTTCAGAGCCGCTCACAGCTGAGAAAGACTCAGACTTAAGTAGGTGGTGGTGTTAATTCAGCTCGTGGAGGAAATATTGACGCACACTTTTAGAGGATTAGTCAATCAGAAGAAAATCAGCTATTTTTATTGATTATGAAGCCACTTGAATGTAAAGCCTCTCATTTAAAATGTGAATATTTTCCTTGTTTTTTGGAGTTATCAGGCTCTTGTTGGGGTTTGGACAAAACAAGGAAGTCTGAGGTGATAACTTTGACTCAGTGAAACTGTGATGGAGATTTTTCTTTTCACTTTGATTGAAAATTTTGTCATGTAATTGGCACCCCTTGTCGCCAGCGTCCTTCCACAGTTTGACAGTCAGCTCTGAGGAAAGTGTTTGTAAAAGTAGATAAAGTAGCCGAATCTGAAAACAGGAGAACTTTTAACACAGCAGATATTTTCCTCTTTGCAGAAAGTGCATTGACAGATGGTGTGCTGGACTGCTTTGTTGTGACACCGAGAGTAAAATAACTGATAATTAGTAAGTCAGGAGAGACATAGGTATTAATGAGCGAATGATAAACATGCAAAATTTAGAAAAAAACATCAAACTGTTAAAGTAATGAGCACTGGAGGGATGGTTGGATGTTATGAGTGAAACAGTACAGCCGAAAACATACAGGATCCATATTGAGCGCGTTTCGTCAGCGTCACCAATCTGCTCAGCGGAGTAGCGCTGTCTATTGCACACAGGATGCGTATTTGGAGCGTAGCAGCAGCGAAGTTCAGCCCAGGTCAGCTGGGCTCAGTATAGAGGAAACAACACGCTCACAACAGGTTGTTTTGCCTCTCTGTGGTCTATTTCCTGCTAATTTGGATAGAATTGATCAATAGAAATGATCATTTTGAAGTAATAATCGTTATATTAATCATTTTGCTCTGCAGACGCGGTAGTTTTACTGCTTTAACGTCTCGGTCTGATTGTATTTCCATGAAGTAATGATCATAAATGTTCTTCCTTGAGCTGCGTCACCCCGCTGTAGTCCTTAATGGACTGGTTGAGGTCTCGCTACAAACAAGCGTCTTCTGGAAGAGAGTAGGTGAGTCGTGTTTAGTCTCTTTGCTAAAGAAATCAGGCAAAGTTAAACAGATGTTTGGTGGTTAGTACTATGGCTGGGACCCCATATGTACTGTTGATAAAGTTAGGCGCTGTTCTGAGCATTATTTGTGGCTAAAGAGTGGTGTTTTACACGAACTGCGCTCTGTATTGCTATCCTGCGGTTGTTACCAAACTTGGTATAACTAGAGAAGCAAGCCGTCGGCAACATTCATCTCTTGAGGGGGTGTCTAACTTAGTGTTACAGTGTGTTTGACCCTAAAGTAATTTTATGCCGGAATATCCCTTTAACAGTTTGCATGTAAAACAAACTATGGGCCTCTGACATCTTCGTAGGAGGATGCAGAGTTAAAAGAGGTCGTGCATACTCTCTGTGCATCAGCTGCGGTGCGTGTAAGTCTTAAGCAGGGGTCAGGAATCACTGCTGCACACTACGAAATGGAGAAAATCTATAGTGTTGTTAGTGTGCAGTTGTATAGTGGCAGATAATGTTGGCAGGGAGGCAGAGCAGCAGGTGTTCAGGCAGCGGGACAGATTCATACATGTGTGCAAGACAAATGGCCGAGCTCAGCTGGGGAGACTGAGCGACACCTGGGAGGGTTAATGCAGACACATGCAACAACAATGCAAGCATGAAGAAGAAGAAGAAGACAACGACTTAATGGACAAAACAGAGGTTTTTCATGCTTTCTCAACATGTAGGCTTTGGTGCTTTAACAACCTGGAGCTATTTTCATCTCCACATTATATGCTTTATATAAACTAACAGCAAACGCCTCATAGAAATGTCTCTCCAGGAGGCGTAAGCAGCGCTGGCAGTTAAAGTGTTATTTGCTTATGTTGTGTAAGTTCCTTAAACACATCACTGCACTCTCTCGCTGTAAGTCAGACCCTCTCGCGCAAACTCTTAATTAAGAACAACAAGCGGCATCATCCATTTAATAAACACGACCATAATGAAGTGAAGATCCCATCGCTGGAGCTTCCTGGAGATCAGTGTTATCTTTAGTGTTACCTCACTGTGTATCAGCAGAAAAACAACAATAAGAGGAGCCAATAAAAGTGTCACAGAGATGTTTGGACAGTCCCTGCTCTCCCCCTCACATCCTGTTTTAACAAGCGATAACACCAGATTGAGGAAGAAAATGCACTTTGTTTTCCCGCTGATTAAATATTAGAAAAAATATAGTGAGTATGCATTTTTTTGGCTCGGCGCGCAGCATCGGTTCGAGCTTTGTGAGGGTTTTATTGGCCGTCGAAATGGTTTTGAATCTAACACCGAACGAGTCTTTTAATGAAATAAAATCTGTGCACACCCTCTTCATTTGTTTTGTTTCCGTTTTTATTAAGTTACTGCACTCGCTGCCTGGAAAGCCGGCAGAGGTTCAGCTGTTTATCAGTGGGGGTTTCTTAATTACGACATCCGAGGAAGCGGGTCGGAAAAGCCCCCGAAGGGCCGAGATACACTGATGTGAAGCCGGGCTGTCAGGGCTGCAGAGCGCCCAGGAGCAGAACGGACCCGGCTATTTAGGTTACTGTGATTCAGGAAATGTCTCCCGTTAACCCTGGAATCAGAACATCCTGTCCTCGTATTTTCTCCTCCTCTGCTCCTGCTTTGGAGCGAAAACTTACTCTGTGTTGTTTACCGCTTCATGATCACTCTCCACCTCGCAGGGTTTTATTTTTTCCCACAATCGGCCTCTGATGTCTCGCTGCTTGTTTCGTCTTCGGAGCTGCAGCTCTGATGCTTCTGTCGTCTGCTGGTGCTGTCACTTGCTGCGGGGACTGAGCCCAGTTTGATTTAGCTTCTGAAAGAAAAGCAGCGAGATGTGCCGCAGGATTTGAAGTGTGAAAGTTAAAAAAAATCTTTGGGTCTATGTGTGATCGTCACCTTCAGACACAGCAGACGTTTTCATGGTGGAACGCTCAAACAGCTTCGTTCCTGCTTTTATTTCTGATGAGTCATTTTTACTTCACTGCTTCTGTATGGATAAGCAGTTGGTAAATACCGGTTCTGGATGGTGCTGTTGAATTTGTCCTTGACGGTAGTTTTAGAGGTTAATGTGTACAAAAGCTTTTTTGCCTCTATCTAAGACCCACCCGCAAAAAACAAGATCTGCATTAATAATCTAGGTATTTGCCACACTCATCAGCCAAAAAGAAACTGAAGGGCATGATTGACGATCTGAGAAGCAGTTGAAAAATACTGAGCCGTTGAGGCAGATTTGAAAAAGTGTCCCACCCCCCACACACAAACCTCTCCCCTCTGTGCTCCACGATAACTCCCCTCAAACCTGTATCGCCGTCCCCACGACACACCCCCTCTGGCAGAGCAAGAAGCCGGCCGGCAGAAGATCCTACGCTAGCTTCAAATAGGATTCACCATGTCTGATTGCTAGTGACTAGGGTTGGGTATTGTTTGATTTTGAACGATTCCGGTTCCAATTCCGATTACTCGTTTTGATTCCGGTTCCTAACAATTCTCTATTCCAGTTCTTTTTATAAGCAGGATGTTAAAAAAATGCATGGTTTAAATTAGGGTGCTAACCGGAGTTTAACAGAATTTCTGAACTTCTGCATGAATTTTTGAATTATATTAACTTTTTAAGAACTTTACTACTTTATCCCTGTCTCTCTTCTCTCTCTGTGTGGCTTTGTCTCATACGCTTTGTCCTCGTTGGTGTTCGGCAGCTTCTTCTTCGTTGGTGCTTAGCAGCATCTCCCTCGTTGGTGTTCGTCGGCTATTTCTTACGGGAGAATCAGAATGTTAGTCCCTGTCCCCATCGATGCTCGAAGCTCGATGCCCAACCCTACTAGTGACTCTTTTGCCTCTGATTGGCTAGAAGTGCTGGGCTGCGTCCGGGATGTATGGCTCCCGTTGGTCAATGTTTTTGCAGCCCTGCACCTGCTATGGTGAACAGATCGCACCATAGGACTCTGATCGCCATATAAACCAGGTTCATAATAATTACCAATCTCTCCAATCGTCAACCATGCCTTTAAATTGGTAATACATAGGTCAAAGGTCGTGACAGTCCCCCCCTGTATGAAGAGGAGTTTCTGGATTAAAATGATACGAGTGTATTGGGTTTATGAGATTTTTAGCCGAACAGCAGTGTGATGCTCTCGTTCCTGCAGGCTTCATTCTGTAAACAGAACACACCCACACACACACTCACACACACACACACACACACACACACACACACACACACACACACACACAGAGTCACACTAGTACACACTCTTACACAGATACACACATCTGTGGCCTCCCTTTTCTCTGTCCTTCTGTCAGATGAGTCCATATGGCAGCTGTCATGTTGCCTGCTCTCTTTCTATCAAAGTCAGATCACGGCTGCTCCCAGCTCCTCTGTCAGCTGATGTTATATATACAGTGTGACTCTGAATGAGTGTGTGTGTGTCGTAGGAAATAGTATACGCGCTGTGCATCCTTCAGTAATGCAGAATTTCAGGTTTAATCAGGCATCGCAGACGACGCTGTACTGTACACCGCTGCAGGCACAGAGCGTATGAAATAAAAATACTCCCTGACCTCTGTGCTTCAATCAAAACTTCCTCGTTATCAAACAGCCTTTGCAAGTTTCTTCATTGCCATACATAGAAAGTCATCATTTCTGCACATCAGGAGTCACTGTTGGAGATTCAAAATACGCTTTAGTGCTGTATGTTTCAACTAAAATTAAAGGGAATAAACAGACAAACTTGAATCTCCCAAAATCAGCTCAATAATATTCAACATGCACACTGTTTGGTTTGTTTCACTACAATATTTCTTACAGTGTGCATGTTGCTGATCTCTTTCAGAGGCGATGTTAGACTCTCACTCTGCCGACTTTTCTCGCTCTTCTGCCCTTGAAAACAAGTTGAATTTATTAGATTTAAGGACGGCCTCTTGAGATGCGGGATTTCTTTTTCAAGGAGGTATTTGTATGAGTTTGTCTAACAGGTGACCTCTCCTGCCCCAAATACCTTCTTCTCTGAAAAACACGGTTTACTTGTTGTCCAGCATTAAGTTGAAGTAACACAATAGAAGCACTGGTTTCTAGGGCTGGGCGATAAAATTTTATTTACTGATATTGAAATTTACGACAATAACCAACATCATTTTGCCCATGTCAATATATTCAATGCCAAAAAATAAATAAATGAAAGTTGGTTTTGGATGTGTGTAGGTAGGCTATGGTCTCATGTCCCTTTAAGACGCTGTGAGGAGATGGAGGACGGTTCAAAAGTCGTAGTGGCTGGAGCAGCAGCTAAAGTAGATGTTAATGTGGGAGGGGGTGAACAGCTTGTGGAGTAGTAATCGTCCATTTATCGTTATCGAGGTGAACTGATGTTGATTTGAGACCATATCGCCCAGCCCTACTGGCTACCGACTTTGGAGCATGGCACATTCTAGCAATTGGGCGTATGTCTGCCATCAGAGCAAAAAAAACCACTGATTTAATTGTTTTAGTGATTAATAAGTACACCTTTTGTTTTTGGGTTTGTTTGAAATGGTTTATCTGACTTCTATTAACAAAACGATTTGTTGCCTGGTCATAATCCGAGCCGAGAACGGCCTGACTGATCCAACAGATCATAAAAGTAAACACTGGTCAACCACAAGTTGCTGTAAGCTAACTTAATATTCAAACACACATGGCACCTGAAGAAAGAAGGTGAAATTAACCAGCCTAAATGTACCTCTAGTTGCTGCTATGAACAAAAACATGATGTTGTTTAACCAAATATTCCTTTATGCAGATGATACCTTTAATTACTTTTCAAAGACCTGAGTTTTCTCATTTTTAACCAGAAGAAAACTGTGTATTTGAACCACAACTCTCTTGATTTTCATATACCACGACATAAACACACTGCACCATCTCAGTAATATAAGCAGGGCAGCTTGCAGCTTAAATGACCGAGGTTGCACATCTTGCATTGTTAATTTTTGCACATGCACACATCGCATTAACAGTACAAAAGAACACAATCCTTCAGATTTATTCTTATGCAGACGATACTCCGTTATACTTTTCAAATGAGCAGTGTGTTTTGCTTATGGTCTCATCAGTTTTGCTGAAGGATTATGGGAATTATCAAGCTGATGGTTGATCTAAAGAAGTTTGTATTTGAGGAGTACAGTCCAAACCTTGTTTATATCAAGATCTTGTTTTAAACAGTTGACTACAAAGTTGTGTTTTTCTCTTTCAGATTGAACCCCTGGATATGAACCTGTGAAAAAAGAAAGAAGAAGACCTGCAAGAAGCAAAGAAACGCTGGATCTCTTCTGGACTGTTCCTGCACCACATCTGAGGGATTTTCTCAGCTGCTTTCTAAGCTCCTCACAAACTATTGCTCCTCCTTTTTTTATTGTTTTTACGTCCTCGTCTTCGTTGGGATAGAGGTTAAAGGCCTCTCTTCTTTTCTATCTTCTGTTTTGATCTAAGCAAGACAACAAAAAAAAAGAAACAGTGCCAAACGGACCAAGAGAAGAAGGAAAATCTATTAAAAAAAGTCTTAATTTAGTCATAAACCTTGAAAATTTTGGCTTGATTTCCCTCCTGCTCACCAAAACAAATTCCATCATCCTGCATTATCCCATTAAAATCTCCTTTAATCGTCTTGGCATATTGAAGGGGAGTTTTAGAAAGCAGAACAACCGTAAAACTTAATATCCGTTGTCTTCTAGTCGGTGTTTGTATAGCTGCTGCTCTTGATGCTGAAGCTGAGCTAGTTTCCTTAAGAGGACGATGATCAGTGCATTATTGGTTCCAAGTGCTTTATAAACCCCACAGCTGACGGTCGGCTTCTGACGGGCAACACGACCACGTCTAACCTGAAGGACAAAGGCACCACCAACACCAACACTGCTGCTGCTGCTGCTGCTGCTGCTGCTTCTGCTGCTATCTCAAAGGCTTGGAGATAAACTGTCGCCTGAGTCTGCGCTGTGAAACACTGTTGACACTTTGCCTATCTCCTTCTCCTCCTTCTTCTTCTTCCAGTCGCTTCTGTGAGAGAAACCTCTCGCTCTTCGCCGTCTTCTGTTTCTTCTTCCACACGTGGCGCCGACTCACGCCACAACAAACGCCCCCTTTATCTAATCCCAGTGACCTCTCTGAACCTTTTTGCATTCTTCCTTTTAATCTACTGAAAACATGCAATTTAAAAACTTTCACTGTATTTAAATTTGTTGCAAAAGGAGAAAAGAAGTTTGTAAAATCACAAAAGAACAAAGCCATACTGTACACCAGCCATACCGAGCTTTCACATCCAAACCCAGAGTATTCGAGAAGCGATCCATTCAGGGTTTCACACGTTTAGACTAAAGAACAGGTTTGTAACTTTTTCTACTTTCGTCTTTCTGGAAAAAAAAAACGAAATCTGCGACTAGACGTGCGGTGCGGTTTCAAGTGTGGCAGTGAAACGTGACCACGCCAGGTTCCCCGTCAGTCGTCCTGTACTCCTCTGCGTTGACGGATGAATCCGGACAGTTTCATGTCTGTTCTGTGGGCAGAACCTCGCTGCCCTGCTAGAACCGGGCCCAAGCCCTCTTTTGTTCTCTTCTGTTGGGCCAAGCTAAATTCAGAGCAAAGACACTCACACAAGGGTATCGAACGCACATAGATCTCTCCGTTTTTTTTCCCTTCGGATTGTTTTCTCTCTTCTGTGAATGCCTTGACGTGCTCATTTACTAAACTCAGAAGTCTGGAGGTTTGATGCGGCTGAATGCGTCATCTAAAAGCTCCTTTACCGCCGCTGTCCGCAACTTCTAAATTTGAAAAGTGAAAAACCAAAACTTCAAGCAAACTGACCTTTACTGACTCTTCCTCTGAACTGTGCGAAACAAAGAGAGCCCGTTTGTTGGGCGCATAATGTAGAAGGAATACAAATTTCAGTCACAGCTTTTGCCAAATTCAGACCAACTTCCTCTCAGCTTGTTCGCTAAACAAAGCCGAGCTCTCTAAAGCTGCCAGCACTGTTGTTTACAGACGAGACAGAGTTAAAACATTTGGTTCATTTCGAAAACTTGATGTTTTCCATGTTTGATTTTACACACCAGGACTACAGAAGTGCCAAACACACCCCACATTTGTTGCAGCTCATAAAACAAAAGTTTACATACAGCGCTAAATGTTTACAGACTATATTTTCCATTGCAGCTTTTCGTACGTGAATTGTAACATTCGTGCCATAAAAGAAACTTTTCACTAGGAGATAAGAGACTTGATTTGGAGGGGTCATTTTGTTAAGAGTTTACATTCATGTTTACAGAAAATGTAAAAAATTTACTGCCTATTTTCACGATTTTCAATTCTTTGGCCAACGGACTGTAAAACACCAACAGACCAAAATTAAGTATCAGACACCTGCTGCCATAAAATCACATTAATCTATATTTATAATTAGTTGAATTTGATTATATTGATTATTTCCGATCAAAAGCCATTTCACAGGCAGTTCGGACAGAGCCGAAAAAACTCCGAAAGACCTCATTGTTTACAAAAGCTGCTTGAGAGACGGATTTGTATTCAGAGAGAAATGTTTACAATACGGTGAGAGACTGAAATGCCAAACACCTTCATGATACATCGCCTGAACTCCGAGAGGAAACCTTTGCACCTGAGCAGGATTACGTCATCGGACTGGAGTTAAACTTTTCATACGAGACAATTTTTTCAAATTGGTCGCTGATTCTTCACAGCGCTTTACGAGCTTTTTCTTTTTCATAACGGCTCGAGAACTTTAGGCTAAAACAATGAAAGTCGCAGCTCCAAGCGGGATGTTTTGCTTGTCCCTTGTCCTCCTATATTTTTCCACCTGCCTCGTTGTTTCCACGGTTACCATCACCACGGAGCGGCGTGCTGTTGATGGCGATGTCAGGACTCTGACCGGCAGCAGTAGCTCGGCTGCAGCTGGTAAAAGAAGCACCACCTTGTTCCTCCTGACCGGCTACAAACCTCCACTCCCCCCGCTTCCCGCCGGGCCCAGAGTGGCCCCGAAAGCCGCCGAGGTGGAGGACGGCGATGATCAACCAGTGATGGCCGAGCTCCCCCCAAAGCCCCTCCCTCAGACCATGTTGCCAAGAAATATGACTGCAGACGCCCTGAAGCCCCCGCTCGGTGCAGCACAGGTGGCGCCACCTCCGAGACAGCTGGTGGATGTGGACGTGTGCAGGTAAGACCAGAACGAATGGATGTCCAAAGGTGGTTGTGATCCTGCTCAAGTTGTTTGTGATCCATCTTCCCATATAAGAGCAGGGTTTAAATCTGGACCTCAGTGTAAATGCTGCTAGTGTTGGGAAATAAAAGTCTTTTTAGTGATCCAGGTCAATGATCTCAGCAAGAACTGACCCCTTTGTCTCTTTAGAGCCGAGTTGAGTCCTTCACAACCTTCACAGACCCTCCACCTGAGTCTAGATACTGTCTGCTGCCACAGTGCTATGTTTCTGCAGTGAGGTCAAATAACGCAAAAAAACCCCAAAACTTTTCTGACAAGTTTCAAACTATTCTCCTAACCTTTTTTTTCTTTTTTTTAAATAGAATTTATTTGAACATGAACAACAATTAAATATAGTACATTAATTAAAGACATAAACAAACAAAAAAAAAACAAAGAAAACAAAACCAAAGTCAAATAATTTAAACTTTATTTCTAAAATTTAAATTCCTTTTTTAATTTTCCTCACTTAAAGACTTTTCTGTGGTTTCGAAACGAGCTGCACATAAAAATAAGCAAAAATTAATACAAAAGAGGCCGTTTTTGACTCATCCGTGTGCCACATATACAGAATCTCAGTCTTCACTGCACTGGTTTTGGATCAAACTTCACTTCAGCCTCTTTGGTCCTTTTTTTCTGCCTGTTTTTTTACTGTTTTATCTTCAGCCTCCAACTCTGTATTTAATCAAAATCGAAGCAAAGTAGATAATAGACAAAATAATAAGTAAACATAAATTTTTGAAGCACAAACTGCTTTCACTACCGTAATATCTGTAATATAAGTCGCACTGGTATGTAAGGTGCAGTAAAAATAGTTTTCACAGTTTTCCTTCAGATTTCTAGTAGGGCTGCAACCAACTGAAGAAATTGTTGGTCAACTAAAACCCTGACGACGCGGCTCCACGTAGCGCGACTCCGTGGGGTTAAAATATACTGACATCAGCACAAGAAGGCAATTTAACACAAATATTACGTTCAGCAAACAACCAGACGTTGATTAACGTGGACGCTCTGCAATCTTCCAGCTGGTCTCTAGTGGGTTGGGCGTATCCAAAATGGAGGAAACAAGGGGGATGTTCTGAGACAGGCTGTCACCTGTGAAACGGGGGTGCTCTGGAAACACCTCCATTAGCACTTAATCGAGTCAACCAATCAGAATTTTGGTCGACTCTGCACGCATCGACCAATAAGTCAACCAGTCGACTAGAACTTTACTGCCCCAATGTCTAGTTCTGCCTAACACCATCTTTATGCATATATATCCAGCGGCCACTTGCTTCCTTGAGCGCCATCTTTTAGTTCACACAGCTGAAAACCTTCCTCTTTATTAGTACAGCAGGTATATTAGTCACTCTGTTGTAAAAGAGAAATCCTGAAGGCTCCTAAAGAGCTTCTTAGACACCAATCTTCCTGTATTTCTTATTAACTTGTTTATTGAAATCTACAGTTGGAGTTAGTGTCCTCCAGACTGCAGAGATAACTGAGATACACGAGTGAACAGAGATGTAAAATCCAGGTGAAGACGTCTCTACTCCCTCGGTACAAAGCGGTTGGTTAGAAATCAGCGTGAAACACAATCTATGAGCCTTAGGTGTGTTGTACCGACTCAGTTCAGTCAATCTTTACAGGCGTTCGGTTTCCATCAGAGGGTCTTGATCTCCTTTATAGCGCGGCTTTATTTCCATCTCTGAAACGCGTTGATCACAGTGGACGCTATAAAAGCGAAGCGCATCATGATTCTTCTCCTGCTGCAGCTCTGATCTCCATCTCACTGGAGATTATATTTTGCACTGAGAGGCGTCTTGCTGTTTCTAGGCAACATGTAATCAGGTCTAAATCAGTTGTGTGGTGGCAAAGCTACACACACCAACAACAGCTACGTCCAGGCAACACAAAGCAGCACCATCAGATTTCGAACCTACATGAACATAAAAATAACCTAATTTGTGGTCGTCTAACAGGGTTTTTAATGTTTTGTCTCTGTTTGTGTTATTTTTCCTCTATTATTGGTGTAATTGTTAGAAATACCTGAAGGAAACACAAGCTGATGAGAGCTTTAAAGCAGGGAGTTGAACCTCACTCTTCATCGTATGCACATGGCGCCCATTTCTTTCTGCAGCACAAAGAGTGGGAGGCCGAACAGGGCTCTACTGCTGTGTAACAAGTTGTTTAAATGTATGAGAAAAGGATCATGTCAAATTTACCCGGTACACAGTGATTCGACACTGAAACAGCGTTAGTAGTGTAAAAAAAAGACACCATGATCGACTTCATGCTGATAGACTTCTGCGTCTTTGACCTTTCCTCTCTTCAGGGGTTACTTCGACGTCATGGGGCACTTCGACAGCACGTTCAACTGCTCCAAAGGCAGCTACATCTACTGCTGCGGCACCTGCCACTACCGCTTCTGCTGCGAGCACCAGAGGAACCGGTTAGATCAGGAGTCCTGCAACAACTACCACTCCCCGGTCTGGGCCGACCCGCAGGTACCGGTCACCGTACCCGCGAGCACACCTGACACCAGCTTCGAGACGCTGCAGCAGCAGAACAGCAGGTCAGAGTCCGGACGGAGTTGCAATCTCAGTGTTGTATATTTCTGAATCTGAATCTTTTTCCTTTGTGCAACAAAATATTCCTTTGATTACAAAATTAGCTCATTTTTATTTAGACTAAAACCAAATAATAAAGATATTTCAGCTGATATAAAGGTGGATAAAGGGCCTCCTAAACTACAAGATACTCTGCTGATCAGCTATTTTACCCTTTCTGTTTCCGTTAAAAACAGTACGGGCTACGTGATCGGAGGGGTGATCTCCTTCACGCTCGTCGTGGCCGTCGGCGTGAGGATCGGCTTCAGCAAGGTGGCTCGCCGGCCGCGGAACAGAGACGTCAACATGCCCAGGTGAGACCGCAGGAGGATCAGGGAATTAGGACATGAGTTCAGATCAGGTCTCAGATACCGTATTTTCTGGACTATAAGTCGCACCAGCCAAAAAAATGCATAACGAAGAAGAAAAAACATATGTTGGTATGAGTCGCATTTTTGGGGGGAAATTTCCCTGAGCATCTCCGTTTCTATCTAACATGGTGTCGTTTTCGTCCTCCTGCTCTCATCCCTCCGTTCACCCTCTGCTGTGTCAGATCACTGGTGGATATCTTGCGTCACCAGTCGAGTCCGGTGCAGCAGGGAGAGAGGAACAACACATCCATGTTGACCAGCACCGGGTCGGACGGTCGGGTATCCAAGAACCACTACACCCCCATCCTTCAGAGCAAGGACAACCGCAGTAAGTGATGAAACTACAGCGAGACAGACAAAGAAACCATCATGATTACACATTTATTCCCAACCACACTGACTTTTAGAGGGTATCTGTATCTCTGAGGAACTTAGGGACACATACGCTGAATATCAACATGTGGAGTTATGTAAACCGAGGCTTAAATGACTTAAAGTTGAATTTCTGCATCAGAAGTTGTCCACTTTTCTGCATACTTGTTCTTATTGAAAAAGTAAGTCTGTCCACTGTGTCAGCTTTTTCCAGTCTGGGAAATCTCTCTGCATTGACTCTCCATCAGTCTGTCAGCTTTGTATCAAGTAATGTGGTCCTGTAAAAAGTTCTCAACCTTCACGTCTTGTCTTCATCGCTCGTGGAGGCGTGGCTGCAGCCTCGGCTTATCGTTTCTCCTGTGCACAACACCTTCAGCCAGTTAGTTTACAAACTCTAAACTTCTAACACCACCCTGAAAGCTGAACGGATTATGATCAAACCACATAGTACTTGTTCTAAAAGATGCACGTTAGCTCAAACTTAAAGCTAAGTTTAATCTCTGAAGTATTTTTGTAACTTTTTCATCTCTGTCGGAGGATTGAAGCCGAATCAAATCACCCTTGAAAAGTTTAGGCACTTCTCTTCAAGGTGATCGCAGCTTTGACTGGAGCTGAAAAGTGTTTTTTAATTCAATTGTTTCCTCTTCCACCTGAGGCGGCCCACTCCTGACAGCTCCGGGCCGCTCCTGATGAGATGAAAACGCTTCTGTCATGAACGAATTACAGTTTGATCAATCATATTTCTCCCGTTCCTGATAAAATAAAATAAAAAAAAAAGTTGCACAGACATTTGACAAACATCGAAACTCTAAAGCGCTGGTGAAAGTGTTTGTTTTCTTCCTGTTTGTTGAGTTTGTTAACAAGTAAAAACACACATTTCTCGCTATCCTGTCCGCTCTTATTCTCTGCTGTTCTGTCGATCTGTCTCTCACCTACTTTGGACTGAACTCTCGTTTCAGTCTCTCCAGGATTTTGAGGAAACATTTGGTAGCTTTGCAGAACTTTGAGGGTTTTAGCTGCAAGAAAATCACTCAGGGAATTCGCCCAACTTTGGTGCAAATACGAGGATTGAAAGAAGTCGGATTATTTTCTGTTTTCCTCTTTCTTCTTGTCAAAGATGCAGGACTCTGTTTTAACCGTTAAAACTCTAAATTTCATCAAATTCAGAAATATTAAGAGTTGTGTAAATATGTGCCACTAAGTTAAACTAATCCGCTTTCCTGGAGGGACTCTCTCTCTCTCTCTTTCTGTCCCTCTCTGTCCTCTCTCTCTCTCTGTATACTGACACAAATGCTTACTCGACACGCAGCTCTGTGTCTCAGGAGTGGTTGTCCATCAGTTTGTCGGCTCTGCTCTCTTTGCAGCTGGGAACTTGCACCACCATTTTAACCAGCAGGGGTCTGCTTCCAGCCCCAAACACTCTGCTACCATCGGTAAGCCTGAGGGGGTCAGCAGCTCAGAGCAGCACAGGGTCCACCGAGCCTCACTGCTGCCACACTGTCTGTCTGTGTCCATGTTGGTATGACGGCCTGCTGTCCTGCACTCTTCCTGCAGATGTGTCATCGCCAACACAACCATAAACCACAGAATAATCACGTAATTAGACGTATACTTCCCCTGTGAGATATATCTATATTTTCAAATCTCTGAAATGGAGCAAATACTGGCGAATATTTGATAAGCACTTGGTCAGAAATACATAAAAACTAAAAACCTGAAGCATGAGAAACAGTTTTATGAATATTTTAACATCTGTCTCTGCTGGAGAGCATCAGAGGAGCTCTGATTTTATTGAAATGGCTTTTATAAAACATTAACATGATTATCCTCCAGGTTCTTTTTGGAGAGGAGGAAACCGAAACTTCTTAATTTTAGATTTTTACCTGCTAAAAAAGCTCAATATCAGTGAATACTTCAGGAGTCTCTGCATGAAAAAGCAGAGTTCTCAGAAAAGAGCTTATTTGTAGCCTCCAGACTGCGTAATCAATTAGTTCAAAAATCCACTTATTGCATTAGTGGGACTGAAACTGGACCTGTGAAATATATATAAACATGTCGGTGTGAGTGAAGTTGCGCTGAATCGAGCTTCTCTTAGTGGGACTGACATTTGTAGATTACAGAGTGAGGGATCGAATTTCTCCTCTGTGTGCACGCTCTGTTAGACTGAACCTGGTCGAGGTGTTGCACCTGAAACTGCAGTTCCTTGAGTGTCCACTAGAGGCTGGCTGCAGAAGCTCCTAAAGCCACATACACACCAGGGCTCGACAGTGCGACCATTTCACTCGCATTTGTGACTGAAAATAGATATGTGGGAATTGTAAAATGTATTTAGGGGCACATGTGCGCATAAAAAAATCAGCCGAGGCATCAAAGTTAGTTTTAGGTTGGATATTCAATGGACATTCACTGCAGATCTTTGGTGTCTTCTTTCTCTCCATAACTGGGAATAACAACCACAACAAATCTACTCGGCATCCTCGCTGTCAACGTCGGGTGTTGAATAAGGGACCGTCAATAAATTACCGTTTGATGTTCTCAGAAAAAGCTGTTTTCCTTCAACAGCTTCCATGTCATGTGACCAACTGACTAAGGTACTAAGGTCGGACAATAAGACACACCTCTTGATTTCCCTAATTTGTCCTCATAAATTTTGTGTGTTAAATTTAAAGGCAAATTCTGAACATTTTGCACACTAATTTAAAAAAAAATTATCATTAGAGGAAAAATGAATAAAAAGTCTTTATTGAAGGTTTATTCTGATCCTGGTTTTAGGATCGGGGTTCTCTCTATATCTTTCTACTTTACATGGTTGTGTTGGAGATGACACGTTTGTAATAAGACTGTGAGCTTCAAAATTGTCTGGCCCGCCCTCTGCTTAATGCAAACCTGTCTGCTCCCCACCACCACCACCACCACCACCACAAGCCTGCTCCCAAATGTGCCTCCTGCTCCTCCTCCTCCTCTTCTTCTTCTCTCTGTGACGCAGTGATCCGACCCCGCTTACAGCTGACACTAAACCCTTCCAGAGGTCTTGGCTTAAGCGCGGTCACTGCACCCACCTGAGTCTGTTATCTAAAGGCGTCAGACCAAGAGAACAAAAAAAAAAGCAATGCTAGCACACAGGAGTTACATACGAACGCCAAACCAACCCGCACACAAAAGCAGGAATCTCCGAGTGAAAGATGTTGGAGTGCAGCTAACACAACTGCTTGTTTCTGCTGTTTCTGTGGAAATATGATGAAGCGGAAAAGCTTGATTTTCAGTGAACTTTCGGAGTTGTTTCAGTGCCTGTTATTCCAAGCCATTACTCCCACATGCGTCCCTCGGGAAATGAATTATACAAGAAGGAAACAGTGAAGAATGAAACAAGTTGGAGCGCAGTGTGAATTAAAAACTTGGTTTGAATTATGTGTGCCGCAAGCGGATTACCGCTGATATCCACCAGCGAGTCAAAATCAAGAACATAAGACATGCAAAAAAAAAGTTATTTACAGACAGAACTGATGAAAACAAGATCTGTAGGTGTTGGAAACCAAAGTACAGCTAAAAAGGCAAGAAGTGAGTTATTAAAAAATGGTACTTTTTAGTTGGATTTTAAATTTGTGGATTTATAAGCCAAGGAGGTGATTTGGAGGTTAAATCCTTAAGGGACCGCAATACCCAGAATGCCATGGGAGGGAAAAGAGGCAATGCTTTTGCAAATAATGCTGCATTCCAGTTACCTCCAAAGTCGGATGTCGGAGCTGGTAATGACGTTACACCCGAGTTTACGATATTCCAGTTACAAAGTCGTGAAACAAAGATGGATGCCAACTGTTAGCCGTTGTTAGCTGTAGTTAACAATTGTCAGCTGTCGTTACCCGTTGTCAGTCGTTGTTAGTGGTTATCAGTGTAAGCTATAACAGTTGTATACAAGCATAACACAGTATTTTACTCTTACAAACACCACAGCACAGTGTTCACAGTGAGATGTTGGGCAGTACAACATATACTGTACCACTTATTTAATTTCACAAAAACAAAACAGAAATGCTAATAAAAAACACATTACGTTGTCGACAAGTCGGGGTTGGCGAGGATCGTTCGACTTTCCGAGTCCAGACTCGTGTCTCATCTTTGGTTTTTACATTGAGCCTCATCAGATGGATTAAAACTGATCAAATCTGCCTGTTTAGTTTAAACAAGAGTCTGTTGTGTCTCTTCTGAGCAGTCAGCGTTTGAGTCCAGATCTAAGGATTGATTGAGATGTTGATTGATCTTGCAGGCAGCTCTTTTTCTGATGATGCTGCATTGGCTGCGGTGGTGCTCCGTCTTGTTTACTTGTTGCTTTTAGCTGTTTTGCATGCACCACTATCAACTGCAACTCAGCCTCAGAAAAATTATAATTTAGATGCACGTGCGTGGGATAAAAACATGCACAAAGTTATTAGCAGTTACATTTGTCTGTCGTTTCTTTCTATTATAACAAATCAGACTTTAAAATTACACGACAATTTAGTTTGAAGATTTAGTTTGTTTTTGTCACGTTTTATAAGTACCAAATGTGTGTCATTGGCTGTTTAAGTTCACTCAGAATTAACTATTAAAAGCTTTGGTCATGAATCAGATCCAGAGAAACTGATTTAGCTTTTTTTCCCCGTCCCTCCTGTCCTCTCTCTTCCTGTGTTTGATAAGGTTAAAAGCCTCCTGGGAGGATAGAAGAACAGAACACTTCAGCTCTCTGAGTCAGATACTGCGCTCACAAAAGTTTGTTCCTCCATGAAACCGTCATCAAACCTCTCTGTAGGAGTTCCAAAAAATCAATGACCCTTACACTCTTGGAAATGACTCGGCTAATTCTGTATGATGGCGCGGAAAATAAATAAATAAAAAAGACAGAAACACACTTTCAGCTCAACATTTGGTACTCTGATATTCTGCAGCCTCAGAGCTAGCATTGCTTTTCCCCCTCACTGTGTGTGTGTGCAGAAGTCGATGTGTGTTCCCTGGGTGACGCTTAACAGAGACATTATGGGACATGATTGCCTATTACTGTCAGCGGTCAACGAGTAGATATGTCCAGCAGTTATCTTAACAAGATCTCAGCCTATAACAGTTCCCACCCTGAATGGACTCGACATTGATTTTGTCCGTCTGAAAGTCAGGAAATCGCAGCGAATGGACCATTTTTCCACAGTAATGCAATCTTTCACTGCTGCTGTTATTGGCATTTTTAAACTTTCCTCACCTCTTTTCTCTTCTTATGAATTAACATCAACAAATCAACCAGTTTTGATCGATTTAGCACCAAATGGTCAAAGTTATCTCAGAATGCTTGACGTTAACCGACCATCAGAAAGACACTTCCTTTTTGTCGGGTAGAAACCTTGAGCAGGACCGCACGCATGTTGGACAGCCATCTGCCGTGAAGAAAGAGATGGATCAAGAAAAAAAAACACCAAATGTCAGCAGGGTGATGGTAATAAAAATGAGAAGAATATTAATAGTTGTAAAAGTCGGGGTCAAGAAGGTCGGTGGAAACAGGAGGTCTGAAGCAATCATCACCAGAAACCTGCAAGACAAGGGAGCTCGGAAACTTCTGGGGTCGTATGTGGTTTCAAACTAAAAATGAAGATCTCAAGTTAGTCACTTACATTAATTCGTCATTAATATTCATTTGGGGGGCTGTCCAGACTTGTCTGGCTGTGTCCGGGAAGTTTATAAAATCCTTCAAATGTCTGCGGTTTTGTACGCGAGTTTCGATTTTGTGTCACATGGACTTACTGAGTTACCAGGAATTTCCACCGCATCCAGAACAGGTACGAAAAGGCTGTATCCGCCGATCGTAGCTGATCGTAACCATTCAAGTTAATGCATCAATTTCCACCGGCTACTTTCCGTTCCGCTGTGGATCACCAGACTCTGCAGTTGATCACAAGAGTTATACTTTTCTGGACGGCGGAGCATGCCCGATAAATTCAGCACAGATTAACCCGTGCTGGAAAGGAAGTCGGGCACAGACACAAAATAAAACATCCTTCTTTTCCAAATAAAATACTGTTTCAGGCGGATCACCATGCAAACGGGCGGGGATGAACAAGTAAAAGGTTTTTAGACATCATTTCACCCCATTGACACCATGGATGAGGAGATGCTGATTCTATAAGTCTAGAAGTAGATGTCCTCCTCTGGAAGGACACAATCTACTGCTTATATGGTTCGCCTATGTGGCTAAAGACAACTTGTTATCCTGCTGTCCGTATCCACCTCGAAATTCGTCTCACAAACGATCTGGTACGGCAAAAATTGCCAATCGGAGCCGGATACGGTGGAAATCCTCGGTTAGAAGCATTTAGACACTTGATCTGACCCGAAAACCCTTCAAAATCAACTCTGTGCGACTCCGTGACTCCGCCCCGCATCGTTGTGTCCTCTTTTTTGGAAGTCAGAATATCGTCACCCTACTTTTAGGCACTTCATAACTTCCTTCATAACTTTCTGCTTCCTGGATGGCGGAGTGTTGGCGGTATCTCGAGGCTGTATGAGCTCTTATGAATGTCCCCGCTCCTGAGCTCTAGGTGGGAAGAAGGTTTTTTACTTTCCATCGTAGGTTTTCACAGAGAAGCTCAATTACCCCAGAGTGGATCCAGCCTGTGCTTGCACCTTTTTGTCCCTGTTTCTAAATGTTTCCGCACCTACACATGTTGTGTCACCTCTGAGTGCACCCACATGTTGTCGGTCATTGACAGTGCTGTCTGTTTGCTGTTTGGAAACTATGAATGTGCTCATAAGCTGTATTGTATGATGTAACTGATATGAGTATTCATGTTGCAAAACCGACACCCCCCTGCTGCCCCTCCCCCATACTGCTAACCTTACATAAGACGAATCATATCTGTGTGTATCGATCGACGTGCTGCTTCTGCACTTTGCATAAATGTGAGTGTGTGTGTTTGCAGATTAGATGCTATCAGTGTATTTCTATGTATTTACATGTGGCCGTGTGTGTTAGAGAGTTAGATGAAGAGTACAGAGTTGTATTAATAGATGGTCACCATAGAGACAGGAGACACTTCCTGTTTTTTTCTGATTATTAACCAGCTTGTATCTTCTTCTCCTCTTCTTCCATTTTTCTGTTTTCTTCGGCTTTTCTCTCTGCATTTCCATCTCGTCTCTCCACTTCCTCATCGCCGCTCAATCTCCTTCATTTGCCCCGATTTCCCCCCTTTCTCGCCATCTGTCTTTCCAGAGCGTGGCCCCCGTATGAACAACACCTCCCAGCTCTCCTCCGGGCCCACGCTGATTTCCAGCAGCGTCAAAGGTCCCGGCGGTGGCAGGGATCACGGCGGCGGCGGCAGTTTCTTCGGAGGGGGAATGAGACACAACAGCAGCCACCCCTCCTTCTCCCATTCCTTCCACAACCTGGCCCAGCTGCCGCCGTCCTACGAGCTCGCCATGAAACCTGAGATCAGCCGCTACAGCTCCCTGAAGAAGCTGGGTGAGTCCGGGGGGAGGGGGGGAGAAAGTTCAAATGCAGGGGAGGGGGAAACGAGAACAAGGGGAGCAAAGAGGGAAACTTGAGCGAGGTGGAGGGGGCACAAGTGGCACTAAGTGATTATTCTGGGCAGCTGAGGGCTTCCAGGTGATCATTCTAGCATCCATGTTGGAAATAAGAGTTTTCTTTTGAAGAGTATTGGGGATTTTGTGCTTTTATTGTGAAATTTAGAGGAAATTTAGTCTGAAACAGGGAGAAGAGGGTGGCAGAGGCTCAAGGCCACGGCTTCAAGATCTGCACGGCGCATGTGAATTAACCACTGAGCCAAGAATCCTGTTTATGAAGTGAACTCTTAGGGGCGCCGGGTGGTCTAAGCACGCCCCATATACAGAGGCTGTAGTCCTTATCATGTTGGTCGCTGGTTCATCTCAAGCCCATGACCCTTTGCTGCGTGTCTTCCTCCCCACAATTCTTATCTTTCCTCAGCTCTCTGATCCAGTTCAGACAAAAACCTGAACTCTTCCACAGGTCGACAAATGAAGCCAGAATTTGCTGCTTTTTATAAATACACACAAAACTCCAATTATCAGCAGGTGATTGTTTAGGGCTGGGCAATAAACTGAGAAAATTTACTGACACCGAAATTTACGACTATAACCAACGTCATTTTACCCATATGGGTATATTCAGTGTCAAAAATAAATAAAAGTTGTTTTTGGATGTGTGTAGGTAGGCTATGGTTTCACGTCCCTTTAAGATGCTGTCCTACATCAGAGACGTGACTCCACCCCATCCAGTCGGTAACAAAGAGGGAAAGACAGGTGAGGAGATGGAGGACGGTTCAAAAGTTGTAGCGGCTGAAGTAGACGAAGTTAATGTGGGAGGAGGTGAGCAGCTTGTGGAGTAGTTATCATCCATTTATCATTATTGAGGTGAACTGTTCAATATATTGTGATATTGATTTGAGGCCATATCGCCCAGCCCTATGATTGTCTTATTTCTTCTACAGAATGTCTTTTTAGGTTGAGTTTGAGTTAAAGTTACTGTTGAAGTCCAGAAAAATGTCTTATTTCAAGACGTAACACGCCAAAAATAAGACGTGAATTATTGTGAAATAAGACATTTTTCCGGACTTGTCAGACGTACGTCGCTCAAATTAAACTTAACGAGACTTTTTTTTATAGGTAAGACAAAAACACTCATAAAATCCCATAAAATTCTTCTTTATGTCCCACAGACCTTTGGGTGTGTATGTGGTTTTGGTGCTTTTGGATGCAGCCTCTAGTGGACATTTGAGGAACTGCAGTTTATAACACACTTCAATCATCTTTATTTCTCAGGATCAGAGGTTGCCATTTGGTTTTAAACGTCGACCTTTGCCCTGAAAAAGTTCGGCAAATGCACTTTTTCTGCCTTTACTATAAAATCACAACCCCTCTCATTCTAGTGATGGGAAGAACGGTTCTCTTGACTGTACTGAATTTTTAGAATCCGTTCATCAAAATGATTCGTTCAAAAGATTTGTTCACCGAATCAGTCAGTGATTGTACAAGAGTAAACGACACAGCGGCGCTGATCAGGCGTTCATTCATTGAACAGCGTCGTTCACTGGGTGAAACATGTTGTTCATTCGCCAAGTCGTGAAGGAAGAATCATGTCCCCTCGCATCATGACGGGAATAAAATGACACAGCAGCAAGCAGCACACCCGCTAAACGAGCGCGAGTCATCATTCTTTTATATCGCGGAAAATTGGAGAGATTTACCGGCACGCCACGCTTGCAGCCGAGCTCAATTGATCTGAGAAAGGAACGAATCAGGATTCCATTTGCGTCGTTCACTCAGCAGTTTGGTCTTTTGAACAAAATCGTTCATGAACAACACAACACTATCCCATTCGAGCTGTTGCTGCCTCCAAGGAAGGAAGACTTTGCCCCACCTTCACATCTCTGTAATTACGATATCAGGGTAACTACCGACTGTTCGAGGGAGCTACCACCAGCCCGGCTAAAAGCTAAAAGCTTGGCAGTCGTGATTCTGTTACAGAGGTCGACGTCGTGCCAAGAGGTCGGGCTCACACTCACACTTTGCCTGCAGATCAATAACACATACAACACCCACTTCACCGGATTTTTGGTATTGCACATGTCTCTTCCAACTGAGATGTGAGCCAGTTATTCCCCAGCAAACTGGCTCACTCCCACATGACTCTCTCTCCAGGTATTTCTCTCATTCTGTGGCCTGGATAGTTCGACTTTCACAGCCGACTCTCAAGTGAACCTCCATTATGGCAGCGGGAGATTTGTGACTCAGCCGCAGAGCCAAATAATGATCTGATTGTGCGAACTGTTTTTGCTAAACACTGCAAACAAACAAACTGGGATAGAAAAAAGGGGAATTAACGAGGGGATTGGTGCGGAGAGATAACGAGGGAGAGGGAGAGAGAGGAACGGAGATGGATGAGATTGATTGATGTGACGGCCAAGTGTAAAATCTGACCTGCAGCTCAAAGATGTGAAATATCAAACACTGAGCGAATCGTTCAGATCATCAGAATCAGGATCTCGCTCCGTATTTCAGGCGCGTGCCTCGTAAATCCGGGACTCTTTATCTGAGGTTTAACAGTTCATTCTTATTGTTTAGAGAGCGGTTAGACGAATCAGACGACAGCATCGCAGATGAACGAAGATAGAGACGCATGAGGAGAAGAATGAAGAGGAGGAGGGAGGAAGGATGTGGAGAGATGTGGCGATAAGGGGGAGGGGCGTTGGCTGCTGGTCTGCAGGGGCCGGGCTGCCTGCGACGGGGAAAAAAAAAAAACGATTGAGAGGCAGCGGCTGGCAACCTCCCTCCCTCCTTCTCTCTCGCTCTCTCTCTCTTTCTCTCTTCTTCTTCTGCATCCGTCTTTACCTCGCTCGCCCTGCCGAAGACTGCAGGGGGAGGGGAGTCGCCTCTGCAGGCCGAGTGATGGATGGTTACTACACGGGGGATCCTGTGTGTGTTAGTGTGTGGCTATATGTTGGAGTGGAGGCAATAATGAGGTGAGGAGTCCAGATGAGGCTCTTTTTTATTATTTCAGTTCAATCAGAAGGAGAAAACGCTCCGGCGCTTAAAAAGGCGCCCACTTATTACACATCAGATCATCGAGGTCATCCTGCTGCTCTTCCTCTTCTTCATGAAAAAGCATTTCATCGCATGATGACTCGAATCATCGAAACTGACCGTGTAAAAGTGGGTTTATGTCCTCTTTGTCGTCTTTTTACTCCTGATATCCCTTCTTCCTTTTTTCAGTTTCATGTTTTTCTCTCCTCATCCAAATAATCACCTCAGACACTTTAATCGTTGAATTTATAAACAAATATTTTCCTTCAAATGTTTTCGGTTATGAAGTGATAACAGTGATGGTTTGATTCATGTCTGATCTGTTTATATAGAGGAGTTGAGCTTTATGAGCTGTACTGCAGCCGGCCAGTAGGGGGAGCTCTAAGTGATTTGGTTTGAGACTTTAACTATCCCCTTTCCCTTATTTCGAGTAAAAATGCCAGAGTTAAGAACAAGTTAAATCAGGAGAGTGCATGTTTCTAATGTGAATCTGATGTGTGATAGCTAGGGATGGGCAATATAGGCTAAAAAAATGATCACATCAAGATTTGCCATTCTGGCGAAAACAATACAAGTCCTGTTAAAAAAAAATTATAATTCCAATCTATATTTTTGACTCATTTTGTCTTGAGAACACCGGTTGGAGTTGTCAAATAAGATACTTAACCACATGTTTGAGTGGTGGGTTATGGAGAAAAGTAATGACGTCAAACAAGTCTCAAATGCAGCAGATCCACTATCTGATGTCAGGCACACCTGATTGCGCTCATCTAAACCCCGATCTTGAGAAACATCTTCTTCATTACCTTCGGCCATGTTTGTTTGGTTGTTATCCTGCTCTGTGTGGGCTATGGCTGTGAGTCCGTCACTCGCGCTTACGTCATCAACTTGCATTTATCGTATTTATCATGAGATGGCAAATATTTATCGTGAATGATAATGTATCGCCCATCCTTAGTGACAACTGGAAGTCGACCAGTTGCAGTGTTTCAGAGGCTGAAAATACAACCATTTTAGCCGAAATCACTCTTATAATATGAAGTCTAAATTGAAAAAGAAGTTAAACGAGTGACTTAAGATGAAATAAAATGTTTGTCACATTGATAATGTTGCTAAATTCACCCTCCTTTGTCAGGCTGATCTTTTTAGCGTAACTTCAAATAAAGTTAACGCTAAGAATTATGGGTTATTTTTCCTTCTCTCCCTACCTTAATGGGATATTCCAGGGTAAAATTAATTCAGGGTCAAACACACCATAACACAGAGTTAGACACCCCGTCGAGAGATGAATGTTGTCGACTATTTGCTTCTCTAGTTATACCAACTTTAGTAACGGCCACACAATAGCAATACACAGCGGTCTGAGGAGCCATAAACAAACCTCAACCTAAACACCACTCTATAGCCACAAATAAAGCTCAGAACAGCACCTAACTTCATCAACAGAAAGCAAGCAAGCAGTCAGCAACATTCATCTCTCGAGGGGGTGTCTAACTCGGTGTTACGTGTGTTTGACCCTAACTTAATTTTATACCGGAATATCCCTTTAAGGATGGTCTGGTGTATCCTTCACTAAAGGAGGTAGTAAAGGAAGCAGTGAATCTCCTCGAACAGCTCTTTGGTTTCACTTGTTTAGGGAAGGAGGACTCAAACAGACCTCACTTTTCACCTGACACTGGTTGCTTCAGCAGAAAGCTATTAAAGCTTTCTTATTCACACACACATCCGGATCATCTTAACATTTTTACCTCATTATTTCCTCAGAAACAGCAGAGAGCATCAGAAGCTAAAACGTCGTCATTGTGACTCCAGGAGAGCGGCCACAGCCTCTCACCAGCCTCAGCCATTGTATGAAAAGCTGCTCCTTTTGATGTAGAAACCCGAACGCTGCCGCAGAAAAGGACGCTGATAAAGGCTTCTTTGTCTGCGGTCGACAGTCGGGGAGAAACCTTGAGCTAATTTGGCCGTACAGGAGGGGAGTAAACACAGAGAGGGAGAGGGAGAGGACATGAGGCAAACAGAGAGGGGAGACAAAGACAAAGAAAAGCTTGACAGCAAGAAGAAGAAGAAGAGGAAGAAGAGAGGGAATAGAAAATGAAACCAGGGGAGAGCAGGAGACAAAGACAGAGGAGAGGAAGAGGTGGAGAGGTGGCTGGCTAAAGGTCAGGTTTAAATTGGCTCTTGGGGAGCTGCTCCCATGGAAATGCTTTGAAGATTAAAGCGGACTGAAGCTGGAGAGCAGAAAGCACAGAGAAACACAGCGTTTCACCGTTAATGGACCCTGTAACCTTCTTCTTCTTCTACCTTCATTTCTTTGTTTGTTTCTTCATTTTCAAACAGTTCAGGATGTCAAATCTCATTCTTTCCCTCCAGCCTTTGTCACAATCCTTCCTCCATTATCTTCTCCTCCACCCTCCATCTTTCGGCCTTGACTTCCCTTCTCTCTCTCTCTCTCTCTCTATTCACTCTCTCTTATCTCTACATCCTCCTCTGGCTCTGGTCCTCTTAGCTCAACCTTCCCGGTGTGTTTTATTCTCACTCTTCCACCTCGTCGTTCTCTTTTTCTTTACTCTTAAGAGATTTCACCTTCCTTTCCTGCATCAGATGTGACACATTTTCATTTTTAATGCCTTTTCTTCTGCTTCCTTGACATCATTCGCCTTTTTTAGATCGCTTAGCTTCTGACTCTGATGTCGTCAGTTCTTTTCTTTGACTTTCTTTTGTCTTTCCTCTCTGCAGTTTTATTCCCTCACTTCTGACGGTTTTTACTTTTAACTTCTCTGGGATCACTCAAGTCCATCTACTTATCCTTATTCTTTCTCGTCTTTCTTTCTCCCTCTGTTTTAGGAAAGTCATAGTTCAGTCTGGACTTTTGACATTAAACATATAGAAACAGAAAAGGTCTGTTGAGCTGGTTCAAAAAGTTCGTTTTATCTAATTTTTTAAAATCTAATTCATTTCCAGGGTTTCTGCTGGGTCTTAAAATGTTTTAAGACGTCTAAAATCCAATCATTTGAATTTATGGCCTTAAAATGTCTAAAAAGTCTCTTAAAACCTCCTAAAATGTCTTAAATACAACTTTAAAAGGCCTTAAAAAATTAATTTTATGTAGAAGTCGTAAAGATTGATTTGAAGTTAGTTTAAAATGTTCTAAAATGTTCCCTCCATGTCTTTTGTACTTTTTTGCCAGTATGGATGTAAAATTGATCTGTAATCGTCTTTATTATGGTCTTAAAAAGTCTTAAATTTGACCTGTTGAAACCTGCAGAAACCCTGATTTCATAACTTTACTAATATTATCACTTTTTACTTTTAATATTCTTCGCTTTGTACACAAACTTGAGAGATGAAAAATATGGAGGTCTTGACAGGAGTATCATGATCATTTTGGCACTTTACTTACACAAAGACTGGATGGGGTGGAGTCACGTCTCTGATGTAGGACATGAGACCATAGCCTAGCTACACACATCCAAAAACAACTTCTATTTATTTATTATTTTGACACCAAATATACCGATATGGGCAAAATGACGCCGGTTATTGTCGTTAATTTTGGTATCGGTAAAATTTCAGTTTATCGCCCAGCCCTAGTTTGAGAGACATTTATATTCAACATAGACTGTATATAGAATGGACGCCGGTTTCTTTACAGCTCCAATTTTAAAAGTGGGGGTTCATGTTTTCTGTGATCGACTCTCCTGCCAAATGCGTACAATGCTACTGCGCAATGCTGGTTTCAGGAAATAAAGAAAAATTGCAGAAATACAGAGAGCTTTTGGGCTTCAAATCAGTTTACTGACGGGAGATGGAACCAAGTTGTCCATATAATATACAGTCTATGAAATTCACACAGTCCAACTTTTTAGCCCTCAAAGATCAGGTGAGCATCACATCCAAAATTTCACATTTCCTGGTTGACTTGGACAAAAACACTTTCTCCTCTCTGAGCTGTTCCTGCTCCAGTATCATCTCTAAATTTAAAACTAAGATTTCTAACTCACTTCTTACATTAGCAGGGAGAGTCTCAACCTGATGTGAACACAGGCACTATGATAATTCAGTATGAAGAAATCCATTCATGACCTTACTATGTGGGTCATGAAGAGGCATCATGAAGAGGTGTGAGTGAGAGTATTTATAATCAGTTAAAACTCCTAACAGTGAAAAAACTGCTGAAAAACAAAAGGTCAATCAATAGAGCATCTGAAGACGATGAAGTGGATTAGTTTGAGTGTGGAGCAGGTTTTAGAATTGATTTTGATAGGGTGTGTGTGTGATCTGCTTGGACTTTGACCAATCAGATTCAAGTACTTACACACCTGGGTGATGAGGGTTTTATCGTCTTGCAGGACGAAGACTCAAAACTGATTCGAAATTCACATTTAAGTGCCTTAAATCATCTTTTTTTGGGGTCAAATTCACTTTTCCCTGATTCTCTCTTTCTTTTGTTGATCTAGAGAAAGAACTGGACGAGTACTCGAACTACTACAACTCCAAACGCCGCTCCACCAACGCCCCTCCTTCTTTCCACTCCTCGTCACACCACCTGCCGTGGGCGGGGGGAGAGTACACACTGGGATCAAGAGGCACGCTGCCCCTCAATGGCACCCGACCTCGCACCCACATCCCCTCCACCCCGAACCCGTACCCGCTGCCGGGCCAGTCCCATTACACCAGCTCCAGCTTCGACAGGCCGCCGCGCCGCGTCCGCTCCCAGGACCAGCTGCTCGGATTCACGGAGGGCAACTCGCTGTCCCGCATGTCCAAGAACCAGCAACATTACTACAAAGCCGTGATGGGCAGCAGAGGCAACAACTCGCAGACGCTCCGCAGGTGAGATAAGAGGCGAGGAGCCGGGGAGTGAGGCATGATGGGAGAAACAGATTAGATAGAACAAGCAGATAAAAGTCAGCGGAGAGAGAAAGAGAGGATGATAAAAGACGAAAGGAGATCAGAGTGACGTGAAACGATGAGAGGAAACGGAGCAGAGGTGAGACAAATTCCATTAAGAAATAAGAAGAACTTTAATGAAAACTATTCTGCGTTTTTCTTTTATCAACAACAGACTCAATGATTCCCTTTAAAGTGTCTGACAGAGTGGAGCTGCACTCGATTAGATTAAACCAGTCCTGTCTGAAAGCTTTTATCTCCATGATTTGAATAAGAGGGCGCTGATAGGAGCCGGCTTGTGTTGAATATGATATATTGTTGTTATTCAGATACTCCAAGGAAGGTAATAAACTTCAGTTTTCAAACACGATTTAAGGAAAACTATCCTGTTATAGATAATCTGCCTCGACACGCATGAAATGAAGGAAAGAAACTATCACTTATTTAGATAGATATTTAGAGATAAAGGTCTTTATTTGTTGGTTTGATGGCCTCATGGCAAAAGCTTGGACAACCAGGATTTCCTGTTGTATCGATCAGTTTATACATGATAACACATTATGAAAATACTCTAGATTAAAGTGACAGCAGAGATTCAGCACAATTCAACATGCACTCAAGTTACCTGACTTTTTAAAGGTTCGATTGTCTCTTTTTAGGTGAGATGTTCAAACTGTTAAAGAGACTTAATAAAGCAGTTTGATGTCAAACTTTTGAGAAACTACAGATTTAAAAACTTAATTCACTTAACGAAAAAGAAATAAAATGTTAATCTTTGACACAGTCTGTTAAGATTACTTTTATATCAGCTCAGGTCCTCATTTTTTTTAGGTCTTCTAACTTCTACTTTTTTCCCCCGAAGTGGTAAAAAAAAACTTTTAGAGCAAACTTACCAAAAGAAAAAAACATGAAATAAGGTTTTAATTTCATTCCATCATCTTATGAGTTTTTTTTAAGTTTCTCTACCAATAGTAGCAGGAAACAGACTCATACTACCTTTAAATCTTACCCCCAGTTTCCACCACATCCAGAACGGCTACGAAAAGGCCGTATGCGACGATTGTAGCTGATCGTAACCATTCAAGTTAATGTGTCGATTTCCACCGGCTTCTTTCTGTTCCGTTGCGGATCGCCGGACTCCGCTGGATAAATTCAGCACAGATTAATTAATTAAAGGAAGTCAGACACAGACACAAAAGAAAACATCCGGCTTCTTTTCAAAATAAAACACACCCACCGTGTTTCAGACGGATCGTATTTCACTCCGTGCAAATGGCAGGAACGAACAAGTGAAAAGTTTATTGACAGCATTTCACCCCGATGACACCATAGATGAGGAGATGCTGATTCTAGAAGTCTAGAAGTACCTAGCTACCAATTTCCTCCTCTTGAAGGACACAATCTACTGCTTCTATGGTTAGCCTCTGTGGCTTTCTTTATAGAGACAACTTGTCATCGCGTGATTGCTCGTGAATCTGTGGGTTCTTGCGAGTTCTTCTGATTCCCGCTGTCCGCAATCTGCCACGAAATTTGCCTCACAAACGGATCCGGTAGGAATTGACGGACGGTGAAAATCGCTGCCGAAAATTGTGTTTTTTTTTCCTGTGCTAATCAAATAAGTTTGATTATCTAGATTGTTTTGCATCTGTAAATTGAACCATTCCTACATAAATCAATCAAGACTCATATAAAATTTTTGCCTCGCCTGAAAAGTCACTCCTGAAAGTTTTCTTAAAACATGTCACAGGACATTTCATGAAAATAATTGAAGCAGTAACAGCAGTAAGAAAATATTCCTCTGCTCCCAGGTCCCATGAGAGGCTTCTAGTGTCACCTGACCGTCTGGAGGACCAGCTGATGGCGATGGGTCTGATCATCGGAGGAGGAGGAGGCGAAAGGAGCGGCATGGTGCCCACTATGGGCCGCCTCAGCCACCACCAGAAGGCCCAGTCTCAACAGAACATCTGCGTCACGCCGTCCATGGACCGCCACCACATGATCAAGATGAACTCCCACCCGACGCCGAGCCACGACCGCGACCGCAGCTCCGCCGTCATGCAGGGGATGGGCATGCACGGCGGCTGGGACCCGCACGGGGGCCACCCCAACGCCCGGCGGATGGCTTTCGCGAACAAGAGGCAGAACACCATCGAACAGCTGCACTTCATCCCCGGAGGAGGAGGAGTGCAGGGACTGCGGACTGGGAGTAAGAACGAGGTGACAGTTTGAGAAGAAGAGGGCGGATGAAAAGAGAGAAGAAGAGCGAGAGCAGAGAGGCTGAAGTTGTTCAGAAAGCTGAAGAGGCAGATGAGGCATTGAGAGGAAGAAGATGAGCAGGAAAGAGATGAAGAAGAGGTTTGATCTCAGCTGGCTGCCTCACCCTGAGCAGCAAACAGCCCCCTCCCCTTCATCAAAGAGAAACGGTTCGAGCCAACATGAATCTCAAAGCGAGTTTTGCCAATTGATTTTCTCTTCGTCACTTTTGTGTAATGAAAAGAGAATATTCAGCCATTCTTTGTAAAAGGGAAGACAGAAATGTCCACTTTAAAAGAGCAAAAAATATCACCGGAGCGCAGCGTCGGGGCTGCCAGGTGTTCGCTGTGACTTTTATCGAAGGATACCCGTCGAGTCAGATTTGTCGAGTCGTCCTTGAGTTTTATTGCACTGTCCTCGGAGTCCTCGAGAGCTCTGACAGAGATTCATCTGTCTTTGAATCCACTGTGGAGAAAGGAGCGCCATGAGGCCGAGGCAGACGGGTTTGCTTGTCTTTGTATTTATAAGAAGTATTTAAAACCAAACGAGTTGCTTTTGTATGAAATTAACCTGATAATAATAATAATAATAATAATGATGATGATGATAATAGTATTAACATAACTGAGCCCTGTAAGACTTTGTGTATACTTGGTTTCAAATGTATTTATCCTTGAGCCAGCCAGTTTGTAATTTCAAGGCTGGACACTTGGCCTGCCCATTGTGATTGGACTATAATGAAAGTAAAACATCGTCTGCAAAGAAAAAAAGCTTAGTGGTCGCCTTTATGGCTTTATTTACTTTGGCTTAAGTGAACAATTTTGGATAAACAACACTGAAATTGACACAAATTGCTACCTTGAAGGCCCAGTCACACCAGTATTATTGAGAAATTAAAGCAGAAAATCAATTTATTGGATTAAAATTGATTCGATCTCTTCGGAAAGTGCAACCAATGGATCACTGAATCCAAAAATACAACGCTATCAAAGCTTGTTGTGCTAAATACTTGAATCTGGCGTCCTCTGTTGGAGGGTTGACCGCTGTAAAAGGAAGAAATTTACATTAACACTGAATTTAAAGCGAGCTTTTATTGACTGGGATTACACCAGATGAAGGTTAGCGCTAGCATTCCCCCTGTGTGCTAGCATGTTAGCTACTCTAGTTCCCCTTGTCTCCAAGCTTCGAGCGCCTTTGATTTCGCAGAGAGCTGCAGGTTAATTCGCCTCTTTCTGGAGTGACCGGGCCTTAAAAGTGGGATCCACTTTGCAGTATAATTTAAGCTGACTATAAAGCCTTTGTACAGTGATCTCTAGTGGGTGTATATCATCTATGAAACATTGTGACGTGACCCTTTGCGTAATAATTAGTAAAAAAAAATACGACGTTTTGGAATAAGACAGCTCATAAAGAAGAACTAACCTCATGCAGACTCTGTTAGGGTCAGACGTTTTAATACTGACCCGCCTCAGCCACTGTTTTAGCTCGTCATTGCGGGTTTTGTAAAGAGTCAAGGGTTTTGTCTGGCACTCAGCCGACCCTCCTGTGCTTCTTCAACGCCACATGTTACCTGCAAGTTCAGCTGCTCACCTCGTACGAAGGGAAGGGGGGGCAGACGGGTTCGAGGCGGGGGGACAACGGACACTTCACACCAAGGGCTATACCGACTTATCTTTGTGTGTCTGTGCTCTGTACAGTCTGCTTCTCATTTTCATGTCTTCTGCGTGTCAGTGTTGAGAGGCATGCTTGTGCATATGTTCACTGAGTTTTAGTTTTTTTCTTCCCGTGTAGAGAGAAAATATAGAAACCTGCGGGGAGCAAAAGGAACTTTTTGTCTAAAATGTAAAAACACACAACCATGGTTAGTTTTTGGGATGAAGCGCAACATTCACCAGATTCACATGGCCATCATTTAACCCTGACGTCAGGCTCTGAGCGGGATGTTCAAGCGCGGATATCGAAGTCCGACATTTTAAACTAAGGATTGGAAAAATTAAACTGAAGAGAGCCACCAAGTCCTGTTTGGAGTGAAACGACGTACTTACAGCACCATCGTAAAAGCATAACTCCTTGTTTTCATTAATGATTTCTATGACTTTTCCAATGAGGAAACTGTGCGAGCCAACAGTAACGTTAGAAGTTGAACTTTGCATACTAACCCAGGCCTTTAAAATCTTGCCCAAACTTAAAATTCAAGCGCTCCATAACTAGCCAGCAGTAGACAACAGCTAATTTGTGTTTTTAACTTTATATTTTGATAGTTTTAAAAAATAGGTAAACACTAGCGCACATATCTAGCGTAATCCAATTCTTTACAATCTTGCCCAAACTTCAAATTTAAGCCCTCCATAGCTAGTCATCAGTAGACAACAGCTAATTTGTGTATGCAACCTCACATTTTGATAGTGTTAAAAATTGGTAAAGCCTAGCGCACATTTCTAGCGCACATTTTTAGCGTGATCCAAGCCTTTAAAATCTTGCCCAAACTTCAGATTTAAACGCTCCATAGACAACAGCTAATTTGTGTAATAAACTTTACGTTTTGATAGTGTTCAAAAATCGGTAAAGCCTAGCGCACACTTCTAGCGAACAATATCAGCGCTCGATTTTCTTGGCAAGTGATGTGTAAGCTAATAAATTTTGTAAGTTGACTTGTCTTGGTGAATTTTTGCCTCGAGCATTACCACAAGCTGTTGTCGTCACCTGATGAGTCAGCGAAAATGTAACGACGTAAAGGCTCTGTTGCTTTATAAATTACGGTAAAACAGTTTATTTGAGATAATGAGGCGTCATGTTTTAACAGCTTAATTACAAACAGCTACTGTCATTTTCAGTTAATTGTTGGGGTGTTGTAGCGTCGAATGCTACCATGGTTAGCATTCAGCCTCTCCCTAGCTACCGTTAACTTTTGCTAGCGCAGCATGTTAGCTTGAATTCCCCAAATACCGTTGATGTTATCTCACGATGAGCTTGACCCTTAAGAAAAATGGCGGCGGTGTGAAAATCGGGGGAGTGTGTTGCTTGGAAAAGGTGGTCATGATGATGTCATATTTTTCACATTTTTGCGTTTTCTGGCTGTGAGATGGACCTTCTAGCCTTTAAAGCTGGATCCGCCCTTTAACGGGGTTTAAGGGACTCGTGAGGCCTTGTTTTAGGTTTCAGCTTCCCCTGAAGACAGACATTATTGACGACTGAGCGGAGCTTCCTGCCAGACATTTTTACTCTACGAACATGTACCCATCGAAATGATTTACGATCGTACGTGTTAAGAACGCCCCTCGATCAGACTCCCAAACACTTTTATCAACAATCTTTTTCTTCTGTCCTTTACTTAAACATGTATTTATTTTTTTAAATCTGTGAATTTTAATGTATAATCCTGGAATTTTCAATAGTCAAACTTTATAGCTGAATTTTAAAAAAAGAGAAAAAATATGTCTGAGCTGATGCAATCAAAGAGAAAAGACGAAACCGCATGACGATGTCAGAGGCCAGTGTTGGTGATGTCAGTGCTGACTCATGATGTCACGGCGTGTGTGCGCGTAAATGTGTGTCTTTTTATTTGTGTGTTCTTGTCGGTGTATTTCTCTGTCTTCTTCCTCTGATTTTCGGGAATGCTGAATCTCACCGCGCTCTTTAGGTCGCGTCTCCGGACGATTTCGATGACCAGAGTCGCGGTCGTTAAATGTTCATATCAATTTGTACTGGAATATAAACGGCCTGTAATTGTTACAGTTTGGGAAATTTAAGGGAGATTGATCAATCAGAGCTTTTCTTGTGGAGCCAAAGCTGGTATTTTTCCAAAAGATTAAAATGTGAACGATCAAATGTGTCAAGTTTTGGTATTTGAATGGACATCACAAACCTTACGATGTCTCTTTGATAATGTGTCGCCGCCCTCTGATGTGAATTTATATCCAAAAAGGAAACTTGTTTTTTCACGTGCGCTCATTTTGACAAACTTTAAGGGCGCAGAAGTTACACATTTCTAGTGATGGTGATGTTGTTTGAGTGGGTTTTTGGTGGAGAATGTATTAACACAAAGGAAAAGGCTTTGTGGTTTTTACAATGATGAGATCTGGTTAACCATTAAAAGAGAAAAATAGGAAAAATGGAAATGTGAACCTTGAAATCCAGATGTATTTCTAATGTCTCTTTGACCCTTGAACATTTAAAAGTCTGACACAGGTGTTGCTATTCATGTTAAGTTTATCGCTCCCCTGATTGAAGCGTGTATGTATGTGTGTGTGTGTTTGCGCGGCTGTGTGTGTGTTTATGATTGTGTTTACCATTAAGATGGGGTTGGGTTGGGGGGGCATGGGCATATTTGTATTCTTAAAGCTACTCTGCATACCTCAAATTGTATAATACATTTATTTATTACATCCCCTTATATGTCTATTTCCAAGAATATCCAAACAAAGGTCTCACAGATGTGCAACTCTTTTGTTATTGGTGATCAATTCTTGCGTTTGTAGAAACCATACTGTTTAATTGATAATAATAAAAATAATACCACTAAACTACATGTGTTTGTTATTTTTATTCAATTAAAGCTTTTATTTATGTGTTTTATATTTAACTATGGAATGGACCGAAGTCTCTTTTTTTCCTGGCAGTCGTTGGTTTTACGTTGATGGTCCCTTGGCTTTTCAGGCACAGGCACACAGAAATCAACTTCAAGGTTTGTGGTTTATTGACATGCGGAAGGTTAGTAACTTTTTTTCATGTATTTCATCATAATATCATTAAAGGTGAAGTAGGCAGGATCTGAGGAAGTGCCAGTTTTGGGGAGAAATCTTGAATGTAAACTCTACCCCTCCCAGCACAGCAAAGCACAGTTTTTTGAGATTTACATGAATAAATAAATCAATATAGAGTTTAATGTAAAGCCGGTATTCAGCAGTTGTGAGAAATACAATAAAGTGTAAAAATGTAAAAAAAAAAGTCATTTAAAATAGGGACAAATGATAAAATAGGAGCGCTGAGGCTGATCTGAATTCATCTGTCAGTGTGCTTCTACCACACACACACACACACACACACACATTGTAATGTTATGCAGCATGTGCGCTAATGATATCTTTAATTGACTCATTAACATTTCACACACTTGGCGTGAAAACACACTCACACACACACATACGCGCACACACTGTCAGACTGTATTGCGCTCTCTCTTTCTGTGTGCACGTTCGTGCACGCGCGCACAGAGCTCGCACGCGGTGTTTACAGTGTGCGAGCAGCGTGTGAACACATTCAGAGCAGCAGGTCAGAGGTCGGTGCGATCGGGGCGTCTGAGCAGAACCGACCTGTGCCTGGTTCTACCCGGAACCATTATGGAGACAGGAAACAACCATTTTAGCGTGCGTTCATGTGCTCGTTGGATGCTCGGAGTTTCCAGGTTTGAGAAGCCCTTTCACTGAACTCGGTGTGTTCACGGACTGTAAGTTGTGTTGTTACATGGAAACACTACAGACGTATTAATCCTTCTTAAACAAGCTAATCAAAAATGAACTTAGTAACTTTACATGAACAACAGCTGACAGCTACAACTTTAAATTGAAAACAAAAATAATTGTTGAAACCAGCAAGAATCAATACAAAATAGGATTATAAATGTTTTATGAGAAAAAAAATATTTAGTGGGGTGTTGTTCTTTGTAGTTTGGTCATCATTTGGTAAATTAGCTGATATAAAATTGATGGCAAACTTGTGTAAAAGTTTCGTAAAATGGAGTAAACAACACCTAAAACTGAAAAGATTAATCGATTAATAAAAAATTTATCGCAGGTCAGACTCCACAACAGGAGCCTCAATTTATCATGTCAAAAATCTTAAGTCTGTAAAATTAGTACACCCCTGTAGACATAGTGATATCTTTTATTTCATTTTTTATTTTGTCCTATACAAAAGTAAGTCGTTTTTTTTTTATATATATAAGGGCATGCAGCATTTAACACCAAGACCAACAACTACCCTGACGCAGCAGTTTTAGTCATTATATATAACTTTTCAGTCACAATCAATATTGTCACTGATGGTCTGAGTTGATTTTGCAGCTGGTAATAAGACATCTATCAATTTCAGATGGTTTTCTAACATGATGAAAACCCATCATAAGATCTTTAAAGCTCCTGTGAGGAGTTATAGCTTGTCATGACACAGATCATCATTTATACAGCCCAGTTTTTTAGTTACAATAGCTCATTAACAAGCAAAATTATTACATCTATGAAGTTATTTTTCAAGCCTTAAAGGGATATTCCAGCGCCAATCCAGGCCAAATCCAATACGGACTACAGCGGGGTTACGCAGCTCAAGGAAGAACATTTATGATCATCTGCGAAGGCAGAAGAACTACCGTGTCTGCAGTGCAAAATGATTAATATGATGATAATTACTTCAAGGAAATGATAAAGTAATGATCATAAATGTTCTTCCTTGAGCTGTGTCACCCCATAGCAGTGTGTATTGGACTGGCCTGAGGTATCGCTACAAACAAGTGGCTGCTGGAAGAGAGAGGGTGAGTTGTGTTTAGTCTCTTTGCTAAAGAAATCAGGCAAAGTTAAAAAGATGTTTGGTGGCTAGTACTATGGCTGGGACCCTATATGTACTGTTGATGAAGTTAGGAGCTGTTCTGGGTATTATTTGTGGCTATAGAGTGGTGTTTTGGTTAAGAGCGTGGCTCTGTGTATTGCTATCGTGCGGTCGTTACTAAAGTTGGTATAACTAGAGAAGCAAGCGGTCAGCAACATTCATCTCTCGAGGGGTTGTCTAACTCGGTGTTATGGCGTGTTTGACCCTAACTTAATTTCTCGCCTGAATACCCTTTTAACAAGCAAATTTTTTACATCTATGAGGTTAGTTTTAGTGCCTTAAACTAATGATGTGTGTAGGTGTCAGACAAGTGTTCCTCTCGGGCGCTTTAGCTGTAAGTAAAAGAAAGCAAATTAAAAACAACTCAAATCAAAAGTTCAAGTACTGATAAAGTTATTCATCAGCAGTATAGTAAGTAATTTTGATCGTTACCTCGTACCCCAGCTGTCACAAGTAATCTAAAATTGACAGTGTGGTTCTCACCTTTCCTGTTTTTCGGACGGCCCCTGAACGCACCGTCAGCGCTAGCAGCATCGGAGGAGCCGTCGTCTCGTCTACAGAGGGGGGACATCTAAAACTGACAAGGGCGGAAAACAGCCAACCGTGCAGAAAAAAACAGCAGGAAAAACACCACCGGGACAAAACTGAGGCGCGGTTTGCGTGTAAGACGAGCCGAGAGCCAGCGGAGCTGCAGAACCGGGTCGGGCGGACAATGGAGATCCCGAAGCAGGCCAGCGGAGAGAGTTTTTGTTAGCGGGGCTGAAGAGCAGATGGAGCTCCAGGCCTCTCACGGTGTTTTTCCACGGATGAAGAAAAAGGCCCCGCTGACAGGCAGGAGGGACCCCGTTCTCACGGCACACTCCCCGCTACATGTTGGCTCACTTTTCCTCCCGTGTTTCTGAGCTTTTTCTGCGCGCACACGGCGGACGCTACGAGGTAAAAAAAACAAAAACAAAAGCCGTTCCTCCTCAGCAGCAGCAGGATGCTAATTTTGTTAGCCGCTAAGCTAACCGTTAGGCTAAAGCGGTTAGCCGTGTTAGCGGGATGCCTGCTCTCTGTGAGTTTGGGCTGGTCACTTTTAGTCACTGTTATAACACTTAATATTGAGTTAAACCTTATTTAAAACACTTAATTTATGTTTCTGGTTTAAATTAAAAATAAAACACATTACTTTAGACCGTTAGCCTCACTTCTACTACATCTGAGAGCTACTTTTACGTGTCTCTGGTCACTTATCTTATATCATTCAAACTATAATTATGTTTAACATGTTAACGGTGTATCATATTAGTATATTTTGCATGTTGCACATTACTGCGAATGCATTTATTTACACTCTATGTATGTTTGTGGTTCAAATTAAAAATAAAACGCGTTACTTTGGACCGTTAGCCCCACTTCTACTTCATATTAGAGCTACTTTTACGTGTCTCTCTGGTCACTTATCTTATATCATTCATATTTTAGTTATGCTTAACATTTGAGGGGAGTATTATACAAGTATATTTTGCATTTTGCACATAATTACAAATGCATCTACTTCTATTATATATTTTTAAATGCACTCGTGTGTGTAGGGATGTAACGATTTGAAGATGAAACATCGCGATTATTGTGATCAAAACTACCGCGGTTATCGATATTATCGCGGTATTGTTGAAATATGTTTAAAAAATGTCTAAAAAGTACTTGTACACACTCTGAAATCATTTAACAAAGTTTTATTTAACATGCAGAATGAACTTTTCCTTAACCTTAAATAACAGAGGAATGATAAGGTTAAAAAATTAAAGACGGGGCGTTAAAATAGCCAGAGGTAATCAACACTAGTACTAGTAATAACAAAGTACAAAGTACTGTGCCAGTGGCATAAACATTAACATAATAACAAATAGATAAAATTTAAATAAAATGACATTCCTTATTATGCAAATTGTAGGAACCTACAGTGCTCAAAAAGATCTACTCTTACAAATATATCACAGAGCAACACTACTATATGAAACAGTACAACCACATGTAAACAAATGTGTCGTGCAGGTGTTTAAAATAACATAAAATATCAAACAAATCAAATTAACCACACAGATTGTCCGTTTTCTCCACCATACAGTGCTGCTGCTGATGTGTTCAAGCCATAGTGGGTGTCTGTTGTGCACTGAAATGTTTTATATTGATAAATGTAGACAATGTTTTGCTTCTACTATGTTCGGTAATGAAGTTGACGTAATGTACCTTTTAAAATAACCACAACTTTTTCAGTGCCAAATGTAAAGTCTAATAGTTTCCTGTCTGATCATGTCAACACAGACTGGAACTTTGGAAGCTTTCTGTTCAGTTATTGAGCTTTTCTTTGTTTTGCATTAGTTATTGTTGTTACTGGTTACATTCTCCGTCTTTTTCTTTTACCCTGAACTTTGAGCTTCTGTAATGAGTGATTTTTTTTCTCAATGGGAGATGCTGGCGGCTGCCGGTCATTGAAGGTAGTTTTAATCGTCCAACCTGTTTGATTATCATTCAATTTCTTTCAGGCTGTCCTCTTGGAGACATTGGGTGTCGGCGGCTTAAGCAGGCGGTTTACCCCCAACATCAGCGGTCCAGCTGGGAACTCCATACATGTAGAACATCTGGTAAGATCGAGATTCCTCCATATTATCAGGCTGAGAGCTTTAGTTTGTCACCGGTGCTCCACTCCAGATTTGTGTGATAATATCAGGAGAAAAAGTAGAGCTTATCTCAGACTTATTCTGTGTCTCAAGAACTTTTTTTTTTTATTCTTCAAGTCCGCTGGCTGCTCAGAGTGATCTCGATATTGCGTCGCTTCTTTTACGACTTACTCTTTTACAGCAGTGGGGTGACTTAACCCATCTGTGACAATCCTAATGAAAGCAGGACATTACAGGAGTGTAGATGTGGTGCCATCAACTAGCAGTATGACAAAATCTTGATTTATAATACGCAAAAGTGTTTTTTTATATTGGGTGAGGCAAGATCCCTCTTCTTTGCATCCAGTCTTGCTCACCCTGTCAGGATTTTAATACGCATCCCTACCCGTTCACTCTGTTTTTTCCCTATCTGATAAGCAGAAAGACTTAAAAACACACTTTGAACATGTTTGAGCTGCTTTTTGCTCTTGAAAAGTAGAAAAAAAGTGTGAACTTCTGCTTCATCTCACTTGAAAGCACTGTAAATGTCTTCACTGTGAGATTTCCAGGCCTTGAAAATGGGAGTCAAGAACTTCCAGAGGAACCCCGCTGTGCTTCAGTGACGCTGGGATTTGAGGAGTCGGATTTTTCTTTGTCGTCTGAGGATCTCATAGACGCTTAAACTCACATAGGGATGGTAATTCTTTCGTTTGGACCGCACAAATAGTGGATAGACCCATCAGTTTCTCCTGAAGCTGCACATGCAAACCCCAGAGTTTCTCATTTAACTATAAATTCATGCAGGCGTTCAATAGTTAATGGTGATTAATTTAAATTGCACCTTTCCGGCGCTTGACCCAATTCCCATGTTGTAGTGAGTATCAGAACATGAACCCTTAAAGTTGCTCCAGGCTGATTCACTGCTGCCGCCTCACATAAACTGAGATTGACTTTATGACGCGTTCACAGCATAAGTCCACTTCAAAGTCTGTATTTGACCTTAAGTCCAGACTCACTCTGGTCCTGAATTGTGGTGTACCGACTCCCAGATTTCTGGTAAAACTCTAGGCAGTAGGGAGAAAGAGTTGTCTTCTCTCAAATTACAGGCATTCATGTTTTTCAAAGACACAAAAACCTCCAGAGCTTCGACTAACAGCAGTTTTTAATATAGTTCAGACAGAAATGAGCATAAATTTCTGCTGTAGTGATTTTTATGACCGCTGAGTTTTTTTAAAAGACTCCTCAGATCCAGGATCAGCCTCCCTGCTCTGTGAGTCCCCCTGCGTTGCTCCGCTGAGCTTCAGACTGAACACAGATGTGACAGCGCACACGAGGATGTTTAGCTCCTCTGGTTTCTGTCTCAGGGGACGGTTGTTAACGTCTGCGTGCAAAAGCCAGAGCAGGGTCGGACTCGGCCTCAGATTTGAGAAAGATCTGCAGCTATTCAGGAGAGGAAAGAAGAAGAACTTTCAGAGGTTTTACAAGCTGAGGAAAAAGCAAAAAGTGTCATTATTTGTATAAACGGATTAAGATCAATTCTAAGTCTTGAATCAGAAGTTTTGGGCTGACACCTGTTGCTGGTCAAGGCCATAAAGATGTCATACTAATCTTATAATTTTTAGAAAAAGACACATTAAGGTGATTTTTTTGCATATTTAGGCGAAGTTGAAATGATGCACACAGTCCTGCAAAGCGTGGCGGATTCTGTAAAAGGACTGCGGGGTTAATATACCATATTTTTCGCGCTATAAGGCGCACTCAAAATCCTTTTGGCTTGTTGGAGCACTGCAGCTACCGTAGCCTCGCGGAGGTATTGAATGAGTTAAATAAAGTTTGACTTATCTAACTGTTTTGTTTGGTTTCATGCGCTTTATAATCCGGTGCGCCTTATGTATGAAAATAGACGCAAATAGACGCATTCATTGGTGGTGCGCCTTATAGTGCGAAAAATACGGTAAGGCTTTTCATGCCACTATGCCAAAGGTCGCAGAATCAAGACGGGTCGCTCCTCGCCCTTAGTTTGACCTCCTCCAACTGCGGTCGCCCTCGCATTAAAATTTCGCGAGTTGCATGTTTTCATCATCTTACACGCTTTGTAAGTTATCGTCTTACCAGTGTAGCTTTTGTTATAATAGGATTATTTATAGTAATCTGGAGACCACTGCCCTTTCCTCACATGCTGTAATCTGTTGGATTTTTTTATGTACAACAAGAAAATGTGAAAGTGTTTCCATAATCCTTTTCTATTTTTGATCGATTTAAACGAGATCATAAAAACAACAGTCTCCTGTCGCAGCCTGCAGGATGCTGTTGAAGGTATTGTGAACCGCGTTTGTGAGAAAAAATCCTCTCTCTTACTGGTTCAGACGTGGAGGTTAAGACCCCGAAACATGAACAGTATCAGTCAGAGGAGTTAATTGAAGATGTGGATCTTTAAATATCAGATTTTATACGTTACAGAGCAGCTTTTCTGCCTCGCTGAGCCTAAATGTCAACTCTCAGCAGCAGCTCTTGTTGTCCTCTCGCACGTCGACCAGACCACCTTTTTTATCTGGCATTTAGCTCTGTGTGTGTGCATGTGTGCCTGTGTGTGTGTGTGTGTGTGTGGAGGCGACAGGCAGCCATGTTATCCTGCAGGAGCTGGACAGGAGTGGTGTGGCATTTTGAGCCACCTCTCTCTCCCTCTTTTCTCTCTCCAGGCCTCCCATTCAGCTCTATAGTATCCACAATTTTACTCTCACACTTTTCAATGAACAGAAGACTCGTTCATCAATCCCTCGTTTCGCTCATTATTGCATCCAAATGTCAGTTTCATGAACAGAAACTCGTAGATGAAAGTTAGGTCTCCATATCCTCTTTATTTCATGTTTTGTTTTTGCTCTCTGTAGTTAATCCTTTGGCTTTGTTCCTGTTTTTTTTTTCTCTCAAACTTCAAAACAAGGTCATTAAAGCAGCCAGCTCACATTAGCACAATGACAGGAATACTTCAAAATCAAAGTAAAGACTGTCTGGTTACACACAGCGAAAGATTTAAAGATAAATATCCGGCAGCTGTCGGGTTCACCGGGTTCAAACCGGCTGATATTCAAATCCAGACGGTGAATATTAGTCTGGAAAATCAGAGGAGCTTTCTAGGATCTCCACAGTTTGCAGAATAACCGTGCAACAGCTGCACAGGACCTTCAGACAGGGACAGTTTCCTCTTTGCCAGAGTCGGACATTGTACTTTTGTTTTTAGACAAGCCGTTTTAGATTATTCTGACAGAAATAGCATCATTTCCTCTGCTGCTCCCAGTTTTTTAAAGCTTCAGACTTGATAACATCTTGTGGGAGAAACTATGTACTCAGGAGTTAGAGCAAAAACATTGGAGTGCAATGTTTCCTGCTTCACCTCGTACTGGTTTTCTTCTCCGTGTCTAAACTTATATTTTAATTGACCCAAAATTAATTTCAAATAATAGTACTTATGTCGAACAATAAGACAAACATTATTTGATCAATTTTTATTGTGCCCCTAAAGTTCTTTGTGTGCTCCTTACTTGTTCAACTTAGGAGCACATGAACTCCTTCTGAAGAAAGTTAATGTCAAGCTCTGTGGATGATGGTTTCACATTTCCCTGTTGAGTCGCTGAATAAAGCCGTGATTTTCTTTCTTCTCCTGCAGACCGCCCGAGAACTCCATGCAGGGACCGACGAGCGGTGAAGCGATGATCCCTCCTCCACTGAATTAACGGACTCACTCCTCTTCATGGGACAGCGGACCTGACTTTAAACCTCAGCACACGGTTATGGAACACTTAAAAGAAACACTACAGACTCCGTTTTTTAGTATAGCTCGGTTTATTGCCTATTTATGATCCTTTTTTGCAACTCCCCTCAGAAGCACTTGAAGGCTTCCCCCCTTTGATGGAGAGTAAAAGTATTAGTGCTACATTTATGTGATTGAAAACAAGCATCGGCTTTGGTGGATTATAGCAGCTGGTTCGAGGTCTGGGGTGGGGGGGGGGAGTAGAAATCCCGGCAGGACTACCTCTGCACACCTTGTCGGCTTGTCAAAGGGCTCACCGCTGTTTCCCAGCGTCTACAGTCTCGGTGCACGTGGCAGTTGTGGCTTCGTGACACTCGACCCCGGCTGCATTGGGAGATGTTCCAGTTCAGCAAGTACCCCATGGACATTCTAGAGATGCTCAGCGGACACCAAGCCCACCAATTCAAAGGCCTTGGATTAGAGCGGCAGCTGAGCCATCAACAGCAGGTGCAGCTGCAGCATCAGCAGCAGCTCCAGCAGCAGCACCAGCCCTCCGCTGACACCTCTGGAAGCCTCCTGTCCGGCCTCGGGCTCGGATCCCTCCAGAGTTCGCGGAGTAATGCCTTCGCCGACTCCTCGTCCTTATTTGCCAAAATGAGCGCCCCTCCTCCTTCCATCTCCCACCAGAGCCAGTCGTCCTCCTCCTCTCACAGCTCGAGGAAGTCCAGTAAAATGGGCAGTAGCAGCAGCAGTGGGAGTGGGAGCTCCTCGTCGGGGTATCCTCAGTTTCTGCGGCCTTTTCACCCGGCGGAGGCGGCGCTGGCTCAGGAGCAGCTTCACTCCGGGATGGGGCGCTTTGACTTCGGCGGGAGCAGCAGCGGAGGAGGCGCCGGTGTAATCGGAGGGGTCGTCACGCCTGCGCCTCCGCCTCCCCCGCTGCATCCGGGCCTCTCTGTCCCCCAGCCTTCACCTGGCCCCCCAACATCTTCGCCTTCTCCTTCCACCTCTGCGTCGGCTTCCAACAACCCCTCTGGCAGCACCGCCGTCCCTTTAGTCGGCCAGTCTGACCCCCGCAGCCTCCACCAGCAGTTCAGCTGCATGCTCGCCGCCAACCAGTACTTCCTCTCCGGCGTCCCCACCAACAGCAGCCTGGAGCAGTTCCTCGTCCAGCAGGGCACTCACAATCACCTGGGCTTGGGTCTGGGCCAAGGAGCCTCCGAGTCAAACTCCGCCCTCGCCCCTCCTCCCGCCCTACACTCCTCCCACAGCCACAGCCACACAGCTCCACAGCCTCAACAGCAGCAACAGCAGCTGACCCCTCACGCCTTATCACACCCACACAGCCACACTCACCACCCTCATCCCCTCCACCCGGCCCCCCAGCCGGCCCCACTGGGTGGCTTTGATTTCCAAGGCATTCCAGTGCTATCCTCTAACCAGATAGCATCGCTAATGCAGCAAGAGGCCGGCCTGCCCCTCCCCCTCCCCCTGCACCTGTCCCTCTCTAAAGACGAGTCAGCCAAGGCGGGAGACAGCTCGTCCACGTCAGGGTCAGGTGGAGGAGGGAGCAGGAGGAAGAAAGCGATGGCGGGCTACCTTCCTCAGAGGAAGTCGGAAAGTAGCAGCCACAGCAGTCACAGTCACAGCCACAGCAGCAGCAGCGTTACGAACTGCCATAACAGCAGCTCGAGTGGGCACAGCCAGAGCTCCTCATCGGGACTGGTGGGAGGAGGATCCGGGGGTGTCGGGATAAGTGGCATCGGAAGTGAGCCGCCGCATTCCTCCCTCCTCTCATCATCCTCTCAGCAGTCATCCTCCACCGTCTCTTCTTCCTCGTCTGCCCCCTCCTCTAACTCCACCTCTGTGCTCGTAGCAAACGGCAACCAACATAAATCACAAGACGGCCACAATAACAGCTCATCAGTCCAGTCCGAACCTGAGCCCCTTTACCACTGTGGTGAGTGTGGTAAAACTTTCACCCACCTCTCCAGCCTCAGAAGGCATCTACGCAGCCACGGCCTGACCCCAGAAAGCCAAAGCAGGAAGCTGGACTGTAGCTCCCCGAGCCCCGAGAGGATATTCTGCTGCGGCGAGTGCGGCAAGAGGTTCAAAAAGAGGGGCCACCTCATCCAGCACAGCGTCACCCACTCCGAAAACCGGCCTTTCGTCTGCAACGTCTGCCAAAAGTCTTTCAACCGGCGCGAGTCGCTCACCAGACACGAGAAGATCCACGACGAGAAGCCTTTCCGATGCCCCGCGTGTGGACGATGTTTCCGAGAGAGCACCTCCCTCCTCAACCACGCTGCTTCCGGCGCCTGCGGGAAACCTCCCAGGAGCTCGAAAAACCGGGCGAACACCAGCGGGAGCGGCTCGTCGAACGCGAGCAGCAGTAAAATGAGAAGCAGCGGAGACTCTGTGGGACTTTCGAATGACGGCGCGGTGATGGCGAACGACAAATATGCAACAGATTACTCCAGAAACCGTTACCAGAGCCAGTCGAGCTACAGCAGCGGGATCGACGACTACAGGCGGTCGCAGCCCTCGTCGCTGTACCCGTCAGAAAGCACACTAGCCAGTGAAATAACCAGCCAGACGCTCCGGAAAGCCCCTTTAGCCCCTACTCTTCATCCCCACCCCACGAGCCAGCAACAGCACCACCACCACCAAACTCAGCCTCAACCACAACCGCAGCCTCACCTCCCACTCTCCTCTTTATTGGATGATTCAGAGGACGAGGACACGAGCAGCGCCATGTCGGCCATCGCTGCTGCAGCCGCCGCCTCCTGTGATATAAACACAGAAAGTCGTGAAGGAGAAAGGAGGGACATCATCGGGGGTTTGTTGGGGGGGTTGGGGTTTGGTAACTTAGGTGGACCGTCATCCACGTCCAGCCTCAACGGATCCACCATGCCTTTGACCCACCCCAGCCAGCCCCACATGAAACCTAAGAGGCCGAGGAAGCCGAGAGAAAAAAGGGACCCGAACACGATCGTGAGGCGGAGGAGGAGTCCCGCACCACCGGGAGACGGATCGGAGAGGCCGTACGGATGCCAGATATGCGGCAAGCGCTTCAGAAGGGCTGAGACCTTGCGGCGCCACAACCGTGTCCACACAGGGGAGAAGCCGCACGCCTGCGAGGTCTGCGGCAAAATGTTCCGCGAGCCTTTCCACCTCACCAAGCATCTGACGGTGCACTCTGGACAAAAGAACTACAAGTGCAACCTGTGTGGGAAGTTGTTCGCTTATGCACAGAGTCTGGTGAGACACGGGAAGCTGCACAGGAGAGGAGAAATTGACAACCAGGGCAGGAGAATTAAAGGTGCTGCAGCTGCTGCCGCCGCCGCCGCCGCTGCCATCAGTCAGGTCCCGAACTCTGCAAACTCGAACTACTTCTCCTCCTGCTCTCAAGGAGAGAAGTCTCCAACACGAGGCACTCCCTCTCAGAGGCTCTACACCTGTACGGTATGCTGGAAGTCTTTCCGCCACTACTTCCACCTGACGGCGCACCAACAGACGGTCCACGGCGGCAGCGTGGGGCTCGACAAGTCCTTTCGTTGCGAAGTGTGTGGAAAAGCCTTCGCCTACTCCAACAGCTTAGTGCGCCACAAGCTGTCTCAGCACGGCATCGACCGCAGCGGCCAGCGAGCCAACCAGACCCAGCCCTCCGGATACTCGCCACTCTTCTACGATTCTGGATCAGGTTCAAACTACACTGGGGCGGCTCACATGCAGCAAGGAGCCGCGGGGCAACAACAACAACAACAACAACAACAACAACAGCAGCAGCAGCCACCACAACAACCACAACAACAGCAGCTGCAGCACCCTTTTCACTACCGCTCAAAAAACTACCAAAAGCGTCTGGGACTAACAAAAAAGCAAAGAAAGAAAAAAAGGCGGGTGGTGATCCACAGCATCATGAGAGATGGAAAGCTGGTGGGGGTCCCTCTAAGTAAAGACACCCGGAGGAAACTGATGCTTCTGAGGAAGAGGAGGGGCAAACTGCAGGCACAGCTCAACAAAAAAAAGCTCCTGGCCCAGCTGAGGATGAAAAGCGGGGTCATGAGGGTGAAGTCGTGGACGGGCGGTGCCGTCAAAGTGGCGGGGCTCACCTCCATGGACATCCCTATCAAGCGCTTCCCCTGCCCTATCTGCCCCAGCGCCACCTACGCCAAGCAGGGCTCCCTGTTGGTCCACTACGCTATCAAGCACCCCCCGAGAAACTCAGGGCGCCACGCTCGGCTGCGGTGCCAGGTGTGCGGGAGGCGCACAAGCTCACTACACAAAGCCTTGAAACACAGGGGCCAGCATCTGAAACAAGCCGCATTCCAGTGCCACAAATGCCGACACCGATTCTGGAGCGCGGGACTGCTGGCCCGGCACAAGTTCTCCTGCCGGGGGCTCACGGCCGGCAGCGCGGGTGGAAACTGGGGACTGCTGAAGATGAAATCTCCGCAGTCTCAGTCAGATAGCGAACATTCACCGATCCACCTATCGGTCCCAGCTCTGGTTCAGCCTGAGCGATCAACAGTCCTGACTGAGTACAGTCAGTAAAAACAAACAAACAAAAAAAAAAACAGTTTTCTAGTATAGATTGTTTTTATGTTTATTTTTTTTAAATAATCAAAGAAGCTACAAGAGCTAGCGAGTTTTTAACTGAACAAGACGGGAGGACGGGGGAGGGTTTAGTGTAACTACCGTAATATCCCCGACACCGCTCCCGATAAATCAGTCCTAACTTACTACAGCAGAGGTGGTGGATGAATTAGCATGGACTTCAAAAGGCCTAAAATCAGAAGCACCCTCCTTATCTACCCTTCTCCTCGAGGTGAAGGAAATCATGACCATCTGAGAGTTTTAGTAGCACCTACTTTAATCCAGTGTCCTTTCCATCATATTTTTTTATTTTCGATTAGCAGTGTTTGCGCATACTTATGGATTTGATGCCTATAGTAGAAGTGAGGTACCTTTTTAGTACCAGTTTATTTTTTCAGATTGTTCTTACATAATCCACTGTTAAACCGTTTAGTCCGTGTCTCTTGCTCTGTATGTGTTTTATTTGTTATCCCGGTGGAGATTCTCACTTTCGAAACTCGAGATCAGCCCTTAAAAGTAAATTCAAATACCTGACCTGACTAAAAAGTCGAGAGTACTAGACTAAAGATGCGCTGAAGTGACTGAAAAGTAAAGGAGGAGGTGTGGGGACGAAGCAGAAAAAAGTGTTGTTGACCTTGTTTTTAATGTACACTACTTTGTCATTTTTTTAGAAAGAGGCGTGAGCGGAGAGGAAACACGACTCAAACTGTTAATGTGTTCAGGATTTTAAAAGGACAACAGAAATAACCAAGTGTACTGTAAAATTCGTATTATATTTTATTATATATTGATTATTTGCTGTTTTTTACTCCAAGTATCATTTCTTTTATCATTGTTGGTATTGTACGGGCGGGAGGGAATGAGTTGGGGCTATCTTTGTAAAACAGCGGGACGAGTATATGTATTGATGTGATATTTTTTCCCCCCTCCCTGTACCCCTTTTTACCCACTCCCCTCATTGCCACAGTTATGCCCAATTTTTGTAACAAAAGCGTGTACACATAGTTCATTACTTAGGTCCTGTCCAGACGTGTTTTTTCTTTATTTTCTGTAAAACTAAAACATGTAATATTATTACTAAATTACTATCCTTTTCTTTGCCTAAAAGTGAGTTGTTGAAAACCCTCAAATCAAATAAAAAAACCTGAAATGTTAACTTATGATTGGTTTAAGTTGATGTTAAAATACTTCCATCCTTCGCATTGTTGTGAAATTATTGGATTTAGAAGTTGTGGTTGATGATGTGTGATCAGGATCTACCTGTTTGATTTGGTATCCAGTTTTCGGGGAGGTTTGGGGTTTAATCAATCAGAAAAAAGGACTGAGACTGCAGGGATAGTTTCAGTTTCAGACTGGTTTTGTGGTCTTTCACCTGATCTAGAAGATAATCAACATCGTCCTCTTTTGTATCTTCGATCTTACCACAACAGTGAGTGGAAAAGGTTGCGGTTCAACCAAACCACATAGTAACATGTTCTAACCTCTGGTGGTTTCAAGCCTTGTGTCTGTTTCTGACAACAACCTCAAGTAAGAACTGAAAAACTTGTTAGATTTTGGACTTTATTGTGTATTTAATATCATTTTTACATGTTTACCTCTGTAAAGAAACTGGTGTTATAAAAGAAAAGTAAGTTTCCTTTGAGTTTAAAGTCAAAGCGACTGAAGTGAGGAAGTTTTTTACACAACAGGACAAGTTTCTTCGATGAGGCTGAGATGGTGAAGTGGTGCTGTTTATGCTGCTGTGGTGTCACATGTTCAAATGGATCAGATATTTTCACAAAAACAAATACTTGTAAGACATTTTAAATTAGATTAATTCTTTTTCTGTCCACCTTTTGTGACTGACGGTCTCATGATAGTCATAAACTAACGGCTCTCCTGTTTAAAATTTCCATCCTGAACTCTGTAAACTTTCAGATTTCCATGAAAACAGCAGCTCAGCCACAACTTCCATCCCCTCCAAGCTTGTTTTCAGATAATTAATCCTCTGTGTGTATATTTTTATCCGTCCTCTCCTCCTACAGGGACGCTGAAGTGCTTTCTCTCTCTCTCTATCTCTCTGCACCCCCCCCACGCACACACCAGGAGTCGACTCTCACAGAGCTGCAGCTCCACATACATCAATGAGAGGAGGTCAGGTGTGCTGCACCTGGAGCTCGCAGTCAGGTGAGCTGTTAAGCCTCGCTGAGTACCCTGCAGCTGCCCCCCAGATTTCACAGGGGAGTCTCGTGCACAGACACGTGTGGAGAAGAAGTTAACATACAGGAGTTTTCAACGCTGAGAGAAAAAACAGGTGCAAATTTAAGGCGCTTCATTTCTTTATAAACCGCTGGTCTGTTACGATAAACCCACAGACACGACACCAAAAACAGCTTCATCAAAATAAACAGTACCAAGTGAAGAGAGTTGATGAAATATACAGTATGTGATTGTTTATTACAACTAATTCATATACACTATTTTTTATTTTTTGCAATTTGAACAGCTGATATCAGCTACCACTCTCTACTAGTAATGTAACCATTGACTTCCATTCAGAATACAATATATAGGTAGATATATGATATACTTAAATTACCTTAAACTATCATCTGTATTTCTTAATTATATATTTTTAAAAACCTACCTCGTCACTGTTGACCATTTGTCCCTCTTAATAACAACTGTGTGTTATTTAAAAAAAAAAATACAATCCAGTTAATTTTACTTATGGCAGTTTAACATTTAAAACTCATTTCTTCAGTCAGTACTTGAATTCTTTACACATAAATAACTTCATACTAGTTGAAATATAAATTCAATCTTGTGTCACATACTTAAAATTAATATACTTCTGTTGTTGACTTCCATCTAAATGGTAACAATTTAATTTAACAGTCAAAAATTTACAATATGTCCCACAACATTAAATACTTCACTACTCAAGTCACAGTATCTTTGACGACAATTAACTTAAACCATTGACTTCCATCTAAACTTAAAATCAAATATCTGTAACTTCCTTTTGACTTGTCATACTTCCAAATGTTAACATTTAATTTTTATCAGTTGAAACATATATTGAGTTAACTACTTTTACCATTTACCTCCATTTATACTCATGTGTTAATCTGTCACCATAATCAGAAGTGGCGTAATTCCTAATTCTATTTGAATTTCAATACATTTAGTGTTTTATGTCCAGTTTGACCGATCTATAATCTTACATTGAACTCAAAAATCCAACTCCTACAAGTCAGAATTTTTATAGTGCAGTCTTAGTGATTTTATGACATTTAGTCAATTTTTACCATTGGCTTCTATTCAAACGTAATAACAAAAATATGAACTTCAACTTTTTACGGTTCAGATTTATAGTCAACATAGAACACTTGGTAATTTATATTTTGATGTTGCAGTGTTTTTTTAATGACATTTGGTAAGTCATAACCATTGACTTCCACTCACTCTAAATAATTCAAAAACAGTTTTTGGATGTAATGATTCCAGTTTAACATATTTTCTTTGACTTTTCCAAAATCCAAACTTTTCAGTCATTTAAACTATAAGCAAATAAAATATCTAACATTGACTTTCATCAATATTATCAGATACCAATCACCGTTTTAAGTGCTATGACTTTGAGTTGATATTTCATAAACTTTCTACAACTTGCAGCAATTTTACAAAACCATACCATTCATTTCACTGAATACAATGCAGGTATTAAACAAACACTGACATTGTTCACAGCAGGTATCGCTTGTTTTAAGGTAATTCAATATCTGTATATTTCTTTAACCACCTCAGCTCCCAGAGGCTCCTTAAATCACAGTTAACAGGTTCATGACAGCTTTAAGTATCATTTAACTGTTCTGCTTTGATGCATTACTGACAAATGACCACTAGATGGCGCCATTTAAGCACACTATGAATTGTGGCTGCTTCCCAAGTCTGCAGGAGAGGGACAAGGGGGGGATAATTTCAATTCGAAATGGCTCATGAAACTTGAATCACACATTAGTGGTGTCAAGCTGTCGGTCCTCACTTTCACTGGTGCGTGCCAGCGTACACACACACACACACTCCTGCTCGTCTGTGTGTGTTTTCGGACTATTTTAGCCCTTTACTACTGTCGCATTCCTGGCATGTATTTTTGACGGCACGCCGTCACCAGAGAGGACTTGAAGGCTTTTCCAGGTCCTTCCAGGAACTGTTGTTCCCACAGCTGCTGCTTTCGATTTATTTATTTGTCTATTTAGCATCAACAGGAAACACCCGATGTATCACACTCAAGTATGACTGACTCCTCATTTCCTCTGTAAGTTAGTGTTGCAGCCATTAAATTTCTGTTGTAGTTATTGCATGGATCACAGATTGAATGGCCAAGAAAACAGCTTAAAAGCTACTAAACACTCAATTCTAGCTCTGGGCAGCATACTGTCATGTTCAGAGGTATGAAAATTTGGAATATTCTTTTTGCCATGACAAGGTTAACCAGTAAACGTGTTTAAAAAGAAGATATACCAATATCTAATTACCCAGACACACTGAAATAAGGTACGAGTACATTGAACTTGGCCTTTATTGGTGTTTATTGAAATTGGAAATGTAGTGTCATCATAATTCTTGTTTTAGTTTTGATTTTAACATTTTGTATAATTCTCCTGTTTGGACTCTTATCATTTTAATGTATACGAATGTTTATAGTCTTGTTGTGGAGGAAGAGTAGCTGCTACCTAGGTAGTAGCTCATGGGGATAAAAAACAACAACAAAACGCACCACTAAAGGAGAAAGAAATAATGTTCTATGAGAGGAGAAGTCAGCTTTAAAACTGTGAGTTTAAAAAATTTAATCTGTATATATAAATGATAACTTTATCAATTTTTTGTGTGCTTAAAAAAGCTTTTTTAACTCCTTAATATGTGCTGCGAAGAAATACCAAAACCTCTACAAAATAAAATACCTGCTTAAAGAGGATTAACCCTTTAATGCCTTTTGTATCATATTTGATACGTACTTTTATATACTTCTATCAAATCAATATGATCAACAAATTACTAAAAAAATACAAGAATATTGTCTGATAAATGATAAAAATGTCCTCTTGTAGTTTGTTAGTTTCCAAAAACATCTAATGTATCAAATAAGATAAATAAATATATTTGTTAAAATTTTAAGGACATTTTGATTTTTTTTCATTTTTTGGTAGTAAGTGAAATTAACATTTCAGCTCCAAAAACAATTAAATTTTCTGACCATAATTTATAGTGTCAGGCATTAAAGAGGACAAACATAAAATTTAATGTTGAGCAGTAAATTTTATTGTTGCAAGACTTAATGTGCTTAACAAGCCTTAATCATGCAACTACCAAACAATAGGACACTTTGCAGTCATGCTATTAAGAGCAAATTAGCTGCATTAGAGCTGCAAAGTGCATATAAATCATAGAAGCACATAGAGGAGGGTGGGGTAAGTTGAAGGTTAGACACTTATTTAATTAAAAAAAAAAAAAACATTTTTCACTCTCAAAAGTGAATTTAGTCTGTCATAAGTTTAAGCTTAGAGGACTAATAAAGTCATAATAGAAGTTCTGGGGTAACTGAGAAAGTAAAGGAGTCTGATGAGAGGATCAGAGTTTCAGTTCAGATTGTTGAAATGTTTTATTTTTTCCTTTCAAAAATACAGGTCTGTGAATGTTCTGAATCACTTAAAGACATTCTCATGTTAAAATGACTTTTTACAAAACAGCTTTTCAGCAGTTATATGCAATAATTATAAAAAAGAATGATTGTACCAGTTGAATAGTGTATAGGGAGAGGTAGTAGGGTAGTAGGGATTTGGATCAACTTACCCCATACACAGGGTAAGTTGATCATAGGAGACCACTTTTTTTGGCATGCTATATTATCAAGACAGTTCTGTTTACAATCATTCTGTTGGTTTGCAGGGATGAACATCTTGAAATATATGCAGATACACGAGTTAGAGACAAAACTATGATTGACTTGATGATCCGAAATATATATCTTACCCCACTCTCCCCTATGTCATAAAACATGTCAAAGTGTTGTCATAAGATCAGAACAGTTATTTATGGTTAGGAAGCACTTAAACATGGTTAAAACCCTTAAGACAACAATCATGCGCACAAACATTTTCTATAATATCCTTACGTTATGACAATTGTAGGTGCATTTTTATGTCTTATTTTATTTTTTTTTAACTTTAAAGTTTCATTTTTATAATAATTCTGTATTATTGGATTTACAGAAACAACAACAACAACAGCCTGATCTGTCCTCTGTGCCTCAGAAATGAAACACTAATCCTCACTATAATAACTCCCCCTCAGACTCCCTCCATTGTGTTCCCCCTGACAGCCGGCTTGTCACGCGGCCATAGCATGGGGAAATCAGTGGGCGGGGACTGTGACCTATTTTTAACCAATAGGAAGCAGAGAGAGCTAGCGAGTGACCTAGATTCAGCCAATCACGACGCAGCAGAGTCGCCGGTAGGCAACAGTCGGCGCGTGCCGGGGCCATGTGCTTCCTTTGGTGTGAGAGAGAGCGCGAGGCGAACAGAGAGAGAAAAACAGACGAGCGGCGGTGTTATCGACCATTTTTACTGGATTTAAAACGTTAAAACCTCTTAAAAACGTCACTGCTGTTAAAGTTTATCGAGTTCGGATGGAATATTATTATCATAAGTGAATAATGTGTGTGTAAAAATGGGTTTGAGGCGCACAAACACCCTTTAATCTTCCTTAAAGTGATAAATTCTGCGATAAAATGGAAGCAACCGCCCACATGTGAACACCTGATGTCTGTGTTAGCTTTGTTCCAGCTGTCACGTTGTCGTTAATATACCTTTGACAGATCACAGTTGGATTGGGAATCAACTTTTACACAGAAACGAGTCGTCGTCTCTGGACCGGACCGAGTGGTTCGGTGTGGTTTTTCCCCTCTTCGTCAGTGGTCATCATCATCATCACTGTTGTTTTTGCCCTGCTGTTTAAATGACAGCGTGAGAGCAGAGGGAAAGAGGCGGGGGACGTTCACGGTCCATCCAGGAAGGAGCTCGATTGAGGGGGGCGGGGCCAAGTATGCAACGGTCCCTGCTGCCGTCTGCTATTGGCTGAAATCGATGGGAGGTGGTGTGTTATATTCAGATATGCGATGCGTTCAAGTACTACCGGAGAAAATTAAGATACAACACCAGGTTTAGTTTATGTTTTTAGTTTATTCGAACAGGTTAAAAGAAAAAACAAATACAATATACAATATAGCAGAAAAATAATCAAAGAGACAGCTCTGTTTTAACCTAGATAATCAAACTTTGTCAGAAAGGGTGTAGGATGAAGTTGATAACACCTATCTAGTCCTTCTCCTTTATTGTTGTGTTACTGTAATTTAATCAGTCAGAGCATGTGCAGGAATAACAGCACAGAAGAAAGAAAATATATCAGAAAAATAGGAAGGTTGTCCATTAGTTTAAATTCATGTTTTCGTTTCTTTCTTAAATCCACTCAGAATATGATAAACAGTGCGTTTTTTTGTTTGAGCGTACAGGTAGTTGGACTAGCTTTACACTCGTAAAGTTGTTGTTTCTCAAAATTAATTCTTTCTTTAATTTAAGTTTTATTTACACGGTTTATTTATTTATTTATTTTTTTAAATTCATTTATTCAGCACTGATCAAAACCAGTGCAAGGAGGGAACGAAGCTGATAGGCTTACAGTCAAAACCCACAGGATTCGCAACGGCTCCGGCACAGCAGGAGGATCAAATACGCAAGCATTATAATCAATGTGTGTCATTCCTCAGGATCTGTCCGGCGTCCGGTCTCGCTGCGGATCGGCTCCGGCGGCCGGATCAGATACACAAGGCTTCCATTTTTTAAGTTGTATGCAGTTACAGAGTAAAATATCTGGTTTATTGTTAAAATAAACTAAAGTCAATACATTGAACTGTTCTTAGCTTGATATTAGAAGAGCTAAAGATAGTCTCAAAACATTCAAAAGTTAATTGAAAAAGCTTGATGGAGATTTTTCAGTAATTCAAACTCATAAATTAATGTTTTTGTATCTATTAAGGGTTGAAAACCGATGGGCATTCAGGAGTTAAAGCAGGTTATAACTTAGAGTACATTCAGCCACAACCAATCACTGCAAATATTGATTCAAACACTAATGGTGGTTCTTTGGGAACCATGTGGTGTAGCTATGTGGTGTTATGCAATTGCTGCTGCCTTTTTAAATATAGAGAGGTTCATATACATGCTGCTGCTGATTGGGCAAGCCCGCGGACACACCCACCAACCTTGAAGCCTGTTGCATACCATTGTCAGTCCTGGCAACAGGAGCAAATTTACATACATGAAGCATGAGTGGTAGATCTATATGGGCCAGACTAGGGAAAAGGTTTATGCAAAGTTAAATGCTGTCTTTTATTTATATTTATTATTATTATGCTTGTTTTGTTTACTTGATGGTATAACTATAGTACAGCTCAGTGACCGATTAGTCAATTTGAGACTCTGTTTCTGTTTCATTTGTTGTTGTTTTGTTTTGTTCTGTTTTGTGGTAAGAATATTGCTCAGTGATAGATTATGAGAACTTTGAGTGAGGGGCAGGTAATATAAGATGTTTCTTCTCCCTGCTCCCTTCGAACCAGTGGATAAGAAATGTTGCAATGTGACATGATATTGTGAAAATGAGAAATTGCCTTGGCTGGAATAAATAGAAAGAAAGAAAGAAGGTTTGGGAAACAGATTTGTTGTGTTGCTGATTTTTGAGAGCACCGACCGCCGACATACCTTACACATTGGCTTAATTACTCAATATCACTTTGGAGATACCCAAACCACCGCCACACAACCAACGTTGAATAACTTCTCAACAATAACATCTTCGGAGGATGACTCAAAGTCACGGCTATTTTGTTTGGTCATTCTGTTTACTTCTCTGGTAACTTAGAGAAGTGAGCAGGAAAAGCTCGACTCTGATTGGCTGTTGTGACGCACATTTCTGCAATGTTTGATCGAGCAAATATGCTCACAGCTGATCACCGTGATTGAACTAAAATTTATCACGATCATCGAACACGATCATATAATTGCATAGCCCTAGTTTTGCCCCGTGGTTGCACACACACCTAGTAGTTTGTACACAAGAAACCCATCTTTTTTATTAAGTCATTCTTTTTCTAAAATTAAGATTTTCTCATCACCTTTTGAAATATAAGGACTTTTTAAAAAGTGTTTTGCTGTAATTTGTCTCTTCCGTGTCGTTTAAAGTAATAATTTCATGTATTTAAAACGTACTCAGCCTTAAAAATGAACTCTGAACATGTTGTTTTTGTGGGAAGCTCAGATTTCCCACGCGCCCTGAAGGCAGAACAGCGGATACGAGGGAGGAGGCGTTACCGGGGCCTCGTAGTGGGCGTGGCCGCTGTATGCAAACGATCCACGCCCCCAAGCGCCTTTCCCCCGTGAGCGGTGACGTCACACGAGCAGCCCGTGTTGGTTCCAGCTGACTGGCAGAGAGAGAGAGAGCGAGAGAGAGACGAAAATAGAGGGAGAGAGAGAGTGTGTGTGTGAGGGGGAGAGAGAGAGAGAGAGAGAGAGAGAGGGAGGAAAATAAGAGCCATCAGTCCCATCTATCTGACTCTCATACTACTGGATATTATTATTTTTTGGGGGGATATCTTTATTTCTGTCATCCTGTTTTTTGTTGGTTTTCAGTCACAACTTTGATTTGCTCATTTTTTTCCACATTGGAGACTTCTTGCGCCGTCTACTCTTTCTAATCCTCTTTCTCCACTCATTGCTCTGGACTAGACAGATCTTGCGTTTCAATCTGCTTTATTGTTTCACCTCCTTTCAGGACTAAATTTCTCCAAACTGACGGACCAGACCCGGCCGTGTGCCACCGTTTTACCTCCACAGCTGCGCCTCCAGGATTGAATTTTGCTCCCTGAGCGCGTTTATCTGACGGAACTGAGAGTGTTTAAGGAGACATAAAGAGGTGACATCAACTCCTGAGGGCTGAGAGGATGAATTGATCTGTCAACATGGTGCCATTTTGGAGATAAATCCCCCTTTTTCGTTTTTATTTACACATTTCACTTCATGGGACGGACGGAGAAGAGGGACATCAGGTGGAGATCTTGAGCGCAAACAAACGTCACCTGCCCGCGCACCTTTTGACGGCGCGCCTCTCCATTAGCATCACTAATTGGATTATTTTGATCTTGAACTCATCAGTCTGCAGGCTGCTTTCCTCCACCTCCTCCTCCCCCTAACCTCCCCCCTTCTCCTCCTCTAGAAGTAATGTCAAGGCCTCTAACTCAGCTTCTACCACCGGATCTCCCTGCCGGGGCAAAAAGCCCACAATTCGGGGCCAGCAACTCGGCTGGAAGCGGTCCCCAAGGTGGACACCTGACCTCCATGACCAACCTGAAGTCTCTGCTCCAGCTGCCAATCAAGGCCGACCAGAGAGTAACCAAGGACTGCTGCGAGATGAAAGGTGAGTGTGTGCACGTGTGCCTGTGTGTGTGCATGTGTGTGTGGAGCAGAGTGAGAGAGAGAGGAACCCTATAGGCGAGAAACTTCTTAAAGGTGCAGTACACCTCTGCCGAGAGCTCTGCAGGAATCTGGTGAAGAAATGCTCAGATGTTGTTCAACAATTCACGTTAAATTCACACTGTTCAACATAACTATGATAGGAGGCTGAAGAGAGGAGATTATATGAGGACTTTATTGCAGTGCATCTGTATTATTTGCTATTAATTACAGGAAGTATACGGCAGACTTGAACAATTGTGAAATCAACCACATTCAGGAACTGAAACCTGCAATAGAAAGCAGATTTTGGGAAGTCTGTTGATGTTTATGGTCCTAATTAGTGTTTACATTACACTGGCTGCACCATCCACATTGTATTTGTTCCTTTGTTTTCATTTAGGGTGGTGTAATAGACCTTTTAAACCTCTGCAGAAGTGGCCTACGGAACATTTGTTGGATATTTATATAATTTCTTCTATCAAAATGCAGAAAAATTAGCTCGAAACATACGTGGTTTTTATTATTAAACATGATATTAAAGCTCCTGTGAGAAGATATTAGCTGGTTACAAATGGACGAACATGGAGATTTCTGCTCATTTATTTGCAGCAAAATCAAATGCAGGCATTATCCACAGTATATATGATTTTTTTGTTTTGTTGTTTTAATGTCTGAAACTGCTGTAAGGGGGTAGGTGACCGATGAAAGGATGCATTAAACCCCAACTAAACAGACTTTGTTTACACTTTCTGCAGCAAATTCTCTCCAGACCTGGAATATTTAACTATTAAAAGACATATTAGTCCTGTACAAAATTCCTCACAGGAGCTTTAAATGAATATATTTGGATACAGGGGCAGCTTTTATGATCATTTTATGCCCTTTAATTTAAGAAAATAAACAGTAGTGTGAGAGAAAATCATAAAATTCAATTTTTGGTGCTCTAATGTGAAAAACAAACGTCCCCACAGACTCAGTATCATGGGAATATTGCAGTGAGTATTCACTGATGTGTGTGTGTGCATGTGACTGAGTGGGTAGGTGTGATTGTTAAAGACAGAGGCCCTGCTTATCCAACACACACTCTCACACTCATACACTGCTTTCACTTCGGCTCCTTCTGGCGTTCTTCCTCAAAATTATTCTATTAAACTTTTACATTTGGTGGTGAAGGGAGGAGGGGGAGGGGTGATGAAGTTATCTGGTTGTCTTGTGTGTTTAAATAAAGGTTAGTGAGTGGGTTTCGATTGTTTCCCATCCACCAGCTGCCATGACAAACACCAACCAGGCTGCCTCTTCTTCCTCTCCTTCCTCTCTCTCTCTCTCTTCTTGTGTCTCTCTGTGTGGATGTCATGACTCCTAATCAGCTGCTGTCACACACACACATCGCTTTTGTCACGCTGATTAGGACACTGACACTCAAATTTGAACCCAAACCCAAAGATATAAAGCAGTTTTGTCATTATGGTTTAAAAAAATATGCTCAAAATGGCAGCAGTGTAGTGATGTCCCCGTAAAAGCAAACGCCTGTCAAGTGCAAGTCCCCACAAGTGTCTATAAAACAGGTTAATTGTGTAAAATAGGGAAACAATGCCTTTTAGAGAGCAATATTATCAACAATGAGTCCTCACAAGTGTAGATAAAACTGATCACATGTACAAAAAAATGTCCTAAAATGGCAGCAGTGTAGTGATGTCCCCGTAAAAGCGAACGCCTGTCAAGTGCGAGTCCCCACAAGTGTATATAAAACAGAATACATTTGTAAAATAGGGAGAACAGTGGCTTTTTAAGAGCAACACTGTCAAGAATGAGTCCTCACAAGTGTAGATAAAACTGATCACATGTGCAGAAAGAGGGGGGGAGAACACAGCCAAAGTGTTCTTGCAGTTTGCTGACCCCTGGTGTCTTCTTAGTGTAACTGCAGCTGCCTTCCCTGCTATTTTTTTTCCTGTTTCTTTGCATGAGAGGGAAAAGATGATGGTCAGCACTGATGACAGGCTCTCCATGGAGGGAGGAAGGAATCGGCTCAGAGGCCCGGCTGTAGCATGTTTTCATAGATATAGGTGATGCATTCAGGGGTCGAAACAGAAAGAAAGAAAGGTGCCGTGTGTAATATTTTTTTTGGCTTCCTCCCCTTCCACAACGCTCAGTCGATGTTTCACTCCTCCTGCTTTTTTTTCTCCCCTGGCTAGCTTTGTTTGACGCCTTCACAAACACCCACTCCTCCATCTAGCACCATCGCTCTCTTCCTCGTTATTCTCTCTGGCTGTCGTTCTCTCTCTCTCTCTCTCTCCCTCACACGTCCCTGAGTTTTTCCTCTCACTCGCTCCTGTCTTGCTGTCTTCCCTCGGTCCCTCTGCTGATTTGCATTTTTCTCAGGCTTTGTTACAGTATGCACTCTCATCTTTCTGGCTCTTCTCCTCCCGTCCAGATTCCCGTCTTTTCCCTTCCTCTTCTTCTTCTGCTCTTAACAAAGGGATATCCCCATTTATTTTTAAAGTCTTCAGAGCCTGCACGTTGGGATTTGTACCCAATATCCAGAAAAAAACACTGGTCTGCAGTCGTAAGCATGCACATTAGACATTAGGGACCATTTCATACCACGAACTGCACACAGAACTGGTTAAGATGTCTCTACCTCCTCCTCTTGTACAAAATGGAAGTTAAAATTACCCCTGTTACAGGCTGGTGTCGCTGCAGAAATGATGTCCCGCCCCTTCCACTTTACAAAACACACAGTTAGCTCACAGATGAACCGTCAAACATCAGTCAGTTTGGCTCAGTCGGCTGCAGCAGATTTGCTTCTCAGATCGGCTTAAAACTCATTCCTTGGAAAATTTTGGAAAATTCAGTAGCTCTATTGTTGTTGTTTTTCTTGAAGTTCATCCTTTACTTTCCTAATCTGGTACACAAAGAGCTGCAGGAGCCATATTGACCTAGAGAGCCATCAGTCATGGTGTTATGCTGTATTCGAGTTACTTCGGAAGTCAGAATTTCGAGCTGGGAAGGACATCACACCTGAGTTACCAGAGTTTCAGTTACCAAGTTGGAAGAAAGCAAAATCGAGAGGCGGAAATAAAATGGCTACATCTTGGAAACTCGAACGCAGCCATAAACCCGGTTTTTCAAAATAAACAAAACATAGCAAGTTGGCATGATTAGGATTACCGTAATGACAGAAACCATGTTTGAGAAAAAAAGAGTTGGCGTTTATTTTGATTTTGAAGTTTGATCCATGTCCCATCTGTTTGCATGGAGGATTCAGGATTTATGGCGTGTACTACAACCAGCCAGTAGAGGGCACTCCTGATGTTTTGGCTGCACTTTTAAGGAGCTATCACATTGTCAATGTTTGTTAATTCTCTATGGAATTGACAAGATAAACCCATTAATTAAGAGGGTGGGGCACTTGAAGAGTCATTTAAAGGTACAGTGTGTAGTAGTGAGCGACTTGGTAGCAGCTCGAGCTTGCCGCCGTCGCCTCTGTACAAGTGGCGCCAATTCCACCAAGTGAGCCTCACCAGCGCCATACTTTTTTGGCTCTTTGACAGGAAGAATTATGTTGTGGATCTGGAGTACAAACATCGTGTTTGCAGGGTAGTTTGGGGACCAGCAGCCATAATGTAAACACTAAGAGAGATTACATTGTCTTGATTTGGACGAAATATTACCACGACTTTAAAGGTGTGAAATCCTTATGAGATTATGTTTAATCAGTCAGTTCAGTCACACGAGGAAGATGAGGATGATGCTAAGAGAAAGTGAGCGGCATCAGTATGAAGGCTCTGACTCTCTGCTTCCTCCCTCCCTCTCTTTCTGTTTTTCTCTCATCCTTTTTAATCTAAATTTCCGGCCTCCCCTCGGCCTCTTTTGCTTGTTCCCTCTGTTATTACTCCCTCTTGTTGTGTCAGCCCGGTCTAGTCAAATATTCTCTTTTATTCCTGTTTAATTGAGTTACATTACTCTCTGCGTCATTGTTCAATATGCACTTTTGGAAACACAACTCTGTAGACCAACATCATAAAAGGATCAGGGCACTGAATGATCACTATTTTCCATCCAGCGCCTCTATTTCATTTGTTTCCTGGATTACTTTTCATTTATTTTTTCCTGCTGATGGTTTATTGATGCCTGGAGTCTGTATCTATCTTTCCATCAGACCCGCTCCCTCCCCCTCCTGAGGGGTCAGAGTGCAAGGTCAAACATGTCAACTTTATTTTTAGATGCCTTTCAATGATTGCAACTAAGTGCTGCACAGAACAGAAGCGCTAGACAGGAGCACAAACCTTTGCTGGTGTTTATCAAACAACGAAGCAGCCCCTGGAGCTGTTTGTTGATTGTTGACGGTCTTTTGAAATCATTTTTAGACAAAGTGGAAAAAAACTGATGCTAAAAGAGAGGTTTCATCAGCTTGATATCTGCAGGAATCTCTGACTACTTCTGATTAAGCTCTGAAACAATCTTTTCATTAGATATCAGCCCTAAGCCTCGGATTATGTAACCAAATGTCCATTCTGTGCCTTGCCCAAGGGCTTAAGTATATAAAAGTCTCCTGACGCTAATAAGGGAGTGACTTGTTCTGTTCCTATTCCCCAGTCATTAAACATGACTTATCACCACAGCCTTTCACATGTTGAACAGTAGCACATGGTAACCTTTGGTGTGGGCATGATTAAGCAGCAATTTTTAAGTGCAGTTCCTTGAGTGTCCACTTGAGGCTGACTCCAACAGCCCGGGGATCCCGATTAGAGTCCATGTTAAAATGCCGGTCTTTACAGTCCAAATAAAAACATTTACAGCCTGGTGTAAAATTGGTTTTGGTCTAAGCAGATCACTTCTTTGTTGGCTCACACTGTGTAGAGGATGATCTCATCTGTTTTGGAGATGTCAAGGTGAAGAGTCAAGCATAGGTTTGCACAAGTAGGGGCTTGGCTGAGTTGATGGGGGTAGGTGCAATGTCATTGCACAAGAGGTTTAAATTGCACAAATTCTCGCTCCCTTAGTAGCCACGTTTATGTGCAAAATTTCTTGATCCAATTAAAGATTTGAGGGATCGGATAATCTGAATCTGTTGTTTATATGGGTGCAAAATCAAATAACCCGATCATGACATGCGTATACATGCTCCGAGCTTTATTCAGGTTAGAGGCATTTGGACATGCGCAGAGTTGTCTGATTTCGCTAAAACAACCACAGAAGAAGAGTCGTCTGTGCTGTCAACAAATCAACAAACGCGGTAGTGGCTCACTCCATCCAATTCAGGAGTTTTTCCTCTGTTAAATGTTGTCACTAGGTGGCGCCCTTGCTTACTTTCTTTACTGTTATGTCAAAGATTGCACTGTGTGTGCAAATGTGACATCATTACGCTGTATGTACGCCTTGTTATGTTAGCGACACGGCACCTGTGGTTGTGTTTTATGCCAGAATGTTCATAATAAAACCTCCTGTACTGACCTCAATAAATAAGCCAAAGGCTAAAGAGTTAAGACCGAGTCAGGTAAGATAGTCATGATCAGAATAAGTGTTTACATGGACACGTTTCCGAATAGCGATCGGCATAAACCAACCGTCTTGATTGGAATACAATTTTCTTTCAATTGGGCCGAATTGGATCAGAATCTTTCGATCGAGATGTTTACATGACGCATTTATATTCCGATCAGGCATTTATTCCGATTATTTGTGCCCATGTAAATGCGGCTTGTGACCTGATCTTGGGGAAGCAGAGGAAAATGGATGCATAGGTGTCATCTGTCCATCCACTTAGCCAGCCAGTCCCCTTATCCCAATCAGGGTCCCAGCTATTTGAGAGTCAATCAGAGATAACACATACAAACAAACACCAGACACACTCTCACCAAAGGGCCATAAAGAGTCAGCAGTTAACCTGGTTAACATGTCTTAGGACCGTGGGTGGAAGCTGGAGTACCCAGTGGCAAACCATGTGGACTCCACACAGACAAGCCCCAGTCCAGTCAGAGAGGATGTGAGGATCCATGGGTCCATTGTCATGACATCAATGCTTTCCTTTGTGTTGACATATGTAAGGATGTAAGGGATGCACATTATGCACCACACATATGTGGATGTCTCTGTTAGAGATTCAGACTTGGAGCCATTTGACCTCCAGAAACATCATAAATCACATGAACTCTGCTGAGTTATCGATTTGCCTCCAAACTTTGCCTTCAAACTTTGATGTTTCATGTGCTGGAAACATTTTGCAGCGAGGACACAAAGTCGTTAGCTTGAGAAATACTTTGCATTGAGTTTCACTCAAACGTCAATAAATCATTAGCACATTAGTATGAGGACAGTTTAATTACAGTAAACAAATGAGACCAGTGTGAATGAGATTATCAGCCTCTCTCTCGGTTGTCACAGCTGGATTGTCAAAGTGGGTTTCTGCTTCATAAAGGAAACACAACTAACTTTCTTTAGTATAATCTAACAAACCTCTGGTCCTTCCTCCACAGACAAAGACAAGCCCCTAGACTCTGATGAGGACTCGATGGGTGTGAATGGGGGGCCTGGTGGGATGGGAGGAGCCCCTGGCTCTTTGCGTTCCAACTCCCAGTCGGCCTTCCTGGGCCCGCTGCTGTGGGAGCGTACCCTGCCGTGTGATGGCGGCCTGTTCCAGCTGCAGTACATGGACCTGGAGGAGTTCCTGACCGAAAATGGGATGGGGATGCACAGCAATGGACCCAGCTCCACCAGTGCCCAGATCCCATCCCAGGTAAGACCGACAAGAAACCCAAAATCCAAACCTAACTCCACGTGACATTCAGTTTGTGTGTAACTTGGTGAGTTGTCTCATGTCATGAAAAACCTCTGAACAAACGAAGCGACTGACGGTTTTTCTTCCTCTCTCAGAGTCCTCAGTCAGCTGTTCCCAACCAGAGCTCCCAGTGCCCGCCATCCTCTCCTCCACCCTGCTCTTCATCTTCCTCTTCCATGTCCTCTTCATCCTCTTCTTCTTCACTGCTTGGATTGGAGACTGTCCAACCGCAACCACCGCCACCACCACAACAACAGCAGCAAGGCATGATGGGAGGACCCGAGTGTCTACACGGTAAGTGAATTTAGGTTTATTCCATGAGCTAGTGCAGAATTTGGAGTATATGTGGCGGTCTGTGATGATTTGGACCATCTTTGAGGACTTTTAATTTGACTTTTGAAGAGACAGTGTTCAAACTTCTAGCTTGTGTTTAAGCCAAATGCTTTATTGTTTGACAACTCTAGCAGGAAGCTACACACATCCTTGATCAGAGATAAGTTACCTGTTCACAGTTACAAGTCTGATCATGTTTTGGACGTTGTCAGTAGAACTAGATTTCTGTTTTTGTAAAAGTTCCCAAGTCTTGGCATTCAGATCCATGTTTTGGTTCCTCGTGTCAGTAAATGCATCATCCGTTGGGTATAAGGCTCTATCATCCTCTTGTAGGACCTCCAAAGGTAGTGGGTGGTTAATAGGAAAGCACTCATTTTGTAGTAGATTAAATCTGACATCCGCACATGAGAAGGCGTTTCTGCATGAGTTAATGCCCTCCCATGTAAAATAAGCTCAATGCACAAAGGTCTTGATGTGAACTGGCATTAATGAGGACACAGACTCATGATACATTACATTAACCAACCCAATTAAACAATTGGACTTCTTAACCAGCATGAGTTCCTCTCTAATTACATCTCTCTGTTAAACGACTTTAGCCCTTGACTCAGCCCTCTCTTACTCTCTCCAACAGCTTTTTTCATCCTTTTTTATTCATAATTTATTGCCTCCCTCCTCTTGATGTGAACCAGAACTGCCAGAGCATCAGATATTTTCGATCTATCTTCCTCCTATGTTTTTTTCCTTCTTTCAGAGATTTCACAACTCTGGCAACGTCTAACTCTAATTGAAACCACAAAGCCCGTTCTCTGTAGTGCCGACGGTCGTGTTTTGAATCCTGTGAGACATCAAATGAGTCATCACAGCTAATTTCACGTTGATTTATTGATGACAGATTGCAAACATGTCTTTGGAGATGTTCAACAGTTGTGTGAACATTAAGAGGGAGGGGGAAACTACAACTAATTTAGTTTATTTTTAGAAACAAGGACTTTTACCATACTTTATTACTTTTCTCTGTGATAGCTAGCTCACTCACTAAATCCTTACACTTCTTTGGTACTTTGTTTGGACATAATCAACCGTTTTCCAGAGCACTCCCCTTTGTTGTGTTTTACTAGTCTTGCTTTAACTGTTGGCTGCACCGCTTGATAGCGCCCCCCACACTTTTCAGTGGAACAGAAGGCTTGACTGAAGCTGAATACACTGGAATAATTCTTTAAGATAGTAGAGACAGAGTATTTATGGGAGCCACTTGGATCGACAAGGGCCTCTTGTTGGTTGGTTTTTACTTACTTGGTTTACTTGGTTGGTTGTTCGGCTTTTTTGGATGGTTTGTTGGTTGGTTGGTTGGTTAGTTGGTTCCTTGGTTGCTCTGCTTGTTTAGATGGTTTGCTGGTTGGTTAGTTGGTTGGTTGGTTGTTCTGCTTGTTTAGATGGTTAAATGGTTGGTTGGTTTGTTGGTTGTTCGGCTTGTTTGGATGGTTTGTTGGTTGGTTAGTTGGTTCGTTGGTTTGTTGGTTGGTTGGTTGTTTCATTAGTTAGTTGATTGGATGGTTGTTTGGGTTGTTTGGATGATTTGTTGGTTGGTTAGTTGGTTGGTTGGTTGTTCGACTTGTTTGGATGGTTAATTGGTTGGTTGGTTGGTTGGTTGGTTTGTTGGTTGTTCCGCTCGTTTGGATGGTTTGTTGGTTGGTTGTTTGGCTTGTTTGGTTGGCTGTTTGCTTGCTTGTTTGGTGTCGGTTGGTTGGTCGGAGACTAGATAGTTGATTGGTTTGTTTGGATTAATAGCTGGTTGGTTGGATGCATGGCTCGCCAAAAGTCAGAGTTATGATGATAGACTTTCAGATAAGTTTCAGACCTTGTTATTTGTGCAAACCTAAACACCTTTGGATAAATCAACCAATCAAAGTGATGAAATATGTGGCACAATATCAGGTTAAAAGCTTTTAAATCGAATTTTAGGTCTTCCAGCTGACGTTTGGTTTGACATTTCTTGCCACCAGCTGTCTACTACCTACTACCTTGCAGTAGGATTCAGTGGCAGCCATTTTGGGTTTTTTGAATTCCCTGAAAGTCTTTAGGCTGTTTTATTGGCAGTGGTGCTGACCCATGAAAAAGGTCAAATTGTGCCTCAAAACTGTTAATCACCGGCTCTTATAGTCATGCTTTCCTCCTTCATAATGCGCCCCTGCTTGGTTTGTGATTGGCCACAACTTGAATCAGGATGGACAAAAATCTGTGAGAAGCAGAGGGGGACCAGATGGATCCACCAGAGCAAAGAAAACATTGGATCAAAATTTATTTGGACCCCAAGCTCTTTAACTTTGTGCTTTTAATGTGAAATGCAGGGTAAAGGGTTTATGTGCAGCTACGGGCAGAGATTAAAAAACCAAAAGAGAGAGTCTAAGAAGAGGATTTCAGGAAATACAGATAAAGTGCCCTGCAGGACTTGGTTCTGATAAATCTCACAAAGAGCATTGTGTTTGTCTTTTAACTCTGTTATTTTGTTCTGAAACAACAAGAGGAGGGATATTTGAGTGTGAAAATGAGCCGTAGAGCAGCTTGAGGAAAATCAGACAGTGTCGGGAAAAAGAGACACAGAAAGGACAGAGATACAGCAGATCCTCGGCAAGGATAGAGCTGCTATTGAGGAGTGAATAGCACTGAATTCTGCTGCAAGGCTCTGAGTGTGAGTGTGTTCAAATCTGCCTGAGTGCTCCTGCGAGTGTCTATTAATATTCTCCCGCCAGTGTGTGTGTGTTTGTGTGCATGCTTCCACGTACTCGTGTGTGCAGTACGCCGAACTTCAAACATGCATATGAGAGTGCCCTCTTTATTTCGCCATTTGCATGCAACTGTTCGGGCTCTAATGTGGGCATGCTCTTGTGTTTTTGTGTGAGTGTGTAATAGAGAGGGAGAGGGAGAGAGGAAGAGAAAATGTGTGTGTGCTCTTTATTCTGAATTATAAACACGTGACTGGATTGAGCATGATGCATCCAGCCAGAAATCCCTCAGGTCTTTGTGGAGCTGAAGTGTTACTACAGACCTGCACAGAGAAAGAGAGGGAGAAAGTCACCCAGAGACAGGGATGGAAAATAGACTGGTAACAATAATCTGATCCACATGCAGGTTTGGTTTCAGTATAAATCATCCTTAGAGAGAAGAACAGCTTAGGGAGAGGAAAAAATGAAATGATGCAGCAGCATTTTTGGAGGTTTGAAAGACATTTTCCACCTGTTTGTCCCTCAAAATGCATCTGCTGGGACTTAAAATTGGGGACTTGTGGATAAACGCTTAATAGATTTGATATTTAATCAGCTGTGAATCAACTGAATTCACTTTCTTGTTTTCCGCAATATCTTACCTAATAAAGACTAAAGCCAAGAAGGCTTGGTTTTTGCAAAATTTTACAGCCTTGGACTCATCTTGTGAGAATCAGCTGAGCACACCAAGTGCTCTGATGTCAACACCCCCAAACATTTCAAACAAAGCTCATCTGTGTTGGTTTTTCTTGGAAAAAAAGACTCAAATTGGATTTAATTTTGCATCCAAAATGGAAAAAAACAATCTTCTCAAAGACATTATGTCTCATCATCCTTTTGTAGAAGCAAAAAACAACAAGTTAAAATAAGAAGGAAGTTGATCTTCATGTTATCTGGCAAACTCAGGACCTCTTAATCACAAGTTAATCACAAGGACACCAGTTCCTCTGAAGGCAGCGAGTGTGAAGCCGCTGTGTTGTTTACCATCTACTGTTTCACTAAGACTCACCAGAAACAGGTGATCTGTCTCTACTCACTAAACCAAGAAAGTATGATGTCGATATCGCAGATGTAAATACTGGAAGTGTTGGCAGGAAGTCGACTCGTTTTGTCTTTAAAAAAAAAACAAAAATATTGACATTGTGGTGAAAAATAAACATATGGTAACACTGTGAAAATACTTGGACCACATTGTGGGCAGTAGTAGTTTGTCAGGCTGTTTGTCTCCTAATATAAACGGAAGCCGAAGAAGAAGCAGCAGCAGCAGTTGCTAGCTGGCTGGCTATAGCCCAGGATTTGATCGTTTAGTTCTCCAACTTGCGTCATTTCAAAATAAAAGCATAATTTTACAATACAGGAAAAAAAGGGACCTAGACAGTAAAAATGTCAAACAAAAGCATCAGAAACAATCATTTCATGCTGCTGTTACTGTAAAAGATTTCCAGATTTCCAGCAATACTACCATTATTATGAATTATGCTGATAAACCGGAATTAAAGCCAACAAGGAGTGACACCAGCGGGCTACTCAGTAATTAGGACAAAGACGCTCATGGTTGCGTTGGTGCAGCATGTGAAAATAAGACAGTCTAGAGTCTTTCTTTGGATGGTTCATTATTCCTCTGTTAGCCCTCAATCCATTCAAAAGCAAGAACCCAACATTCATCATTAGCTTCCATTCAAAGACCTACAGTTGACCTGACTGAGTAGGAGGCCCCTAACTTGGTAAAAAAAATGACATGTGGTCCTTCTAGCAATAAATGTATCAATAGATCAGCTATAGCTTAGTCATTATGGTTTATGATAACTGTGGTGTGACTCGAGATCAGGCTTTTCGCGAGCTTCATACTTGGTTAGACACAAGTCACGACTTCTGGATCTTGAGAAATGAAGCCGAGTGCTGAAAACTGCAGTTCCCCAAGTGTCCACCAGAGGCTGGCTGCAGAAGCTTAAGAAACCACATATACACTGATTTTAAAATGATTTTTATTATTATACTACTAAAATGTCATTTTTTTGTCAGTCATAATCAATCACAAGTTAGCCCCTAACTTTTTATAACGGACTCTTTTATTGTATCCAGAGGAGTCGCCCTCTGGTGGCCATTATAGAGAATAACACTTATAGTCACCACTAAGATATCTTTGCATTTTAGAGGTTGAGACTAAATTCTTTTGGTTCACAACGCTTTGAACCATATTTCCTCTAAAATCTAAAAACTTTCTGATAGAACGAGCTCTAACGATAAAAACATTATCGGCTCTAAATAGAAAATAAACACAAGTCTCTACTCGCAGAATTAATCTTCAGACAATTGAGAAGAAATTGGGTGAAAAGACCAACAGTGTAATTTGATTTGTAGGTTATAAAACAGGAACGTTTTCAAGGTTGAAGTCTGATCCGAGTGTTTGGCAGCTCTCACTAATGATGCTCTTTAACCAACAAACGCCCACAGAGCTGTGAGTAAATAAAGTGAGAATTTTTGTCTGTTTTTTTGAAAGAGGAGGAGGAAAGCCGGTAAAGAGAGTTCATAAGGATTGTACTCACTGTTATTGTCTTATTGTAGAGAAACACGAATCGCTCAGAGTTGTAGTTGAATCAGCTGTTATCAGGCTGCAGCTTAGACACTTCCAGGTCACAAACCTTCCTGATCAAAACCAGAGTGTAAACCTCACTTTCCCATGAGCCTCTGCAAGCTGGAGGATGCATGAACCCGCTGACCTGCAGTGTGTTTGAGAGGAAGCATCTGCTGCGAGAAAATTGCACAGCTATCACTAAGGCGGGTTTTAATGTTAATCACTGATTAAAGCGGAGAACACGGAGAGAAAGCTGCACATAAGAAATACATGAGATGTAGAAATTTGACTCCATAATGTCAAATACTCTGACAGTTTGACACGTGATAAAAACATAACAAGACAACTGAGGAGAAATCCGAAATCTGAATAATCTGATCCCCGCTCGTTCGCCTGAGGCTGATCTGTCTACCAAACTTCATGCGGATCTTCAGCCGAAAATCTGACAGGAGGAGAGACTGAAAGTGAGCGCAGATGTGATGAAGCTTCAGTGGGAAGTAAAAATAAAAAAACAAACAAGAGTGGAAAATGGGATCAGGACCTGTGGAACTTAAAATAAACCTGAAGAGTTTGGAGCTTGGACCTGAAATTTGCATAAGTTTGATTCGACATACTCATAGAGGTATGTCTTCTGGACACGTCTTTCTGCAGCACTGAGGAGTAAAACGCTGGATTAATGAGGACACCAACTTAAACATTAATGTGACAGGAAATCTATCAGACCAGAAATCAGTCCTAATCCGCCACTCGGAATCAGAAAAATCCGAAGCAAACTGTGCGACTGATGCACATGAACTGTTTGTGAACCGTCGTTTTGACGTCTCCAGTTCGTCATGTTTCAGTTTTAGTAACAGAAGTAGCAAAACAGATATTAGTGAAGCTGCATCAGTTCATACTGTAAATAAATATGCATCTATACAGTCCAGCTTTATCCTCTATTGTTAACAAACCCAGGAAGAAGATCGTCCATTTCCCCAAAGACTTTTCGTAGATTCGCCCCCTGCTGGCCATTGGAAAAAATGCAGGTTTCATATCCTGACTTTTCTATTGGAATTGGAATTGGCTGGAATTGGATTGATACTCATGCATCCGGTCTATAAATGGAAGTCTCTATAAGTCATGGATATAGTCTCAGTGGTGGCTCCCATTGGCTTCTGATGGTGGTCGCCATATTGGAAAGGCACTGGTTTGTGTAGGTCTGGCGATCCGCAGCGGAACGGAATGAAGCCGGTGGAAATTGACACATAAACTTGATTGGTTACGATCAGCTACAATCGGTGGATACAGCCTTTTTGCAGCCATTCAGGATGCAGTGGAAATTGGAGGCAATGGTGTTTCTTTAACTTTCGCAGCCAGCCTCAAGTGGACAGTCAAGGTACTGCAATTAGACATTCGCTGCTAGAGGTTGCAGCCTGAAATTGACTCCAAATCTTGTGTCAAGTGGTCCAAGATATCCTTAAGTTATGTCATTTTAAAAGGTGTTACAACAGTCCATGCTCAGAGGACCACATCTCATTACACTGCAGTCACTTTGTCTCGCAGAGAAAACAGTCTGTGCCCTGATGAGGCCGTCCTTGGCCCCAGGAGCTTCGTGTATGACTTCCCCAGCTGCTTTAACCACATAGCTGCTTCATCTCACTCTGAAATACCAGCGTCTAGACAACAAGAATGCCGGATAAATCCTCCAGGAGTCATCAGGCAGGGGGATGAGATCCATAAAGGATTTAAAACAAATATAGAGGTATTAAAATGTCAGATCTGGCTGTGCATTGATTGAGCGGGGAGTGTAACGATTTGCAGTGTCTTTGAGAGGGGAGTGTGAGATAATGCCACGCTGGGGCTGTGAGTGATTTAACATTCAGGGCTGTGATTAATCCCAGCAAGCGAAGGGTTAAATCAGACACTGACTCTGCACTCTGTAACACCGCACTGAGAGAAAAGGGAGAGAAAGAGAGAGAGAGAAAGAGAGGGAGATGCCTGAGGGGGGAGAGCGAGTCAAGAGTGTTCGCTTTGCATGTTTTGAAATCTCTCTCTCTCTCTCTCTCTCTCTCTCTCCCTCCGTCTCTCACACGCTCGGGCCATGTGCGGCCGCCACGTCACGTGCCGCTGCAGAAAGCATTGGAGCGAGAGAGCCAGCATGAGAGACAGAGAGAGACAGGAGGTAGGGAAGGGAGGAGGGAAGGAGGGGAGGAGAGAGAGTGAGCGAGGCAGGAGGAAAGCGGAGGGAGATAAAGAAAGAGAGAGAGAGAGAGAGAGAGAGAGAGAGAGAGAGGAAACTGAAGATTACAGAGAGAATAAACACTGAGGACGAAGCACGAAAAGAGCAAAGCTGGAGGATGGCAGTGAGCTAGGAAAGGCTTGAACACAGCAGATCATAATACTCCAATCTATGGTGTTACAGCTGCACAGAAATATCTTAAAAATGTATCTTAAAAACTCTGATTTTAACAAGATTTACAAGTAAAAACACCAAAAAAAATCATGCTTTTCCATTAATTACCTCTAAAAATGATCTTTTTTTAATAGGACGCCCTTTATGGTTTATTACAGCCTTCGAAAATGTGTCCATACTCTGAAATATGAGTCACATGGGCATTTGTTTTCATATCCCACCTGTATCGTCAAAGCAGCAACTCTCCGTCCTTTTAAACAATGTGAATATCTGCAGTAAAACATTGACCCCGTGTGCTAACTGAGCTGTCAGCTCCCAGCTACTGTACTCTGACTAATTCTTCTGTCTGTGTTACACCTCTTCCTAACATACAGCGAGTGAGCGAACTACAGCAGATTGGGCGTGAAAAATTGTCCAGATATACTACGAGAGAGATGCAGCAGCGTGAGAGAGGGATGAGATTGTGTTTTCGTGTCCCTTGTGGATTATTCATCCGCTAAAAAGAAATGCAAGTGCACCAAAATACGACCAGTGTGAGGAGCGACTAAAAAGGAGCGGCGTGTTCCTTTGTTTGAGGAGAAAGAGCATCGCACAAAGACATCTTTGTCGGGGAAAACGAAGACTTTTTGATGTCCACATGTCAGTCATTCACATGTTTTTTTCTTCCTGTTTGAATTGTTGCTTTTGTCGCAGCTTCAGTTTGGTGCTCTGTGTTGTTGCTAATGTGCGAACACTAAAAGGAGCTGTCTGCAAAGTTAATCCTGAAAAATGAGTTCGTAGATGAGTCCTGCTGTGAAGAAAAACAACAATAGTGCTTAAACTGCAGTTCCCAGAGTGTCCACTTGGGGCTGGCTGTAAAAGCACCAGAAGCCACATTCACACTCATTCAAAAACGCACATCTTTACAGCACAAGCCCGGTCGAAAAACAACTTTAGTCTGAATTTCTTATTTCGCTATCAGCATGCAGTTTTGAAGATAGTAAGACGACTGTTTTTGCATCATTAGTGACATAGCAAACTAGACTGTCATGTTTTGTAACATTGAGGCCCAACATTTAGGCTGAGTATGTCCGTGTGTTTCTATTGTTTTTGAATATGCTGTGTTCGAGCTACCTAGGAAGTCAGAAGTCCGAGCTGAAAATAACGTCACACCCAAGTTACCAGCGTTTTAGTTACCAAGTTGGAAAAAAGCAAAATCGGAGGTGGGAACAAGATGGCTACATCTACGAAAGTTATTTTAGGGCTTGCCTTATCTGAATATAAGGCAATCGCTAAAATAACTTTTGTAGATGTAGCCATCTTGTTCCCACCTCCGATTTTGCTTTTTTCCGACTTGGTAACTGAAACGCTGGTAACTTGGGTGTGACGTCATTTTCAGCTCCGACATCTAAATTCCGAGGTAGCTTCTTGAAAAGGAAGAAAAAAAAACTTAGCTTGTGATCTGTTTAGATGGAGTAGAAGTGAAGCCAGTGTAGAAATGCCATAAACTTGCAGTTTGTTTCACATCCAACAGGGGGCGACATCTTTGAGAAAATTAGCTCTTCTTTTAGTAAATCTACAATATTTTTGTGTCTTTTGACCATTTAAATTACATGCCATCATCATTTTGTTCCAGGTTGGAAACACTTTTGTTTTTGCTCTGAAGTTAAGCTTTTTTGAATAGGTGTGTATTTGGCTTCTGCTGCTTTTGGAGACAGCCCCCAGTGGACACTCTGGGAACTGAAGCTTTAAAACTTCTTTATTGGCGTCATCTGTAGGAGGTTTTGCTGTGCTGTTACATTGTGGCAGACTTTGATCTGACAAACGATAACTATGATTTGTACAACCAAGATATGATGATTAGGTCTCCAGAAAAACTTCCGGTGTTTTGGAGGCTCTGATTAACTCTGTGGTTACATTTTTGGCCCCATGAAGAGGGGTTATAGTCCTCAGTTGTTATTCCTTGTTCCCCTCCCAGTTTCTTACTCTCCGCCCTCCTGTGGCTAAATAAAGGCACAAAAGCCCAAAAATAAACTTGAAAAAGAAAAAAAATAACCACCAATGTTTTTATTTTCCCGCTGAGAAGAGGCGCAGCCCAAAGGGAACCTGAGCTGGATCTCCCTTTTTAAAGTTTCATCATTTTAGCTGCAAAGTGAAAGCGCTCAGCCAGAAGTGGGGATGTCCTGACGAGAGCTGTGTTGCATTTTTAATGAAACAAAGCTACATCCTCTTTTTTTTTTAAGAGTTTTTAAATGTTCAGAAGCAGAAAATTTTTGCAGTTAAATAACATGCAGTAGTGTTTGGACTTAGTTCAGAGCAGGGTTTGTTTGGACCTGTGGCGGCGGAAAGTTTGTTGCATAAATGAACTTAAGAGTTATTTAAACAGAAACAGCAGCTTCTTCTTCTACTTCTTTAGGATCCTCTCACATGTCTCATCTCTTTGTGTTTCCATAATCTGATCATTCACTGAGATTTATCCGTGATTTGAAAAGACAAAAGAGAGAAAAAGAGAAAAAGAAAGAGGGAGGTCACTCTACTATCTCCTCTCTGCGGTGACATAACTCCCAGTCAGTGTGTTGACATTACGCACAGGACTCCTGGGGTGTGTCACCTGGACTGGATTGTTTCTGGTGTGTTTGCGTGTGTGTATGTGTGTGTGTGCATCCGCTGCTGTTGTTGCACTCTCATGTGAACGTGCACGTGCCTGCCTGTGTGTTTGTTTGTGTGTGCAGAGGCGAGTCACTGCCTGCCAGGGTGTGTACACGGACATCCATGTGTTCTCTCACCGTGTTAACATGAGCCAAGGTTACACCGAGACACAAAACAGATGTTATAGATGATTCAAAGTGTGATGGTGATCTTGTGAAGCTGACAATGTCGGTTTGTTTTTATTCAAAACTTGATAGATTTTACTAAAAAATCATCAGAAAACAGAAAAATAATTACCAAAAGCTCTTACAGACAATTCAGTACTCCTGCTGATGTTAATAGTCGACTTTAAGTGCTGCTTTTACTGCTACTAACAAAATAAAAAGTCATTTTCGAGCAATAACCCCTTAGTTACCATATTTTTGCTTAACCAAATGAGAGAGCGTGCAAGCAAAGAGCTGTGCAACTAAAACACACCTTTGAGGACTCATTTCAAAGGCAGTATCCCCGAGTTTCTCGTGACTGCTGGATTTGCTCATTTGTTTTTGAAGCCCTTGGTTCTTCGAACAGTCATCTTTAGCTGTTTTAACACGTATGTGGACAATTTCTGGGCAATTTCAGGATATTCAGAGAGCTGATTTTTCTTTGAATAATCCTTTAACTGTGGTTAAGTCATGGCAGATTTAAAGAGAGAAAAAAACAGAGGACCCAAGACGGAACCCTGAGGGACACCACAGGACAGGTCCTCTATGAAAAAGCATCTCGATCAGCAGTGAAAGACAATCTTCTACCTCAGAAAATATGTCATAGTTAAATGTATGATTCTAATTGTTAGTTCAAATCTCTCTAGAGTTGAAGTACAGAGTGTAAATGTGGTTCCTTTCAGAATAAAACAAACATCAGGTCAGGGGATGTGAGCAATAAACATCAGCCCTATTGTCTGATGGCCACTTTTGGCAGCCAAGCGTCAAAATCAAGGCTTTAAAGCGGTGGACTAAAAACTTTCATGTCTTATACTACTTATGATTTAGGATCTAAAACCAAGAAGTGCAGCGGTCCCTAAACGTACTGAAATTATTCAGAAAGCAGAGAAACTCCAATCAGTGTGACTCCGTCTCGCAAGAAATATCCGCAATCTCATGAGCGCTTCTCCTCCGATGGTGGCGGCGAATCAGAACCAATGGGCACTGTATGCTTGCGTATCTGATCCGCCTGCCGGTCCGGGGCGGAGCCGTTCCAGTTCCATTGATAACAGAGAGCTGACAGGACAACATCCCCAAAAGTCAGATAAACGGGTTATTAACTGTGGTTTGCAGCAACATTTTGCGCTGTAAACAAGAACTGCAGTTCCTTGAGTGTCCACATGGGGCTTGAGAATCCCCATTGGCGCCCGTGTTAATACGCCAGTTTTTACGACGGATATCAGCACTTAGTTGCCCGATTTAGGAAAATTGGATTGTTGTTTTGACTTGGAGGTTGGTGTGTGTAGCTGTTTGTCAGCTGTCATAGACCCACCTCAGCTTCTCCTGTAATCCTGTTTCTAGACTGATCCGAACCCAGGTTCCAATATGGCTCCCCACCATCTTTGGGCTTCCAAACGCCCCTGAAATTTGCCAGGCTCACTTCACTTCAAGTCAAGAACTGAAGTGGAAAATTTCAGACCTGTTGAGCAAACTCTTTGGGAGTCAGTGAGTTGTTAGTTTGATGTTCATATTTTGAATTAGCTGCATATATATGATGTTTTTAACAGGATATTTGGTATTTGAATCAGTGTTAGTTTAGCTCATTGAGCCTATAGGAGTGTGAATATTCTTATAGAGCTTCCAGTTGGTCGACAGTCTCTCCTGTGAAGGAAGTACTTGATTTGTTTTAAGGCAGAGAGGAAGAAGCCAAACATGGCAGCAGACACTCAGAGCGGTGAACTGTGTTTACGTTGCAGGGAGGGGAGCCCTCTTTTACATAACACACTTCCTATATCTCATTCCACGTCAGTATTGTATTTCCAGCCCGTGTTATTTTTTTTCTTTTTCTGCACGTTACAACCAGCTGCTGGCAGAGCTCATAGTTCATCTGCATGTCAAATGCACAGAGGACAGACACACATACAGAAACGGAAATGAAGCGCAGCTCTCACTTATCTGATTACTGCTGTTGATGGTCGTACTAATACTGGAACTGTACTGTAACGATTATATAATACTGCTGCTACTGGCCAGTATCCTGCTCTGTGGTCACTACACGCCACATTCAAGTCTCCCACTGGAACTTAGATTTAAGCATGTTTTCTAATGTTTGAATGGAAATTACTTGTCTATAATTAATCAAAAACCAATTTGTCCACAGGGGGGCGCCAAAATTGAGTCATAACTTCCTCATGGTAGCTTTAAATCTTGAAAATTTGCAAAGTTTTATCCCATAGCATGCTTATGTGTTAATGAAAAATGCCTGTTGTTAACACAGAATTTAAGGCCTGCATAATATACAGCATTTTCATCATCATCCCAGTATAAACATATGCAGTTAAAGAGATCTAATGCTACATTTACTTCTCCTCAGAGTGATATTTGACACCTCAGACTCATAACTTCTGTTTTTACAGATAAAATTCAGCAGCGTGAGTCATCCTGTGTCCACATTAAATCTAGGTAATAACACTTATCATGTAACTGCAGCCATTATGTAGTGTTTGATGACTAAATATTATTGTGTGTCATCCGATTACACCTGTTCGGATGTCTAAATATAACCCGGGCTTTCATAATCCAGCCATTTCGGTATCGTTTCCTCAAAAATACAATGTAGAAAAACAGCTAGTATCAAATTTAGAGATGAGGTTTCAAACATGAGTGTTATCTTGGTGAAACACATGGCGAGGGCATGGTGTGTATTTATGTGTTTTTTAATGCCAGTAGATACTAAATGAGGTAGGTATGACCCATTTTTCGTACCACTCTGCGCTCTTGAAAACATCAGACGCGAAAGAAATAATCTAAGACCAAAAAATAATTTGTCAAAATCATATAAAATTTGACTGTCATTGTCTCAATTCATTTCACATATTGGCTTAGTCAGACTTTGTAACTGTTAGCATCTGTGGTAAACTAACGTAAACGTAAAATCTTGTTCGGCTGGCTAAAGATATTTTACATTTGTAACATAAGCAGATTCTCTTATTCAATGCCTTATTTTATTTTCTCACTTGTAACCACAAATAAAAGTAACAAAAGGTGAAAGACAGTCAGACGTTGATAACATAAACCTGGTGCGCTAGCATAGGCGAGTCCCCCAGATTTTCGAACACTAACTTTCAACGTGGGTAACCTGAAGTAGTGAAATTTCCTGACAGCTTTTACTTTATTTTTTACAACAAACTTCTGTTAATACATGAGCTTTGATTTTATTTATATTATCTTCAGACTGTTGGGAATCTTTATCGGAAAACGAACAAGCTTTGTAAAATGGGATTTATCGTCAACATAGGCAGAGCATGCCAGTCCTGAAGTACATGGAGATAGTTGTCAGGTTCAGAACGACTGCTTTAAGAAATAATAATTACAGCAATCTCAAAAACTTACTTTTTACTTGAATAATTGTGTATTTTTATATTTCCGTTGTCTGAACTCCTTAATCAGGAAAGTGTTTCAGATTTAAAGTTAAAGTTTGATGCAGTAGCTGAAAATAAAGCTGCTCAGGATGACGATGATTTCAGTAGAATTTCTGCAGTTTCTCATGCTTCGCTACTTCCTTTTCTTGGTTCCTACATTTCCCAAAATGCATTTCCCCCCCTAAATCCTCGGGGAGCAGCAGCAAGTTTGTTGCTCTCAGCTGTCGGTTTCATGTGTAGGTGGTTGAAGTGAAAGTATAGATAGATCAAACAAGCGATTAGTCAAGAGGAAGAGTTGCTCACCTGACTCTCAAACCTCAACCTGTGTTATTTTCTGCCTCTGTGGGCGTCTGTGCCCACTGCAGCTGATGCCTCTCTGTTTGCTTTGTGAACACAGGAGCAAAATGGCGGCGCAGGAGGGGAGCGTTTGATTCTGAAGGACAAACTCAAACTCTTACCTTTGATTTCTCTCTTAGATAACCTTCACGTTTTCCTTCAACAAACTCCCTTTTTTTCAACCTTGGGTTCGCTTTTTAAGAAAGTTTCCAAAAGAGGACTGGAAAAGTTCTCCCATTAAAACAACTTAAATCATCAGCGCGCCTTCGTTTGCTCCATCTGAGGATCAACTCTTCACGTCCTGAGGCGAATCCTGTGATGGAGAATTCAGATGATGCAGCAGCTGTGTTAAAAAGACGGATTTCAAACAGTATTTCCTGATTTGACACGAGTATGAATAAGAAATGAGGGCTCTAATTTGAACCCATAGAGTTACTCAAAACCAGACCTTCAAAGACCTCGAGATGTCTTGAGGATGCTGAAATTAAAGAGGAAGTTTAGCAGATTCAGTGTGATGTATTTGGCATGAAAAGTCAAGTATGAGTGTTAGTGGTTTAATCCAAAAATCATTCCCATAAACAAGGCTTTCAGAGACAGACTGTGGACGGATGGAAAGAGAGGAGCAGAGATTGACAGGCGGAAAGAGAAAAACACATAATCTCAGATAAATTAATGAAAGCAGAGTGAATCTGAGAGTCAGCGGCTGCTTGGTCCAAATGGCTCCCGCTCACATAGAGAAAATGAAGCCCGGTTTGGCGGCTGTTTTCCCCAGTAGCAGTGGGAGCTTGTTCTTGGATCAGTTTCAACTTTTCGCCCAAAATGGTTGTTATTAGGACGAAGCTTTGGGCAGACTTATTCAGGATCAGCTCCGTCCAGCTGCCAGAGAGTCAGATCAAACCGGCAGCAGTTCATCTGATGGAGTCGCTGCTTCCTAGACAAACAGATGGACCAGAGGACATATGGATAGAGGATAAAGACGAGCATATACGGCCCTTTGCATTAGAGAGAAACCATGATGGAATTATGATTTCGTGCATGTTTGCACAGACTCAACGAAGGGCCACAGGATTTGACATATGGACATGTTTTCCAAAATGACCCAGAAGCATTCCTCCAGATTCTGAAAGTAGTCCAACTCTCACACGGCAAAGTTATAAATATGCAAATTACATGTTTTCTTGCCGTTCAGTGTCCCGAAAGTTGTCCCCGATAAATCTAATTCTCTCCGTCAAACCCATCCAATCTGCATTTGTACAAAATGTGCAGTACAGGACAAACTGAAAGGGATTAGAAAGGATTAAAGCTGCACTAACAGATTTTTCTGGCCACTGGGGGGCAGTGAAACAGACACATTGCTGACTAAAGATGCAGCAGCATATTTGTAGTCTCTAATGATATTTTAACATCGAGGTACTGAGTCAAGTTGCACCATCAAATGTTAAGAATCTATAAACAAACAAAACCAAATAAAAGAAAAGCTGAGTCAGCGTTTTCTGTATGGTAGCCGCCATGATTTGGATTCAAATCGCCACTTTATAAACTACATCCGTCTGGGAAATTAAGGCCATAAAACCAAAACTTAAAGGGATATTCTGGCGTAAATTAATTTAGGGTCAAACACACTGAGTTAGACACCCCCTCGAGAGATGAATGTTGCCGACTGCCTGCTTCTCTAGTTATACCAACTTTAATAACGACCGCACGATAGCAATACACAGCTGTCTGAGGAGCCATCAACAAACCGCAACCAAAATGCCACTCTATAGCCACAAATAATGTTCAGAACAGCAACTAACTTCATCAACAGGACTTATAGGGTCCCAGCCATAGTACTAGCCACCAAACATCTTTTTAGCTTTACCTAATTTTTTTTAACAAAGAGACTAAACTCAACCCACCAACTCTCTTCCAGCAGCCGCTTGTTCATAGTGAGACCTCGAGCCAATCCATTACGGACTACAGTGGGGTGTCGCAGCTCAAGGAAGAACATTTATGATCATTTCTTCATGGAAATACAATCAGACCGAGATGCTAAGGCAGAAGAACTACAGCGTCTGCAGTAAAAAATGATTAATATGGTGATTATTACTTTAAGGAAATGATAAAGAAATGATCATAAATGTTCTTCCTTGAGCTGCGTCACTCCACTGTAGTCCATAACAGACTGGCCTGAGGTCTCACTACAAACAAGCGGCTGCTGGAAGAGAGTAGGTGAGTTGTGTTTAGTCTCTTTGCTAAAGAAATCAGGCAAAGTTAAAAATATGTTTGGTGACTAGTTCTATGGCTGGGACCCTATATGTCCTGTTGATGAAGTTAGGTGCTGTTCTGAGCATTATTTGTGGCTATAGAGTAGCCTTTTGGTTGAGGTTTGTTTATGGCTCCTCTGACCGCTGTGTATTGCTATCGTGCGGTCGTTACTCAAGTTGGTAAAAGTAGAGAAGCATGCGGTTGGCAACATTCATCTCTCAAGGGGTTGTCTAACTCGATGTTACGGTGTGTTTGACCCTAAATTAATTTTACGCTGGAATCTCCCTTTAAGACGCTGAAATGATCTGGAGAGCTCGACTTGATAGTCAATTCTTATTCTCACCTGTAAAAGGAAAATAAGTCTGATTTGAACATGAAGATATTCGATAAGTTCACAGTTGTAAGAAGATTAAATGTCAGAGTTTGGCTAAAACCACCAACCAAAGAGAAAATACTATAAATGAAAGTTACCCCTTATATTCAAACAGCACACCCAGAGTGAAGTCAAGTGTTTTCAGCTGGAGTTAAGGGGGAACATGAGGGTATTTCCTCTCTCCTCCTCTGCGATGAAGTCTGACTCCTCAGATCCCGTGGAGGATTCGGTCGAGTTATTGCGGTTGACGCGTGTAATAAAATGATTGACGGCTCACAGCAGCAGGCAAAGAAGAAGCAAATCAGTGTCAGTTTTCCTGCTCTGGTTGACATTTCAGGGTTTACAAAAGGCTTCGGCTGCACTAAGTCTCTGTTAGACGAGACTTTCTTTTGCACTCTGAGATCAGAGATAAAAAAGGTGATGAATAATAAAAACCTTAAGAATCTGAACATTTTCGACTGTATTCACTCGACTCTTTAACCTACAAGATTTTGATTCTGTATGTGTCTCTCTTCTGTTTAATTCACTCGTGTTTCTGACATCTTTCCACTACGGTTTCACTCGATATTGGTCCTCGACACTCGTGGTTATTTTTAATCTGTGGCTCTGCGCCTGGAGCTCAAAAATAAAAAAGGAAAAATGTCTTACAAATACTGCAATTGGACGATTGCTCGACTATAATCAAAGAGGAAACAGTCGGATAAATCACGTTGGCTTTTTTTAGTTTACAGGTATCTGCAGCTGGTAGAAAAGCTGGTTTGCGAACACGCTGTCCCTGTTTCGACTTATTGTAAGGTTCAGTAAAGACGGCAGCACTAATGCAGAAGAGCTTCAGGGTAAAACCATCATAGAGGAGTTTTTATATTCACCGCCTCATAGTTCACTCGCAGCTGCCCAGAATAACTTGAACTTATTTGGCTTTAAGTCACACTGAAGCTGAGCCACCATGTGTTGTCATTTATTCAACCTTAATGGTGAAAAATGGGATCTGTCATGTCTGTAAATCCTCTTCGAATCAAACCTAAATCTCTATCTTCATCAGTTTTCTCATATCGGAGCTTTAATCTCCTCACTCAGACGCTCTTTCTCCCTCTCTTTATAATTTCAGCGATATCATTCCACACCACAAAGGGTTAAACTAAAAACCTGATCCCTCCTGCTAGTTGTAAATCCAGTATGATGTGAACCTGCTGCCCCTGTCTGTGCGTCTCTTGCTTTATACTGACACCCGGTGGTGAATTAGCGTAACTGCAACAACAGTTTAAAAATGCGTTTTTTGTTATTTTGGAGGCCTCGTCTAACTGAGAAGAAATGTACAAAAAAAAGAAGAAGAGTGAGAAGGACGAGCACAGTGGGAAAATGTGAATCCTCCTCTCACTCTTCTCTGTTTTGATGTGAATTTGAACACAGTGTCTCGGTCTATAGGGTAATCCTCTTTATGCTCGACTCATCTCTGGGCCTCATTCTTGGCTCTCGGCTCGGTAGATGAAGCATGATGGAGACACGTGACTCTGCAGACAGCCGCCTCTACACGAGTTCAAGGCCCTCAAGCTGTGGGGTCTTTCCTCTGCAGGATTTCGACATCCTGCCTGCTGGTTTTTAATTTTTGTAATAGTTTTTTTTTGTCCTGCCATAAAACAGTTTTTACTGAAGTTAAAACTCAGTATAAGTCGAGGAGGTCATTGACGGTACTTCAATGCTTAAATCCCCTTAATAACTGCAGTTCTGGTCCTATCCTACTAGTTACAGACACAACTTGTGATTATTTTCTTCCTCCCTTGCCACCTCTCAAGTCTCCATGTCGACTCTCATTCTTGTTTGTTTTTTTTTAAATTCTGTGCTATTTTGACCCTTAGAGCACACCGTAGTAAAGCAGATGCAGTGTCTTCCTGCTTCCTGCTGCCCCTGTGGAGGAAAAATTGTACCGCTACACCTTTAAATGATGCACTGCAGCTAATAAAACTCGTTAAAAGTAGTTTGTACTTTGTGTCAAACTTGATCAAAGTAAAAGATCTTAGATCTCACCCACAATTAAGGAAGTGAACTACAGTAAAACAGATGTCAAGTGCTCATCTTCATTTAAAGTTACATGTTACTGTATTTCTGTGATTTCAGGGATCTCTGCTTACAGTGTTGTTCATATGGGAACGTATCGTTCTTTATTTGCGTATAAACACGTCGGTGTTGAACGCGCTCATTCTGGCGTCTGCGAGTGGCGTTCTTAACTCCGTTCACAAGCTTAAGATTAATCTGATTTAGTTTCGGAGTTAAAACGGCTAAAATAATCGCTGTCTGGACCATGGACTTGAGTTCAAAATGTAGAATTATGAACGATGAACTGAACTAGTTCACTTTAAAATGTGTGAACTGAACTTTGAACTAGATCGGGTAGAAAGTGAACTTTCCCAACACTGTCTGCTCATGCTCTCGTTAGTTTTTAACCCAATGAAATCAACGACACTAACAGAATAAGCTCTCTGAAGCTGTCTCTACAGTAAATCAGGGTCTCAGACTACATAGAGGTGGCAGTGAAGCATCTATTTGACTAATAAATCAACACACTGATAAGAATTGCATTTTATTTATAATAATGGCTCATAGACTGTTTTCAAATGCAAAAAAAATTTAATTTGAAACATGATTAAAAAAGCGATTAATCGCGATTAATCACAATTAACTACTGTGATTCAGCGATTAATCATAATCCTAAATTAAAAGACTTCACAGTCTTATTCTGAACTCATTTCATCAACATACGGCTCATTTAGTCCAAAACATACCTGACGTACTCGCTCTGCAGGCGCAGTGGCAGCTATTCAAGCTCTGCAGGATTAAAATAAATGAGAACTGGGATGTTTTATTTTAATGATATAAAATCATGATTGTTCTAAGCCGAGTTTAAACAGCTGTCCTAATATCTCTCTCTATATATATCTCTATAACAGCAGCAGCTTGACTGAAAAAATTAATAATTTACGGTGTGAATGCATTCAAATCAGCCTCAGCTCACCCTGATACAACTGAAATGCATATAACCGTTTATTGCAAGATGGCACAGCGCTGATTTCCTGTAACTGAACGCAGCTCAGCAGAAAAATGACGCCCCTACAGCGCTGTCATCCTCCTGTTCGGCTCCTCTGGTATCTGAGGTCCGTCTGTAATCATGTTATTCAGAGTTCACGTTAGATTTGATCAGATCCGTCGGGGATTGTCTCATCATCCTCTGCAGCGTGTTTCGCCCTCAGCTCGGCCTCCGCTCTCTGACATGTGACCGTCCTCAGCGCGGGCAGATGGGCTCTAATCTGCAGATGAAACTGGATGATAATGATTGGACGGCTAAACGAGTAATTAAGGCAGTGTTTACGGCGTCCGACGGACTGAGAGGCAGATTTGACTGAAAATGTGAAAACAATAAACCAGCGCTCTGTTTCCCTCAGCATGAGTTCACCTCGCCTCCACTTTGGTCGTTATTTCTCTGCTTTTTTTTTTTTTTTAATGATGTATAAACTTGGAAAAAAGACATAAACAAGATCCTCTATTTAAGTGTCTGAGCGTGACCTCTGACCTTTCACTCCTGACTTTTCAATAACAGCAGATTTGCAGTGGTGTTGTAAATCTCTGCATCCACATCTGGCTGTGTCACGACATAAACATGAACTCAAAGTCGATTTAAGCAGAATCTGTAAACATTTGAGTTTAACAACTTCATCAGGCCCTCCTTGGCCTCTGATTGGCTAGAAGTGCTAGGATCCGTTTGGCTATTCCTAACGGCTGTAAAACGTCATTGTCTGTCGGTTTAGGGTTAGGAGATTCAGAAGTGCGATAATGTTCTGTAATGTTCTGTTCGATGTACAGAGCCAACAGCCCACGTTTAGCTTGAGCGCTAGATGAAGTTTCCAGCTTTTCTAGCCAATCAGAAGCGAAGGAGGCGGGACCTTCTCCAACTATCCTACAAAAAAAAAAAATCACTTCTGGGGCGAAGATCTGCAGCAGCAAAGTGACTCATCATCTCTTTCCTTCTCTTCTCAGGTGGTCAGTCGGTGCCTCAGGACCCGTCACCCTCTTCCACCTGCCCCCCAGGACCCTCTGGACCACCAGCTGGAGCCAACGGCAACAGTGACATCATGGTGAACTTCGACCCCGACCCGGCGGACCTGGCGCTGTCCAGCGTTCCCGGCCAGGAGGCGTTCGACCCGCGACGGCACCGTTTCTCTGACGAGGAGCTGAAACCTCAGCCGATGATCAAGAAAGCTCGCAAGATGCTGGTGCCCAACGAGCAGAAGGTACTACATCTCCCACGAATCTTTGCTGTCCTACACACCGATTCCTGCCAACCCTTACTGCTGCTGTCATGAGTGTTTTAGCCTGAAAACACTGTCTTCAAATCAAAGATAGCCCAGAAGAATTAAGAGTTTGATGGACGACAAAACAGATTTGCGGCCGTTTGGTTTTCTAGTTGTAGATTCAGGAAAAACTATTTCGCAGTTGAAGTTTCTTGGTTATCTTCAGGTCTGCACATTAAACTTGAGGACCATCATCCCTACTGAGCATTTTTTGGTCTAATAGACGTCTAGATGTAGCCTAGACGACTGGTCTAAAATCAGGCTACCACGGGTCTAAAAATGAAGGTTTTTTTAGACGTCTAAATTTAGACCAAGTTTAGACCAAGTCTTAATCTGGGCTTTATCTATACTACACTGTATATTGCTCAACGGTTATCATAATTATTCTGGTTAAGAACTTGAAGATCAATTATGTAACTCACAGATGCTTATTGGAATAAATAGTTATCGAATAATGGGTTAAAGTGCGACAGAATCTAGACGGTTGAAATTGAAAAAGAAAAAACTAGATGTCTAATAGCCGTCTTTTGCTCAGTGGGTTGTTTGGTCTAAAAATAACCAATGAAATCTTAATATCAGGTTATTTTTGTGTATTTAAAAGCTAAAACTCTGCCTAAGAAACTCTGGAAAACTCAGAATCAAGTATTTCGTAAAAAGTCCAACCTGATATTTTTGCATTTACAAGATAAAACCTCAAACTTTTAGAAAAGTTTGATTATTGCAGGTTAAAAAGAAATAAAAATAGAAGTTTTATGGCTTTAGTCTGAAAGAGAAATTGTTCACGGTGCTGCGACCAATGGAAAAAAATAACCAGCCAGAGCTACAGTAGGACAAAAGTCCCACAAAAATGAAGAGAAAATCATTAAAGTAGTATTTGAGATGTGTAATTGAGTGACATTCAAGAGTGCTGAATGGTCCTCGACAGTAAAAAAACAGAGACTCAGAGGTTGGTGGGGTCGGGTTTTTTCTTTTCGCCCAAAGCTCAGACTGTTCAGTTCAAACCCTGAACTCAGTGGAAACAAAGGCCACCGCTCTCTGACACTTCCTCCACTGATGTGGAAAAATCTGGAGGAGCGTGACGCCCACTCGTATTGATGCCTCCTGACGAGAGTCCGAAAATATTTTCTACCCGGCTCGTTGCACAGGCTGCGAAACTCTGATCAATGGTTCGTGTTTTCATAGTTCAGCGCCGAGCAGCTGCAGCTCCTGAGGCGCCTGTGATTTATGGAGAGATGAAGGCGCTCACCTTGCTGCGTTCAGGTTTTATAATTCATTTCTGAGCCGTTTGAGGGGAAAATTATCTCCGACCAAAGTTGAGGATGAGGCTGGGAATGCTCCGCAGCTCATCAAAAGTGAGATTTTAGACTCAGCTCTGGTTAGTATCATCTCTCCACTGAAGTGCAGGAAAATCCGACTTTCATCAAAGATATTCTAAAATCATAACGTTAGGGAGAGTTAGATTTTTCCACACAGAGTTAAAAATAATCTTAAAGTAATCCAGGAGCCCTTTAAAGATGTTTCAGAAAGGTTAACGATTTCGCTAAATGTCACCAGATCCTGTGAAAGGCTCCGAGGAAGCGCGGCGGACTGTTTGGGCCTGCAGCGACTCAGCTGGTATAAATCTTTCAGATTAAGACCTCAACATGGTTTTTACTTTCAATTTAGATCCCTATCTGTCAGAGTCCAAAAGTTTAACACAACACTCTGTGGTTTCCAGTCTAACCCTCATGAGCCTCTCATTGGCCAACATATTTATTTCAAGCCCTGAAGAAAAACCAAGTCGCAGACTTTGTCAGAGCTGACATGCATGTCTGCAGTGAGTGCAGCGTTACAGGGTAGGATGGTACACCTGAACTTTGCCTTCTACTCTTGTTTTCTTTCTTGTTATTTCCTTCCTCCGCTCGATTTGATCCTATTTATGCTTTTTACTGTTTTGTAAATAATGTGTTTGCTTCTTGTTCAACTGCTTTGGTGGCTGTCTGTAAACACGCTTCTGTCTCTTTTTCTGTGTCTCTGTATTAAATTAATAGAATGTAGAGAAGTGCGGCACAATTAGAGTTAAACAGAGGCAGAGTGCTTTCATTTCCCTAGAGGAACACCTTTTAGTGCATTAGTACTCTAGTGTTGTGGCCGCCCTCTGCAGGCAGTAAGGGGAAATACAGCTACAAATAAGGAATACAAATAAAGTAGAGTTTCTGTATATGAGCGCAGTGGGAACTAAACTTTTTCTAGTAGCTGATTTTTTGGCAACACTTTACAATAACCATAACTTATAAATGGTAAATAGACCATTTATAAATGTTGAGCAGATAGTTTGTTAATGTTTAATCATCATTTATAAATAGCATATACACCATTAATAAATTGTAAATTAACATAAACCTAACTTTAACTTTACAATAACCATCTAAGTAATGTTAATAAATGGTTTATAAACCAAATATTAACCATTTAAAAAGTGCTACAGACACACATTTTAATCTAGATGTTCTACAACCAACATTTAAACAGACTGTACCACAGAAGATAACTCACTGGTCACTTTACCTGTTTACCTCTGTCACCTCGTTTTCTTGGTACATAGGAGTCAAATTTTTTTTTTTTTAATTATTTAAATTATTTTAATTTTATTTTAATTTTTACGGTTATTTGTAGATAGGATATATATAGGAGTGGATATTTATCTTATTTTTTTATCTCTTTCTATATATTATTTGATTTTCTTATTATTATTCTGTTTTTTTTTGGCACAATCGCAGACGTCACTTTCATTTCACTGCCGCTGTACCTGAACATTTAGGCATGTGACAAATAAAACTTGAAACTTAAACCCTATATAAACCTTTAATAAATAGTCCATTCATAATTAATGAAAATTATTAATCATAATTTCATTGCTTGTTAATGATAAAGTAACTATGAATTTACATTAATAAACTATCTATGTGCCATTTAAAATTTGTCTATACGCTGTTTTTAAATGATGATTAAAAATGAATAAACATTTTATTTATCATCTCTAAATTATGGTTATTGTAAAGTGTTACCGATTTGTTTTTCACTCACTGATGAATTTAGTATCAAACTGTTTGGATTTGGTTGACCAATCAAAATATAGGAACTGTTCAGTGTTACTGAAACTCTCCTTTTTTATTGCTACATCGTCTTGTTGTCAGGTGATTTTGTCTCTGTGTGCACTCCTGCTTTTGTGTTTTGTAGTCGCGAATATTCAGCTGTTGCCACTCTTCTTTCTTCCCTTCTTCCTTTCCTGTCATCCTCGTTTTCTCATCACATAACTGACCCTTCTCATCCCACGCTCTCCTCTCTTTTGTTTTTGTCTCTCTCCTCCCCCTCGTCCTTCTTCCCCACACACCCCAACATACCAAACTGCCGCCGACGATGACAGGACGAGAAGTACTGGAGCCGGCGCGTCAAGAACAACGAGGCGGCGAAGCGCTCGAGGGACGCCCGGCGGCTGAAGGAGAACCAGATCTCCGTGCGCGCTGCTTTCCTGGAGAGGGAGAACGCCGCGCTTCGCCAGGAGGTTGCCGACATGAGGAAAGAGCTGGGTCGCTGCAGGAACATCATCAACAAGTACGAGACTCGACATGGAGACTTGTGAGGCGGCGAGGGCGGATGAAGACGAAGATGAAGGAGGAAGGGTTTGGGAGGGGAGGAGAAATAAGAAAAGGGTACAAGGCAACCCAACAACAGCAGCACTTTAGTTGAAGTGGCGAAGAGGGAGGCCGTAGGCGTAGATCTGCAGTAAGCACTGTGCGACACCGGGCGCAAACACGAAAAGCGTGTTTTTAAGAGCGAGCTGTGCTTCAGGATTGCACGACAGGAAAGCACAGCGACGCCACCTTTTTCCAGTTTGACTCTCTCAGTATCTTTGTACATGCTGCTTTGTTGAACCCACACAACGTACTGTATCACCTTGTGTCACCTCGGCAGCTTACGTCACCCTCGGTGCTGTGCTTACGGCCGGTGTCGCACGGCGTTTTTTGCAGGTAGTGCGTTCCGGCCGCTGCTCCAGGCCAATTCAAACAGGGTGTTGAATTCACATTATGCCAGTGAAATCTCACTTTTCAAGCTCAAGGCACGGATACAAGCCAGGAGGGGTCGGATGTGTAATTTTTTTCTATATATAGGACAAATAAAACATGTATATTTTTGAACTGGGCAGGAAGGCAAGACTAGTCCAGCAAACAGGTGGAGGTGCAGGAGGAGGTGCAGGAGGAGGTGCAGGGTTTTCGTCCATAACGCAAAGAGATTTTGACATAGGATTATTGTATATTTTTCTATTAGCAGATAGTCAGGAGGAGGATTTTGGAGATAATCTTTTGTATATTTTATATATGGGGCGGGGAGGGGCTGTTAGCTGGACAGTCACGGGGCCACATTTACGCTTTTCCTCCCAGCTGTCTATTGCTAAACAACAAATTATCTATTTTCGATTTCACAGAGCTGGTTAGTCGGAAGCGAAGTGTTTCAGAGAATGTATCAAGGTTGAATCAGGTATTTCACATGGTGCGAGACAGAAGAGGTATCTTAGTAACGATTGTTTTTGGCGTTGGGGCGCGTTAGCGGGACGACGGTGAAACAAAAATTGTATAGTTTTTTGAGAAATTTTGTCTTTCTTTGTTTTTTTTCTTTGTGGGCTTGTTCAAGCACTTGATTTGTTATCTTCTCTTTGATTCCGTGTCTGGTTTTGAAATAATCGCAGGGCTTTTATTTTGAAGGTGAAGGAGGAAAATAGAGAAGAAAAGAGGGAGTAACTAGCCATCAGAACAGCTGCATGTGAGCAGATGTTTGAAAATCATACAAGGTGGAAGATTTCGCTGGCAGGTTTGCATTTACTTTGTGTCTTGCTCGCACACGCACACTCAGACACACAATTTGTTACCGACAACGCGTCGCGGTTGCAGTCTTTCTCTCTCTATTTACTCCTCTATTTGTCCAGGAAGAGCAAAAATGAAATACTAACTGGTTTAGGGTTGATTTGCCCGGATTGAACAGTGACTGAAACCTTCAGCATGCAGACACACAAGCAACACACTGACACACACACACACACACACACACACGCCGCACCCAGGTTTGAACCCTTATTGTTGTTGTTGATGTTGTAATGGACTTATATGGTGCTGATCTGTTTGATCCTTCACCTTACACACACACACACAAACTCACAAACATGCAATTACACACACACGCAAACATACACTTTGAAACACTTCCGACAAACACAGTACTGAACTGCCTATACCCTTCTTTGTCTTTTAATCTCTCTTTTATTTTTTTCTTTCTTTTGTCGCATATTGTATCGATAAATCGTATATAGATTTACACACAAACACGTGTCTATACCTCTCCTTCAAACTTAACCCAATGAAAAATGAGAAATGCACCCTACTGCTACTGTACCATAAAACTGTACTATTGAATATTGAACTATTCTCTCACTAGATATATATGTATATGATATATGCTTGAATTATGTGATTATAGTTGTAATATACATAATTGAATATATTACAGAAAAAAACATTTGAATCATTTTGTCAGTTTTTTCTCAGGTGTTTTTGTCTGAGGTATTAAATACACATTTTAAAAATACACAAAAAAGTCTTTTATTTTATGACAAAATTCGTGGTTGATGTTTGATTCGGGGGGGGAGAATTGTTTAATTTTGCTTTTAACAAAACACTTTAGACAGATTGGGTTATATATTGACTTTGTTTCGCCCCGATTTACGACTAACGAAAAAGCAGGAAAACTTCTCCTCAGTTCTTGACTGTTCACTAAACCCCGCCCCCCTTGGTTACTGTTGCTATGCCCTCAAGGATTTGCATTCTAGAACTGTTTGAAGCTTGTTGCCAGGACAACAGTCACAGATTTACTTCTTGGAATACAGCAGTTTTGTTAACACGACAGATTTACACAGTGGCTATGCCGTGTTCGAGTTGGAGCTGAAAATGACGTCACACCTGAGTTAACAGCGTTTCAGTTACCAAGTCGGAAAAGAACAAAATCGTAGGCAGAAACAAGATGGCTACATCTACGAAAGTTATTTAGTGATTGCCTTCTCCAGATATAACAAGGACAAGGCAATTGGTAGCCATGTAGTCATCTCGTTTCCGCCTCTGATTTTGCTTTTTTCCGAATTGGTAACTGAAACACTGGTAACTTGGGTGTGACGTCATTTTCAGCTCCGACATCTGAATTCTTAACTTGAACGCAGCATAACTAAAGCCTAGAAATGTCGTTTTACTGGTCACAGTGATTGCACTGTTGCTTCTCGATCACCAACCAATCACAGTCAAAAAGGGGCGGGACTTCTGAGATCTACATCCTATCAAAAAATGTTGGAGATCTTTACGGAGGGCAAACTTATTTTTGTGTGTTCGAATTGAAAGTTCAGTACGGCACCATTTCGACCAATTGCTGCAACATTTTCTCTTTAAAATTACATCATTAATGACTTCTCGCAGGTATTTTAGCTTTTGCAAGCTAGCTAACAACCGTGTTGTAATTTACAGAAGAAAATCATCACTAAAGTTTATGTATTTACTGTACATGTACTTAAAGCAACTTCACAATATTTTAATATAGCATAAAATGACCTACAAAAGCGAACAAGCCTACTAGAAAAAGGAAGCCAATTTCTATATTGTAAATATACCAGTAACCATGGTGATGGGTGGGTGTCGGATGAGATGATTGACAGTGATGAAAAGCAGTTTTTTTGTTTTTGACAGATTTGACAGTGTAATGAAGGAGGGGTTTAGTGAACAGTTCATGTCGAGCTGCTGTTTCTTGATTAAGAGAAGGCAGCTAAACTTTATTTTGAAAAGAACCTGAGGATCTAAACAACATGATCGAGTCCAGAGTTGCTTGTATTACACTGTTATTGTCGGCACTCTTGGTCAACAGCCTGTGATTTGATTTTTTCATAAATCCTCCTCCAACTCCCGAGAACAACGCACACTTAATTTCCCATGAGCCTGTTTTTCTGTTGATACCATTTACAGAGACTTACAGCAAGCTAACCCCAGGTGTATTATGGGAGCTGTAGTTCTTTATTGAGATATATAAATATATCCTTTTTCCTTGTCTTTCCTTTTTTTGGGAATATGTTGAAAACCTACACGGACACAAACTTTTGAATCCAAATCCCGGGAAGAGAAGTCTCAGAGCTGCTTAAGTTTCCGTCTTCGGATGGGAGAAGAAAGCCATGTGTATTTTTTCTTTTTTGATATCTGGGATTTTTTGGATTTCCTCACAGACGTTTCAGAAACTTTTTGACAGTGCTATTTTTCTATGTAACTGTGTTGTTGAGCGTGTATAACTTTTTTCCTGGAGGGCCATCGAGACGCACTCTTCACATGGTGGCAGTGACAGTTTTTTCGCTGTACCATAAAACAGCATTGCGGGTAATACTGACAATAGTGATGATGAAAACAATAATGTACACAGCCTTGTTATTTCCTTCAATTTTGTGGATTCTCAGCTAACTTCTCCATGTTGTGACTGACTGTTATGAACTACAAGTCCTATGAGCGCAACACTACCCCGACTCCTCACCAGTATTGTGTGCTGTCCACAGGGATGATGGCATATGTGGTTTGGCTTTTTCCCTCCAAACACCAATAAAGGCTTATCCTTACTCACAGACAGCTTTTCTGGTGTCTTGCTGTGTCATCTGAGAGCGGGGTGGGTTGTAAAATACCCTGCAAATAAAGATTATGTGTGTAGTAACTTTAACCTGCTGTTCCTTTAATGGCCACTTGGGGCTGTCTTTTCATAAATGCTGCAAAGTGCGGCACTTATGCGGTTGAGAATGGGACTGGAATGCAGTGGTTCTCAACTGGTCTCACTCCTGGACCCACATTTTCCCATGGTCCTTAAGTTGCGATTCACTTTTATAGAATTCAAACCAAGCAAATTTATTTTTTATATAAAAAAACCTTAAAAGACTCAAATCTTCAACATAAATTCACCTATTTTATTGAGTAAAGTGCGTTTCAGAGCACATGAACTGAGGACGACAACTGCTGAAGTTGCATACACAGAAAATATCAAATTGCACAAAATGGAGACCAGGAAAATGAAAAATTTGACCTATATGCGTTTCAAAATAGGGCATTTTTCAAAATAAAAGACGTCAAAAAATCTGATGTGCATTAAATATTTACTTTTTGGGTCGGGACCCACCAGTTGAGAACCTCTGCTGTGATATATCTGATCTTACAAGAACAGGCCTAATCTTCTTTCACCTTTACATAAAGGGCTCTATTTTCGTTCGCGCCGGTGAGGCGGCGGAGGGCGGCGAGCCCCACGCAGTTGTATTTTCGTCTGGCGGAGCCCAGCGTAAGGCCAATTTGGTATTTTCGTGGCATGAGCCGCACGGAGGCGAGCCGAGATCCGCCAAGCTGGGCGTGGTGGTGTGGCAGGGGGAGGTGTCGACAGAATCAGCAGGCGCAGTGACATTTTCGTGCTCGCCACCGGCGTGTAAAGTGCGCTGAAAGCTCGCCGATTCAAACCTGGTCAGCTTTCAGCGCAAGGCGGAACGCAGCTGGTCCAGTAGTATTTTGGTAGACCGGCGGCGTATCGACATACGTCACTGATGCCTCACCGGCAGGTTTCCACAGTGTCAGGCACATTTCAGTGCAATAAATAATCATCATCAACTATTAATGTGAGTCAGCACATACATTTAGATCTATATAGATATATTCTGATCTATATCTGATCTGATGAGTGCGTTTGGCACGCGTTTGGACACACAACCTGACCGAATCAACACAGCTGAAACCGCATCAAATTAAATTAAATATCTAGTAAATATTCACACATGATGAAGTTAACTCGATATGTAATTCGTCTCCCTCCTTTTCTTTCTTCCTCTTCCTCTTATTTCTCGCACAGCTCGACCTGGACACGTCTCCGTGTCCTCTGTCCGTCTTGCTTGCTGCTGCGGCTGAACAGATGATTTGTTTCAGTGCTCAGATGCGTTATCTACTTTAAGCCGACATACGGATATTATAATATTCAGTTTTGTGAGCCAAATTTATTTTATATGCCAACATCTATGAAAGAAAGAGCCAGGCCACGGAGCGCGATGCGTCATTTACGCACAGATGGTTCCGATTTTAATGCCATTTTTGGAGTTTATGTTGTGATCTGTGCGCTCAACCGACCTTTGTCACGTGAGGTTTGAATATGAGCAACTTTATGTGAGTGTCTTTATTTGTGGAAAAGGGTGTTTGTCTTACCACTGGGTCCAACATTACGCACACTAAATCCATCTGTGCTCATATGAGAGAGTGTGGAGGACACTTGTTGAGGAGCTGCCCTCTGTCGCCATCTTGTGGCATTACTGTCTTAAGACATCTCTTGATCTCTTTGACTACTTCATGAAAATAGTAATACGCCTCGCCTGTGGCGGATTTAAAGGCAAGGAAAGGAGCCTATGTGATTGGTGAAAACAGGTCTCGGCTGTGTTAAACCCCTATACGCACTCTCTCCTCCCCTTCTATGATTTATGCTGCCGGGAGGAGCTGAGTTAGGGAGGGGGGATACTTACGCCGGGCTGCGCGGCTCACCAAAATACCAAAATGTGCTTGGGAACGCCTTGTCAGCGCGGCGGATCTGATTGACGCTGCGCTTGCGGCAGATCTCCGGCGAAGCACCAAAATAGAGCCCAAAGTCTTTGTTAACAGAGTGCGGTCTACACCAGCTTTCTTAGTTGAGCGTCTTGAGATAACGCTTGTCTGAATTGGCGCTGTATCAGAAAATATTAATTGATTAAAATTGTTCCAAATAAGGGCAAAATTTCTAGAAAACAGTAAAATATGTATAATTTTGAGGAAAAGAAGTTGATGGTTTCTTAGTGGAGATATCAAACTTCTACTTACAACATATTTTGGGTCGAAAGGACAGCTGCATCTTGTATTTTTTTTACAGCTGTAGTGCAGCATCTGTTGGTGTTGTGAACAAATCAGTGTCAACAAAGACTGTTTTATCAGAAATGTTGCAGAAGTATAATGTCACTATTTGGCAACTGTTGAAACTGTTACTTAAGTTGGTTCTTGACTTTTTAATGTGACTCACAATTGCAAAATTTCAATTAAGTAAGGGAAAGTGACCAACAAGCCGTCCATAACTAAGAACTAATGGACCGTCTTGGTCCGGAACTGTGTTGCATGTTAATCTGTGCATTTGATTCTACCTGGGCTTTAATTGGGATGTTGTTGCTATGGTAACTCCTTTAAAAATCAAAATTCTAGTCACGTTATTTCGATTTACGATTACAAAACACTGACTTGATACAATGTCATAGAATTCTCTGGAATTTCACAGTATTGGTCTGTTATCTAAAATAATGGATCCCTTATAGCCAATCAGAATTGAGTATTCTTTCAAATCGTGGTGGTATTTGATTTAGTTACACCTAGCACTTTATACTGCAAGAAAAACCTTCTACCAAAGAAAATGTGTGATTGTTTACTGCTAATTCTTCTTTTTGAATTCTGTTTGCCGAAAATTTTCTGCTTTGGTTATTTCATTAAACACTGACTTGATACAATGTCATAGAATTGTCTGGAACGTCACAGTATTAGTCTGTTATTTAAAATAATGGACGCCCTACAGCCAATCAGAATTGAGTATTCTTTCAAATTGTAGTGGTATTCGATTTAATTACACCTAGCACTTTATACTGCAAGAAAAACCCTCTACCTCTAAGAAAATGTGTAATTATTTACTGCTCATTCTTCTTTTTGAATATTGTTTGCCGAAAATTTTTTGCTTTGGTTATGTCATTCGATTTGTTCAAACATCGACCTCAGCCTACCCAAACAGCTGTGCTGGTGTTCGCCTCAGCTCCACCCTGGCTGCACTCTGATGCCAAAATTGGATTTTCTGTCTCCAAACAGCTCCGATGGAGGACGCTTAATCCAAATCCCCCCTGAAACCACATGACAGCTGACATCACAAACACCACATCGTGCATTAATATCTTCACCCTCAGATGTGTCGTTTTTCTCTTCCTGCTGAAAATGTGGAAAAGAGACGCTTTTATTCTGAATAACCTTGATTTTTTTTCAGTATCCACACTCCAGTCCTGAGTGCCAGTCTTCCCTCGCCTGAATCTTTCTACTCTGATGTTGTAAATGTGCTTCTGCATGTGTGACATATTACACATTAGAATAAGTGGTTTGCAAAGAAAGTGCAGCAGCAGACCATTGGGAGGCACTCAGACCCTTCTGACAGCTTTTCTGCAGATCCACAATGACAGAGTGTGAGTCTGAGTGTGTGTGTCTCATTATGTTTTGTACAGTGTGCAGATATGAGTGTGTTTAAATGGTTTCATGAAACATACTAGACAGCGAAACTCCCCAACCTCATTTATGTAACACACACCAGCCTGCTCTGCATCCCCCTATGTGTGTGTGTGCGTGTGGGAGTGGACCGCCTCACTCACCACCTGTATCTGGTGGGTTGTTTCAGCTGTTCGGTGATGTTTGCGTCACCAGCTCCCCCTCCGTCACGCCGCTCACCATCTGCCCAAGCTGGTGCCGATACTTGGAGCCAAAGAGCGCTAAATCGGCCACGCACTGTGCTACTCTGCGCCGAGCCGTGCCAGGTGGTGCCAGGCCTCTGCCACCCCGCTGCAGAGTGTGTTTGCAGTCTGAGAAGAAGTTTCTGAAATTTATCACAAGATGCAGCCACATTTTTCTGTTTTTTTCTTTAAGTTTCAATCCTCAAGTGGTGGGTTAAGTGTGCAGAATATTTAATGAAGGGAAAACAACTGTTGCACTGTCAAAAGGCTCAAAGTTACGACTGCAATACTCAAATTTTACCCAGTACTTTTTAATTTTCAGGGACATAAACCAGCACGAGGGCTGAGATCCAGGGTCAATGTGAGGATCCCTCCTCCGATCCCCCAGAGAGACACACGTGGAGGATTTATGCCATGAAAGTGTGTCCACCTGTGTGTGCCCCATGTGTGCATTTATATGTGTCAGTGTGTGTGTGTGTGTATTGTCAGACTCAGGGGAGAATTGGGTGAAAGGTGAACTCAGTGTTCCCCCACGAGTCGTAATGGGAAGCAGATGTCTGACGCGCACACACGTGAATGTGAATCCTCATTCCTGAATCTCGTCCATTTTGAAATAAATATTCACACCACACGCACGATCACATCACTACTAAACTCATTAAGATCAAATAACTCTTTCAAGATGCATGCTGAAACACGGCAAACACACACCTCTGCCAGCCTTACGGCCTCACAGGTTACCATGACAACCTCACAGGCATGCATGTATGTGTGTGTTCTGTTCATGTGTGTTCAGTGTCAGCCTCCCTCTAATTCTCAGAAATGTTTACCTCCTTATTTTCCCTTCACTGTCCACCATAAAACAGTCTCTTTATCTGAATTGATGTGCTTCAGGTTTACTAGGAGGCTGCAGTGCCCTCTAGTGGTGACTGTAAAGAGAAAGAAATGGAAAATACACACTCATTGAAGGACAGTGATGTAAATTTTAATAAAAAATGAGACATTTTGTGTTGTTTTCTGCATTTGAAATAATTTTGATTATTGTATCTTTATGTATTTAAGAGACTCCATGCAAACTAAGTCTGTAAAGCTCTGAGCAAAGGTTTGATTGATTGATTGAAGTTTATTTTTAACATATAAAAAAAAAAATAATAAAAAAGTATACAGAATACAACAACAAATGACAAAAAGTTACTCACAAAAGGAGAGGGAAGAAATCGAGACTTATCTAGTCCTACCCCTTCTCCTACACTAATAGTTTAAATATATATCACATTATATAATAATATTAATCATCAGGATTATAACAGCAATAAAAATAATCACCACAGTGAAAATAACAATGATGATGATTGTACATCCCTGTATCCCATGAAAACATATTCTTTATATTTTAAGGTTT